ATTACAATTCAGCTTTACAGCTTTACAATTAGCAGGCCTTATTCTAGAAAATAATCAATAAGCTGTATCCCGTCGCAAAGCTTATGGACTTTGGATCGAAAGTATGGACAGCCACAGCCAAGGAGCCCTCTCAGGGATGTACTGGTTAGTTCAGGCATGGGATCACTGGACATGAAGTTCAGTCGAATCTCTTTGATGAGCTTGCTTGCATCGACAACATACATGGACACATTCTCCCCAGGGAACTTGGTGATGTCCAAGTGAAGTAGCTTGGCTTTGAGGGTCTCAAGCTTGCTGAGAGAAGGCCTGTATATTTTTTGTAGAAGAGCCAAGAGAAGCTGGGGCCCATTGTGCTTGGCTCGAGGGACATATGATTTCAATTCCTCCTGGAGGGCATCAGTGCAAGAGTTCAAGACAGCCTTTCCTGACCAGGCACGGTTGGTTAGATCATACTGGCAAACAGAGTGTTGCTTCAGAGTCCCATTGGCATCGATGAATCCAACCCCATTTGCTGTGAGATCTTGGTGCCATTTGTCCACCATAGATTCTGAGACCTGCCCAGGAGCGGTGAACATGTTAATTTTGTTAATGGTGTTAGTATTAAGATCACCAAAAACAAGCTCAAAGACCCCTTCCATTCCATGCTCAGTCATCATAGTACTCTCAAAGGCAATAAGAGAGGCTAGCACATGGGACCCAGAAGCATTGGACTCAGTCAACGTAGAGAAGTGGAGACTGGGGGAATCCTTCAGGCCTTTCTTGCATGCCAATTCAATTGGCTGGAGTGTGGTGTGGTGTTTCAGATGGTCGTCTCCATGGAAACCCCTGAGGCAAAGGGTGCTATGAGGTTCCTTTACTAGTCCATCTGAACCGGACCCAGTCCAGGCTCCAGTGTCGTTGATACCTCCAAGCCAAGGGGCATCCTGAAGCTTGCTCTTTTCTTTGGATTTGCCAATGTGCTGGAGGAGCTCCTGGAATTGCTCTGTGGTCATGGGTGCAGACATGGTTGGAGGATCAGATGGTTGGATGATTGGATCAGATTCAAAGAAGGCTTGTCTGAAGCCTTGTGGACTGAACAAGGGTGCTGGTGCTGCTGTTGCTGAGGATGAAGAGGAAGCGTCGTCTGGTTCCATCAAAAGCTGATAGAAAAGGAGGCAGCGAATGCAGTGGCAATGGCAACAGGAGGAGGAGCGGCAACAGCAGCAACAAGAAGAGGAGCCCGGTGGATATTCAGTCACTCGAGTCAATCGAAGCTGGAATTTATGAGTGGTTGGATCCACGACGGCTTCGGTCGAACTTGGCGAATCCTTCGAGTTGTTCGAGTTGTTTGAATTCAAACGACCAACCCAAGTTAAACGACCAACTGCAACTGCAAGCCAGCAATTTCTTTCGTTTGAACGACCAATGCCGGTCCTGGGTAAGCAGTAAAGAGAAATTGCTCAGTCGCAGTCGTCGAGTTGTTGTTGTTATCGGTGTGCGTCTCCGTCGAGTTAATGAAAAAGTGAGGAGAAGCATGACTCAGATTTGAACCCATAATAGAGGGTAAAGCCGCTCCCAATGCATGACTCGAAGCATGACACACAAGCCGAGCCTTCGATATGCAGTCGAACTTCATTTTTCGATGAATTCTGTTAACTCGATTGCGACCTCTGTTATCGCGACCGATGAGATGAGGCAAGCGATCGCGACGGTGATGCAAGGCTTGCACGGCTTTACCGGTGATAGAGATAACAGTAGTAGCAGTAGAAGCAATAGTAGTAGTAGCAGTAACAGAAGCAGTACCAGTAGCGGCTTCGTTAGCGCTCGGATAGAAAGAGGTGGACTCCCATAGGAGTCCATTGTTTAATATAGGATCCTCATCGCGATTTTGATCTACGACAGGATGGTCCTCATTGAGATTACGATCGTCAATAGGATTATCAAGGGGATTGCTTACGAGCGAATCCAGGGGAATTAGGTTGCAATAAGGGGAAGGGCTACCGATGGCGAATGCAAGAGGAATCTCAGGAGCAGTCTGCATCAAGGAGTAGCGAAATCCATTGACAATCATAAGGGATAGACATATAAGAACAAGAATGAGTAACATCTCATAACCTCGCATGCTACCATGCGACAATACCATTGTGGATTGATTAATCTAACGATCTAAGAGATGTAAAGTTTGTATTTCCAAATAAGTGAGCAGTTATTGATTATTTTCTAGAATAAGCCTGCTAATTGTAAAGCTGTAAAGCTGAATTGTAAGCTGTATCCCGTCGAACCTCTGGAACAACAGCAACATCAATCTGGCTACGTTTTCCAATGCCAAATTCCCATTCCGAGTCACGTCATCTTTTCTTGAAGATGTCGTCTCCGCCAGGAAGAGTCCTAACAAAGCTCAGGCTGATGATTGCGACCCCGACAGGAGAAATTCAAATCAGCATCCAAGGAAGGAGGTTATTTCAGCGACTTTTCATGCTGTTGGATAGTTTCATTTGCACTGGGGCATCTTATCACAAAGAATAGCTTATAGTAGAGTAAGAATAAATGTTTCTTCATTTTGTCATCTCCAGTTGTATTCGTTCCCGACAGCCAACAGGCTGGATGTTTTGGCATTCTCATGCAGGGGAGCTAGTGGGTGTTACAATGTTCGAGCCATTGTAAAAGCCTCCACCCTAAAAAAAATTCGGAGCCCACGCAAGGTTTGAGGATCGATGTTGTGATTGCCATGCGCCAATGCAGCCAACCTCTGCGACAAATTTGCCTCTTGTACCGTAAGCCCTGGCGTGGCTTGTGTAATTCCATGCTGAACGAGAAAGTCGTCGAGAAGAAGCCCAACCTGACGATTGTTTACAAACGCACGAGCCACGTGAACAAAGCTTCGTGGCTCCACCAGCTGGTCCAAGAAGCGACGATCCTTTAGCCGCTCTTCTGGGGAGCCGAGAAAGAAGAGCAGCGGAATGTGAGACAGTCTCTCATTGTGCGCAAGACTCTTGAGGTTCCTTACCGTCTGCCATCTTCTTTTGTTTCACCTGTCAGAGGGCACAGGCACCGCAGTTAGACACGCTGAACGCATCAACCAACAACAACAAGCGGCAAGCCACAGTTCGTCTCTCCAACCACTTACTACTTTCGCCTTTCGGGCTAATGACTTCTGATCTTCCTTGTTGTTATTAACCTTGAAGCGGACGGTCCGATTGATGCGTATCGGGTCAAGGGTGCTCATGGTTACGGTTGTGGTGGTGGCTTTGTTTATTTCGTACTAGTAGTCTAGCTAGCAAGCTACCGAGAAGCTACGTCGTAGCTCTAGTACTGTATGTAAGTAGATGTGATGATGTGATGTTGCTGGCACCCCTCGCGCGCTGGCAGAGAAGATTGAATAACCGTCGATAACAATGAAGAAGAAGTGAAATGATGGAGAACAAAGTTTTTACCGTGTACCAGGTATCATAAAGTACGCCCTACATCCTCGAAGTAAGTAATAATATTATTGTGTGAGCCCACATCCCCCTTTTATTTTCCCTAACCCCTAGCTAGAGGAAAAGAGATTGTCTCTAAATAATTAGAGACAGTGTTCCAAGTTGGATTCAGTTTATTGAAATTTAAAAATAATTTTACTCACTTTTTCCACATTTACCCCGAGGTGCTGACAGCTGGCAGTAGTGCGGTGTACCTGGTACCGTCCTCACCGTCCTCACCGTACGGTAGTAGTCTACGGTACGCACGCTGCACCAGTTGTCACTGGTACCGCAGGATACAGGTGGGGTTGTTTTGTTGTTTTGTTTATGGATCCAAGATAATTGCTGTGGAAACTTGCTTTCCACTGTAGTCTTCTAAAGTAGTTGAAATCGCTCTATACAGAATTATTACAGCTAAGTGGCGAATCGTTCTACACGGCATACAGTCCCCCTCGTAGACTGGATTTATAAAATCGATTTGTCTTGCCACACCGCGGATTTAAAAACTATAAAGTGGTCCAGTACCACTTTTGGGGAATAGACAGAAGTTGTTAAAGCATAATGAGATTTGAATGCGAACTCTGGACAATGCATGGAAACTGAACGATTAGCCAGTATCTAAATCCGCGGTCTCCCTTAAATAACAAATCCTGCATAAAGCCAATGCCAGGAGGATTTAAAGTTCTCAGTTTCTAAGATCAGAAAGTGGCCCTTTAATAAAGAACAGTGGAACTCAATGGACACTTGAACAAACGTAGATTTACTTAAGCCGCGCGAAAATCCTCACAAACTCTTGTGCCACGCAAGTTGCAATCTGCACCACGTACCCTTGGACCCATAATTTTGTCCATCTTTTACCGGTAAGCAACAAGAAGCGGATCAGCTGTGGATGCTGCCTGTCGCTCTCCTTGAGAAAGTAAGTTTGATGGGTTGCCTCTCCTTCCTTCCTTCTGAAGGTCTGCCTGGTGGGTCTCATAAAAACCAACCTGCATCAGTTAGCAATAGCTGAAAACAAAAAGTCAAGATTTCTTCTCTTACTCTTACTACCACCAATCTTTACTACATCTACCTGATCACCATGGCGTTTCTTACCTGGATGACTGAGCAACCCATTAATAAGACTAAGACTAAGCAACCCAAGACTAAGCAGAGCAAGAACAGTCAGAGTGACGATGAGAGCACCTGTGCGGCCACCTTGGACACTTCATCCGTAGCCTTCACCATGGAGGCTTCTTCTTCCTGCTCTATCGGTGCTAGTATGGAAGAATCTTCTCAGACAGTCTTGTCATTGCTCAAAGAAGAAACCGAACCTTGTTGGGACAATGTGTCGTTGGGCTTGAATCCCATGGCGCCTTCTGTCCCCAAACAAGACTGGACCGTTCTGGGCGATGCCCTCAAAGAAGCCGAGCAAGCCACGGGCTACACTCGTAACATTATTCCATCGGACAAATGGATTTCCTTGAGATGCAGTGGAATGGGATTCAGCAAACTGTTCAAGCACTTGCAAAAACTGGGTGTCTTTAGCAAACGTCAATCCCCGGAATTTGCCGCCATGATGCGCGCATGCTGTGAAGATCTCATGACCAAATTTGACGCTCGATGCGCACATACGCAGTCGGACGAAATCACAGTCTTGTTGCCACCCCATACTGACTCCTGTCAAGATGATATGAGTATTCAAAAACTGTGTTCCATGGCCGCCGCTTCTGTCACGGCACGTTTCAACTTTGAGTTGATGGCACTCTGTACACTCCACAGTAAAAAGAAGGGACTCCTCGTCGACCTAATGACGGTCATGCAATGTTTGCCCACTTTTGACTGTCAAGTTGGCGTCTTTGACACCAGCAGTCAAGCACTCTCACTCATTCTTTGGAGGGCACATGACTGCAGTACCAATGCTGTGGCACTCGCTGTACACAACAGTGGTTTGCCAGGAGCAAAACAAATGGTAGAAAAACACTCTTCTCCAGAGCAAATGCAATGGCTCAACCAGCGGGGTCTTCTTCCTCTCCCCGTACATCAACGGGATGGAACCTTCATGGTACAATCACAGACAAAACAACCCATTCAAGGAGATATCCTACAGCTCTACAAGGAAGGAACCTTGTTCCCTGCAAACTTTACACTATGAACTACTTTCACAGAAACTTTATTAATAGATTATAGATTCATTCATTCATTCATTCATGTTCTATTACCTGCCTAGCTACTTAGGATCTTTGCTTGTTCTGCTTCTCAAGAGTACCATGACAATACGTGCCACACTGTAACACAGCCCAGTCATTACAACCACAGAACCCAGCACTGGACCCAACGATGCTTCCAACAAGTAGCAACAGCCAAGCACGCCCACTATCAAGATTCCCAACACGACTTGAAGTACCCAAGGTGCCCGGTTGCATAGCAGGGCGACCTCTAACTCAAAGGCTTGCCAGTAGATTAGCCCATCATCCTTGGAATAGGCATGGCAAACATAATCGTTGGAAGAAGAGAGGATACCCAAGCAAAGCAGGCGCAATGGAGAGAGAGTCATGTGAAAGAACACTTGCTCTGGAATCCATCTCGTAAGTGTGTCCACCAATGCCAAAGAACCCTCCCTCGTGGTGGCATACGCCGACACCTGAATTCCATTCACCACCAAGTAGCCACTCTTCGTCAATGGCTGATAGATCCCTCGACGAGTTTGTCGTTCCACCTTTGTCACGGTGACTAAATAATAGTCTTGACCACCGTCTTTGTGTTGGAGATGCTTCAATTTGTCACCCACACGGATCGTGCTGGCGCGGACAGGATGGGGTTGCCCCCAGACACCAATCAGGTGATTGTCACTCATCTCCAACGGTCTTGGAGATGGCATATTGCTGTTGAGGTTATAGTAGATCAGCAGAAACTCGTCGACCTCCGCTCGTTGCACATGGCCAAATGCGTAGACTGCCTCGTACAATTTCGTTCTTTGCTTCTTCTTTGTTGCTGTGGTGTCTGTATCAGTATCTGTATCAAAGCCAGTAAACACGGGATCACCAATGGATAAGTCTTCCATGGCAACTTCACCCTTACCCAGCACGTCCACCGTGGCGGCGCCAGAAAAACAAATTGCAGTAGGAGCTGAAGTTGGAGCTGTACCGTACGTGACGTGACGTGTGCAAAAAGATCAAAAGCTAAGAGTGATGTATACAATGCAGGCAGGCATGCAACCAGCAGAAACCCTCAATCCAGGAATAGCTCTTATCATTACCTTCCGTTGGAGCAGGTGTCGGGGCAGCTGGAGCAGGCGTCGGGGCAAGAATGTCATCAATGGCAGCAAATGCCATCTCGAGGCTGGGAAGGTTTCCAATTCTTCCACCGGATCCTTGCTGTGGGGAACCAGTGGTGCGAAAGATCTATAGTATAGTAGACAAGCAAGCCAAACAATTGAGATGTGAGAACTCAACCCACAGAATATAGAATAGACTCGAGCGAACTCTTTTTTTGCTTATTGCGATCCTCACCGTTCGAATCTCCTGGGGGAGTAGTCGTCTCCCAAGCTTTTGAACGGCATAGGATTGCATCAGCACTGCAGCCCCGGCAACAATGGGGGATGCACTGGAGGTACCACTGAATCGGTGAGTGTAGTAGCGGTTCCTGTCACTCGTGTTGTCAGGGTCCTGCCAAATGTAACCATAACCAGCTGTATACACGGACTCTCCGTAACCTTGTGCATCCAGCCGGGTGCCATAGCTAGAGAAGGGCAATATCTCCCGTGGGTTGGCCCCGTAGGATGATGGAGTTGCACCTCCTTGGTACCGTAGTAGGAATTGCAGAAAGGGCGAACATGAGCCGCTCACATGAACGTGTCAGTAGCACAATACATGGAACCTCTGCTTTTGTTAGCGAGTCCTTGCAACTTACCAGCTCCAACTATAATGGCTCCAGAATCACGAACATTCAGGTTGAATCGGCCACTACAGGACGACTGGTCCAAATCGACAGCGCCATTGCCAGCAGCTGCCACAACCACAAACCCATTGGCGACTGCAGTGGCGGTGGCATCAAACACGCCTTGGTCCCATTCCGAGGGACCGTAAGGCGTTCTACCTCCACCTCCAGTCGAAAGAAAACAAACTCTGGTTTGCATCTCCAGCAAAATGACATCCCCAGCCGTTCCATCGTTGACAGCCAACAGAATGGCTGCTGCGCGGCTGTCCCGTTGCTCCTCCGTGTACTGAGCCGCCAAACCAGCGTCAGCAGCATAGCAAATACCTTTGACACCGCTTCCATTGTCTGTTCCAATCATTTCACCCATGACCGCTGTCCCATGTCTGGGTCGATATCGGCGGGCAAAAATTCGTATGTCCAGCATTGGTCAACCGATATTGCAAGGAAGAAGCACACTAATGAGACCAACATCCAACTTACCTTGGTGGCTCAAACGGATTTAGAGGCGTGCCCGTGGTGAGGACCGTAACCCCGCTAAGCCCAAGATCTTCGTGATCTTGATTCCAGCCATATTCAATGTCATAAACCTTGATTCCTGCTCCAGTTCCACCAGGCTTAGTCCAGGCCCACTCCGCATCGATTCCTTCGTCATACCAGGCAGGAAGAAACAAAAGTTAGAACGTGCAATGAGAAATATTGCGTCAAAGAGCAGTCGACTCGTTACAAACACTCATGAAACAAACGTGGGCTTACCCTTTGGTGCCTGGTTCAGGTATGCCTGGTTGGATGAAAAGTCAGGCGTAGCTGCTTTTGTTTGAAGATTGCGGTGATGGTGATAGTGATGTGAACTGGTTTCGCCCCTTATAAGGGATGGATGGGGTGTATTGGCATAGTATGCCTCAGCCACGTCGACACATTCCTGGGCTTCAAATTCCGCCAAGACTGCCTCGTGGTCTGCTGCTCTGGCCAATTCGATCGTCTGCCACAGGTTCATGTTTGGCAACTGATTTCCTGTCCTTGCGATCCCATTTGCGGCCATTTCGTTGAGAACGTCATCGGGAAGATTAATGCTCTTGTGCATGGAGGCAACAGATTCTTGAGCAATCCCGTCAAGGTCCGACAGGGTATACCCTTCCTTGAGACGGACATTGATCACATAGGGATTGTGACTATCACTGTCAACCTCACTTTGGACTCTGAAGCAGCTGCTAAGAAAGACAAAGGTAGCAAACCAGTGCAGCAGAAGCACCATTGTGCTTGTTGCCGAATTCCGGGTGCGAAGGAAAGATGGGAAGAGGACCTTTTATAAGTTGAGTTGAAGAGTTTTGGAGACAGCTGAAGATTTCAAAACGATTCCGGGGCACACGTATCACTTAGGAGTTGCATCCTCTAAGAAGGACATCCAACGCATTGGTGGCTGCCATCATGATCCGAACATGCGATACTAGTAGATGCGTTCGTGGCGTTGAATGAATCGACGGCTTGGAGGTGCGCGGCTCCATGCAGTGAAGCCGGGGAAAAGATAGAAATTAAAAAGAGTGCTAGCTAGTCTCGTAATAAATAGATTACCCTTTCTACCTGCTTTACGGCAGTAACCCCGCGATGATTTCGATCGAGGCTCGTGCTATTGCTACGACGGATGTCGAGTCTTTTGCATCCCAGCTACCAGTCCTGGTACCAGTACCTACCCGTACGGTACGATTCGAGTGCGGCACGAGAAATAATGAGACTGTGTTCAACTGGTATGGCTAGGCAGACAATGTATCAAGTTTGGTTTGCACTCTAAGAGTTCATCCAATGATGTACTACTGTATGCCCACAGTGCGCGGGTTGGCACTCCCGCAGTTCTCTTTTGCTTGTCATTATGAAAGCAGCCATGCATCTAGGACTCCACTACCAGGTACAAATACTTGCAAATATTTGAAAAAAGAGGTGCAGCCAAAACACTGCCTACATTACCAGTATCACTAGGTCTGTCACTTATGGAGTGACGCTCAGTTCACTCGTATGGATGCCTGTCTTCGTCTTCGTGCTTTTCTGCTCCCTTTGTTGACCTTCCATGAATTTGCGATGTCGGTTTAATGCCGATGCCGTGGGTGCTGGTCGATTTTCCTCTTTCCTTGTTCCTTGCTTCTCTCTTTGTTTGGATTTGGATTCCAAGAGGTTGCGAAGAAAGGAGCTCGTTTTCCGTTTTGGTGCTTTCTTGATATCTTGGTGGTGCTCCCAAGAATAGTTGGGACCACCCCCACGACCACCATCGCTGCCATCGTTCCGCCCCTGTCCCTGCTTTCGTTTCTTCTTTCTATGACTGTCCGACTCTCCCAACGATATGAACTTTTTCATTACACGCACCAAGGAGGACGACCTTCGAGGTGGGGTACCGGTGGTACCGGTAGGGTCAGCTTCATCCGCTAAGAAGGCATACAAATTGTCTTCGTCATCACTGCACATTGGAAGATCAGCCGCAAGGAACCCGCCTTCTTCTTCCTTTTGCTCTGCTTCATCGGAACAATTGGAGTGTTCTTCGGCAGACAGCTCTGGTACACAAGGCAGGGCAGATGGCCGTTTCCTCTGGAGTTCATGATGTGCCCAGTCATATGCTTGAAGGGGGCCACTGCTTACGCTTGAACTTTGGCTACTACTGACGCTGCTATATCTTCCAGATGATTCGTGCCCACTTCCCTCATGTTGTTGGCCATAGCGAATGTGCTGATGATGAGCCCAGTCATAGTCACCCGTGCCGTCTTGTTTGGCATCGCGATGATGTGTATTGTTTGTGTCCTTGTGCTTTTTCTTGCTTCCCCTTTTACCTGTCAGATGCTTGAGCAATCTGGTAATCAATGATCCTGAGGATGTCTTTCGCAGAGGTGGATGCGGCGGCCCTGGAATGCTGTCTGACGTTTCTTCTCCCCATCTATTCGTTTGTGCAACACCTCGGTGGCTGTCCTGCTGTCCTTTGTTTGTTTGTGACGTCCACGATTTGAACGACCACATTGACGTTGACGACGACGAAAACGATGACATTTGTTTGAAGCCTTGCCCTTCGTTTGGTGTTTGAGACAATCGTGGTGACTGAGGCGGCGATGGTGGAGGCGACGGCGGTCTCGGAAGCTGTCGCTCACGTGGAGGCTGGAGACTAGGATACGGATGAGGGGGGGCAGAAGCTGTAGAAGCTGCAGGAGGAGCATCTTGACTAGTTGGAGAATCGTGTGCGTTTGTTGGAGTCGGAGGCAATAGGGAAGATGGGGATTGTGAAGGAGAATTCGATTCTTGGTCAGGATGGGAATCAAGTGTGTGCGGAAGTGGCGTGGTGGGTATTGATAGGACAATGGCTTGTGGTGAGGAATCAACGGCGCTGATTGGATAGGTGTTTGAAATCGGTGGCTTTTTCGATGGTGACTGCATAGGTTTTGCGATGGATGTACATGTAGGAGGCGGCGCAATTGCAGCTTGTACCGGTAGATTGGGGGGGTCATCCTCAAGAGTCCCGGGCACGGAGAGAGACAAGGGCTCGTCAGTATTCTTCTCTGTTTGCTCGGCCAAAGGCTTCACATCTTGGAGCCTAGTGGCCAACACGGGAAGTGAGTTGTCGATAGGCTCTTCTTCCCTGGTGGCAAGTTCTGTATCAATGCCATGATCGTTGACGTTGTGATTGTCGTTGTGATTGTGGTTGTGATTGTCTGCGTCTGATGACTCTGATGGGAGTTGGAGTGCGTGTGTATTTGTTCCGGCAGCCTTGTCGGCCTCGTCGCTGTTTACCGTGGATAGGTTTTGTTGTTCGTGTCTTTGACTGTCGATACTACTAGTAGCAATTGAGTTTCTCTTTTGTAGCTGTAGAGTGATAGAGTCATTGACAAAGTCAGATATTTGTGGGTTTTTGGTAGTTGTTAGGAACACGCTGCTGTCATCGTCTGACATTGAAATGAGAGAGGAAGACATGGCAGCTGAAAGTTGTCTGTCCAGGGCAGACCGTGGTTCTGGTATTGTTTCTGGTAATGCTTCAGGTTCTGAAGGAACATCGGGTTGAGCAGATTGTGCATCTGATGGTGTTTGTGGATCTAATGGTGGTTGATCAGATTGTGGGTCTGATGCTGCTGATACTGTTGCTTCAAAACTGAACCCTGTAGGGTCTGACTTGGTTGGTTCAGGTTGTGCTTGATTTGGTTCAGGTTCTGGTTGATTAGGTACAGGTTGAGTACTAGATGTTGTTGTGGTTGTGGTTGTAGTTGTGGTGGTGCCTTGAGCTCTCTTGGCTTTTCTGTTTGCCAATTTTTGTTTTCTCAATTTCTTTTTTTCTTCCTTTTCTTTCTTTTTGATTTCTTGTTGTCGTTGTTTTTCAGCTTGTTGCTCGGCTGCCTCTTCTTCAAATTTGTCTTCTTTGAATTGCAGAATATCTCTAGCATTGTAGAACATGGTAGCTACCATAGAGGGTCTCTTCCTTTCAATGGCATGAACTTCTGTTTCTCCTCCAAACCGCACATGTCTGCTTTTGCGCTTTCTTCTACTATTGGCAGTTGTACCGGTACCAGTATGAATACTTAACCCAAGACCATCAGGACCTTGACCTTCTTCAGCTTGACCATCTTCAGCTTGACCATCTTCTCCTTCTTCTGTTGTAGCAGCAAAAGCCACAGTAGCACTGGTACTGGTTCTACGAGTGACAGTCAGTCCCGTGGGCTTCCAGCTCAAGCGCTTCATTGTTCCCCGTCGTGACATTCTTCTATGATACTACTAGCTAGGTAGCTAACCCTACTAGCTAGCTAGCAAGTACTGTTACCGGTAGTAGTACTGATTGCCTCTTGTTGTTGCTTGTTGTTGTCATCTTCATCCGAGCATCCATACCGGTATGCACGACCATGGGCAATACAGATGCGTTCGTGAATGATCAATCGGCGGTGCGTGGCCGAAACTCCATGGGAAAAATTTCCAGTTGAAAAATAATGGTACGGTAGTCCCAGTGAACAAATTACCCCCTCTACCGTCTTGAGCAGTAACTCCCGCGACGTTGGTTTCGAGCTTTCCCCCATTTTTTTGCCATGAGCTAAACATAACAGAAATGATGAGCCACAAGCTTGTTTGTTTCGAGATCTTAGTTTATGCATGATTATAGCGATGAAATTGTTTACTGTAGAATGAATTGTTTACTGGTTTTCTTTTTTGTAGCGCAAGAGTGGCGCCGTAACTTCCTGAATCATGCCGTAGACACAATAGGCGGATACAATGGAGAATACGACGGCCAACAACCATTTGTACCATCCTTGCAACCTATACTCTCTTGGCAACACCCTTGGCGAAGATGTCAGCAACCACAAGAATAATGCAACTGGAAGAATCAAGAGTCCATTGATGGTTTGTGTGAGGACTGCAAACCACGGTCCACTAATATCGGTGAGCATGGAAATAGCATAGGCAATGAGGAGTCCTCCAAATTGGAGTAGATACTGCCATGGTCGTTCCGCAAAGGGTCGGAATAGATCTCGATCCCAATCTAGAATTTCGACAACACTCCAAACCGACGTAATGGTGAGTACCATACTGGCGACAGTACAGGCTCCCGTGACACCCAATACGGTGACCCATTTGGCAATTTGGTAGGATTCCGGAGTGTACCAGGAATCAATTTGTGTCTGATAATCGGCCAGAATGGATGCTTGTTGTTCCGGCGACAACATGGGATCCGGAGAGGGTTGTATCTCCAAAATGGACGTGGCACCGGGTTGTATGGAATCCCAGGTGGTCCCCGAAAGAGCTTGAGCATATCCTCGAATAATATCACCAAAGTTCAGACTGTTTCGTTCATCGCGTGTGCCATAATAACGCAGCGATCCCATGGCAACGACCATGGACGCAGCGACACTCTGTGCGAGAAAAGCTCCCAAAATGGTATCGGCTCGTTCGTATTGCAAATCTTTGCGTTGAATTTTGCGTTCACAAACGGCCGACTGTTGATAGTACAGCATCCATGGCATGATGACGGCTCCTGTATTTCCCGCCAATAGAATTTCGTAATTGACTTGTCCAAAATGGACTTCTCCCAATCCCTTGAAGACTTCCCTGGGAGATGCCATGGATTGGAACATGAGCGCCACAAAGACCAATTGGAGTGATCCCACGATAATACCCACAATTTCGGTCAATCGAAATCCCAATCGTCCCATGAAAATGACTCCTGCCAAGAATCCAAATTGAATGGTATTGGTGACACGCGTATCAATGCCAAAAGCTTCGTAGTAGAGTTGTCCAATGGCGCCAAATTCCGAGGCTTGTCCAAACCAACACATGGCCACGTGTAACGTCACGGCAAACCACGCCCAAAAGTGTCCGTAGTGTTGTCTGATCAACGCGGTGGTGCCCTGCTTGGTACAAACCGCCAATCGCGCCGTCAATTCTTGGGCGGCGTACAAAATGGGAATCAGCACCAGCTGTAGCAACACCAACGAATAGCGATACTGCGATCCACTCTGCGCGGCCGTGAGCAGACAAGGACCGTCCGTGTCGGCCAAACACACCATCAGACCAGGACCCATGACGCGAAAAAAACGAGAAAAACTCCATTTGTGGCCACTTTCCTTATTACTCTCTTGGCTAGCAACCACCACTGGAAGAGCATCTTCTTGGCCGGGAATGGTTCCATCGTCCAACGGAATTCGACCTTCATCGGGATTATCATAGATATCGTCGGATGCCGCCAACTTGATTTTGGGGCCTCGATATTTCAAAAGGGGAGATTCTTCATTGGTCATCTTGCTGTTGCTGTTGCTGTTGCTGTTGCTGCTTCGAGTATACCTAGCTAGGTACTAGTATATGGTATCTGGTTTGCTACCTATTCTCAGCTACTAGTGTAGTGAGGATGATGAAATAGCCGTTGTTTTCGAAAAATACATGTAATGAGAGCCACAGAAAGATTTGATGGACGAGGGTACTAGTAGCTGGCTGGATGAGGACTCTATGACGTCCGTTAGAAAGTAATAAGCCATCTTATTCGTTGTTGCAAGATTTGTTTGTTCTTGATGTCACAGACAGCCAATCACATGGCTCCAATTGACAGGATCTTGAAGCATCCAACGCAGCGAGGTGAGCTGAGTTGAGTTGAACATTCAATCAAGTAAGTGGGAAACTGACGTATGACTCCCGCGGCTGTAAAGGCTCCACCGGGCACTTTGATAACTTGACACAAACATAATATGCCTTCGCTTCATCCGGTTGATTGCATGGGTGTCAACTCGCTTCCCCCCCCCCCCTTTTGCTCTGCTCCCGTTGTCATTGCTCTCCTACTACGCCCACCACCACAGCCACTGCTGTGCCTAGCTTACATCGCTCCTTATTAATAGCTGGATAGTATTGAGTGTCCTCGCTATAGTTCCATTTTTGCTTGACCTCAATTTTTTGCATCATTATTATAGCTACAGCTAGTATCATAATATTTTTGCTAACTAGTCTCCAACTGCGCCAAAGCAATCCCAAAAGCTTCGTAGGGATTGTAGGGAGGCATAAAGTCCACCGTAAATTCACTGTCGTTCCATCGGCCCATCTGAAACACCACAAACCCAGTGCTCACATCGGCAATCTGCAAATTCTTTTTCGATTCCTCTCGAGCACGACGTCCAAACCGCTGCAAAAAGGGCTGCGAATCGCGGTGACTAGCTCTGCCGCGCTTGTCCGTGAAACGACGTCGACATTGAAAGACGGAAAGGTTCTTGTATGTGTCTTCGATGTTACTGTGCAACCCATCCTCTTGCTCCCAAGCTTGGGCGACGGCGGTATCAATGCATCGAGGGCCATTGGGATTCACCTTTCGGTCGTCACCGGCATCCTGGCTATTGTTGGCGTCCTCGTATTCGTCCTCTTCGCAGTCGTAAATGACGGAATACACAATTCGATCCACCGAACCATCCTGCACGGGATACTTGAGCGCTGCGGCATCGTAAATCAAGCTCGAAGCTTGCAGCTCTTCTCCCTTGCGACCCAGCACCAACCGAAAATCCACGTGGCCCTCGTGGGTTCGATGACGACTCAGCTTTCCCACATAGCGAACGTCGTTTTTGCGAAAGTGCGTCTTTCGCAGCGAGTTGTCATTGTAAATGTTGTAAATGTGATACGATCCATTGAGTTGTCGTTGCGCCACAAACAAGGCGCGAGTGCGAAAGACTCCATCGATACCTTGCAAGTAAAAGACGATCCGATCGTTGCTACGAGTGCTGATACCTCCTTCTCGACGGGCTACTCCACTAACTTTGCCAGTCCAAGGATGCAAGTAGTAGTTGGCCGTTGGAATTGAAAGGGGATGAGGTGCTTGGACAATCTCATTGGCTTCTAACGGGTACGCGCCGAGTTCCGAAGTGTTATCGTCGTGGATGAGCCGCTCCTCGTCTTGGGCAGCTAAAGGTTGAGGAACGACCATGGTCGAGACTAAAATAATATTGGAGGCGAAAATTAATGAAGGCTGATCAAGAAGTGACCGCGAAATGAGAAATGAGCCAATGCTCTTGCCAGTGCCAAACCATTGTGTGTCCTGATCCATCCTTTCGTAACGTTACGATCGAGTGGCAATAACGAGATGGCCCACTTCGTTTCCTACTTCGTTTTGCTGTTTCGTTTCCTATCGTTTCCTATTCCACGAAGACGGCTTTGGATGGAGATACTGTACCATGTACTGAAGAAGTGGTTGTTCCACGACTATTGGCTTGGGTAACGTCGCACCTCTTCGTTTTCCCACCAAACGATCCGGGTGGTTTCCAAGCAGTTTTTTCTGGACGCACCTCCAGTGACGGAGCCCGCTTCGGTAACGTTGCACCTCTTCGTGCTCCTTCCAGTTCTTTTCTTGACGCACCTTCACCCCGAATACCGGTACGCTGCTGCGACCCCTGTTCAAAATATCATTTCCTGCTTTTGTTGTTGTAGTTTTTCCATGAATCCATCTACTACCTGGTAGCTACCGGTATAGCAAAATTATTATGGAACCTTCCGATTCAATTCCCCGGGCAGTGATCCGTAGTCGTTCTCCGGAGTGTCGTTGAAGAAGCATTCAAAATCCCTAAAACTGCATGCTCATTCAAGGAGCCATTCGATCCATCGATGGTGTCATCAAACCGTGCCGTGAATTGTGGGGAAAAAATATGCAGCAGGGAGGCCAAAAAAGAATCTTTCGATCTTCCACCCGCTGCGTACCGCGCCGCCACAGAAAACCATGCACATGCAGTACGTGCCATTTTGACTGGATTTTCTCGGCTCGAACGCTGCCACGGCTTGCTTATTGTTATTGTGGTCGACTCGAAACCGCTCCCAATTTTTTAAAGATTAGGATTCAATGATGGGTTTTCGGAATGGCATTTTGGCGTGTACTCTGTGATGCTGTTGCTGCTGTTGTTCCTGTGCCTCCAATTCCTCTGGCATTTTGGGTGCTGGATCCCTCCAATCGCAGACTTGTGCCTTGAATCCACTGCTAAATTTCTGGCACGTGGGTTCGTGTCCCAACAAAATTCCCCATCGTCCAAAGCCACCGCGTCCCACCACCGTACATCGTGTTTCAGCAATCAAATACATATCATTGAAAATGCTGTAGAAATTGTTGGGACGAATGGATGTATCACTTTCATTGTGCAAGCCCAGATGGAGTGGATGCTCTTCGTGAGGAGGAAATACGACCGTGACATCACGAAAGGCGGCATATTCCTTGGCGAGTCGAATGACGGCAGATGTATCAGCCGCGACCAAGTACGGTCCCCCACTTTGCAAATGAGAGAGACAATTCAAAGCATTCGTGACCAACTGTTTGATTTCTCGATCTCCTCGTGCTTCAATTCCGTACAGTGCCCGAATGTGTGCCGTGGAATACTGTCCAGGAATGATGCCCAATTGATCAAAACTGTCGGCAATCATTTGTGCCACTGGAGGAGAGGGTGTGAACATGACATTCCACACGTCCCGAAATACCTGAATGGCTTCTGGTTCGTCTGGTTGTTTGCGTTCATTGTAACTGTTTTCTCCATAGTGCCAGCTTTGAAACATGGTGGACATGATGATGGGTTCAGGTTTTTGGTAGAATTTCAAGTCCAAACTTCCAGTGCGTTGTGTTTTGTAGAGTTCCGTTCGTAAAACACGAGGCATGCGCCAATCGACTCCTCCTTGTGGCGGCAACAGAAATTCTTCAAAATGAAAGGGTCGTTCCCAGTAAATAAAGAATAATCGTTGGGTGAGATGTGCCACTTGCAAGGTCGCTACGACGGGCCGTAATCGATCCGTGAGGCCACCGCATTTTTCTTTCTTGAGACATGTCATGACCAAATATCGTTGCTCAGCAAAATTGTCGGGTGTCAATCTTGCTCGCTGCTGTTTGTGCCAGTGAAAGTACTGCTTGAGCCAATCTGGAATCATAGTGGATGAATCCCATAGATTCTCCCATTGGGGATCCATGGAAACATAGTCTTGAAAGCTGGTGGGGAACTGGGGGAAACCACCATAATCATAATCATAGGCTGGTGCTTGTGGTACTGCTGCAACTGCAACTGCAGATTTGCCTTTCTTTTCTTGCACCTTTTGTTGAGCTTCCAAGAGTTCTTGCTTCATGGCAGCCAGTTGCTTTTCCATCTGATCAATCGCCAGTTGCTTGGTCTTGACTTCCAGGGCTGCTGCCTGCATTTCAGGGTCACTTTCAGTGGATTGGGTAAATGTGGCAAGACTTCTGGATGGATCCGTTTGTTCTGGAATGGTCATGAGGGAACTGGAGTAACTTTCAGTAGACAATTTTCCACTCAGGCTCAGGCTTTGGTACAAAATGACCACACAGCATCCCACGAACAGCAACAGCAGCAAATGTCGGCTGCTTAGTAATCGTGTGCTTTCTCGAGAAGAACGACCAGTTGGACGATGCAGCAAGCGACGGCCGGAACGGGGGCGAGGCATGGTGGTGGTTGGCGGTTGCTCTTCTAAAGCAGATAGCTACTAGTAGCTAGCAGTGCCAATCTCAATTGAGATCTTCGAAGGATGCAACATAAAAGTATGAAACGGCAAGTTTTGGCGATGTTAGAGATCGATCCTTGGTTGGAAAAGAAACGGTCAAAAATGATGCCACTATGACTCAGCTGAGGGTTAGAGTTGATTCCAGATCTCGTGTCGATTGCCATTACGTGCCACCGGCACAGTGCTAGCTAGTAATGCACCGTACGGTACAATGAGAAACGCAGGATCATGCAGGACCAATACAACCTGCCCCGCTGATCGATCTGTAGATTGCCAATCGAAGAGACCTTTCAGCCATTTATAAAGGATAGTTGAAGCAGTCAAAGGATCCACTACCTGAATACATAATAAAAATGCAGTACCGAACACACCAGAAAAAATCAATTACATGTAATTGGCAGCCATAAAGCTGGCACCAGCAGGGCCTTCTTCACAAACGATTACAAGAGATCATCACAGAGAAAAGGAAGCCTCGAGTCTGTACCTCCTGAGTAAAGATTCTTCCAACCTTTGCTTCATCCGCTGCTTCAACACATCTCTAGTGAAGTCACCCCCCGCTGAGTTGTAGACCGTGTCCAACCGCCCAAGGCTGCAGATATTCCCAACAGTAAACTTGGAATGAATTTTGGCGGGCAAAATGTGTTTGACCATTGACACCATCAATGTGAGACACAAACCAGTATGAAAACAACGAATCCGAAGGAATTGAATAGGGTAGACGGCAGCCACTTCCAGCCAGAACTTTCTGAAAATCTGCACTCCAAAGTGTTTGCTCCAATCAAAGCCTTCACACTCAATAATGTATACAATACCCCTTTTAACGGCTTCCAGATCTGGTGACATGCAATGATTTGTGTAGTACACTGATCCCAGCCAAGCTGCCATGGCACCCGGTTTTGTGTTTAGAGTATTGGCGTACAACTTTGCAGTGTCAAACACCAAGACGTATGCCCCATCCAAAAAACTGAATGACAGGAAAAACTCGGGGAATAAGTCCATAAATTCATGGAGAACTTGCTTTCCATGCTCGTAGGTATCCAAGATTCCGTACTCTTGTCGAAAGGACTGCATCTGGTGCGCTCGTTCCAGAGCTGCTTCTGTATCGCCTTGTTCAATCAAAGCTAGTTGAGCCACCCAAAAGTCTGAGACAGAATCCAACTCGGGGTCGTCTTCAATGGCCTGTTTCACGTTGAGAGCCCATTGGCGCTCCTCGTCGGTGAGTTGCATTCGACTATAATCTTCCTCACTCTCTCTGCTGTCACTCTCACTGCTGCCACTCTCACTGCTGTCACTTTCATATTCATTATCCTCGGTTTCCATCTCTCGATTGTTTTGGTCATTGGCTCCATATGCATTCACCGCTACAGCTTCTGCATTGGCACCTGCTGCCACAACTTCTGGCTGACGATCCATTCCGTCTGGTACCAGAGGTGGACCTTGGTTGGAGCTGCCATCATCATGCCTTCTGACATGTTCGTTTTCGGCTGCTGCTTGCATGGTACCGGTACCAGTACGGGTAACGCTGAAAGATGAAATGAATTGACTGGTACCGGTACTGGCACGAGGCAATCAAACTGCTGCGGCTGCTGGCTATTATGCCACAGTTTATTCTTGGAGCTGTCTTCTAATGCAGAACAGCGGCCATGCCGAGCTCGCTGATCGATCAAAGAGCAGGAACAATCATCAAAACAGGGTGCATGGTGGTACTGGTATCAATGCATGCGTGAGGAACGCAAACTTACTTTCAGTCATGCGAAGTTACGGCGAAACTCCCTTTTTTCACAGCGAAATTCGTGTGCTTTCGAGTTAGGCTTTATCATAGGCTTTTTCTCGATGTTCGTGATCGCGGCAATTTCGCTAGGAGACCGGTGCTTAATTAAACAAGAACAAGGTGGTTTTTTAAAAGGAAGAATAAGGTGGTTTTAAGGACCTGTTAGTCCCGTACGGTATATTCGTGACACGCTGAAGGATCATCGAAACACACCAGTTTCAGTGTTTCAATCCAAAATGAAGACATCTATCCTCATTGCTCTCCCCGTACCCCCCACAACAACAGCCACCCACCACCGCAGCCACTGCTTTGCCTAGCTTCGCCCCCCTCGCTCCTTAACGTATCTATTTAGTATTTATTAGTGTATCGTAAAAAATCTACTCTAGCTAGCTAGTAGCCCCTTTCCTAGCTAGGTAGAACCTAGTTTGAGCTAGAAAGTTATGTTGCGGTGGATCTGAACACTTTGCCATCGAACCAGCCTTTCATACCTGGTACATGTACAACCACTATACAGGATGGAATATGTGGCAACAAGGGGCTGCTTTGCACTCTACTCGAGTACAATGTACAACAAGCATCAGTTAGGACAAAGCTGAAGCTCTAACTCCTCCGTTGATAAAATAGGCAGCCATGACAAAGATGCATGCAAAGCTCATGCAAAGTAATTACTTGAACACAGAATTAATTAAATAAATCGGCTGCCAGACAGCCAGGCACGGTAAGGTCGAACGCGGCTGTTGTGCCTTTATGCACCGGAGCCAATGTTTGTGGGGGTTATCGGTTTAGGGTAGCGGCAGGGTGGACACTGGACAGTCGTACTCAGAGTAGCCTTTTAAAATAGAATTCTATTTACTGAGTACACTTTATGCACCAGAGCCGATTTCGGAGGTCAACCAAAGAAATATAGTGACAATTGAAGCTTGCTTAGGGGGCTAGGGTACACTATTTGTTAGTCGATTGTTGCTTCAATTGTCTCATCTGCATGGTTGGATTGGGGATAACTGGTACACGATCCTTGAGCCCCCTGTTTCTCTCGGTGCGCACACTGTCTAAAATTTTGTTCTTGAAGTGTCATCGTTGTGCGTCATTCAGCTTGGATCTTGGTCTCTATTAAAAGTACTAGCAAGCTAGACTAGTAGAGTTTTTTTTACTCGATTGCTTTTGTTTTCGTGAGGGCTGGCTAGAGCTAGCTAGTAGCTAGAGGGCCATTCTATCTTTTTTTCGCGGCTTATTCCTGATTTGCCTGTGTTGCTTGCTGGCGCCAAGAGACATCTAAAGAAATCTCGCAACAGCAAACATACAGAGTCGAGTCTATCCCCCCACATTGTCACCTCTAACCGCATACTAGTAGTAAACTCCCGCTCTCAGTATTACAGCAAATCCTTCCGGGCTGGCGAAGGAGGAGACTGCTCTTTTAGCAATTTGCTTGTGCGCAACAATGATGTACCGCTGCTTGTTGTTGGTGGTGGTGAGTCATCTGTTTCTATTTTGGAACGACGGCGAACGCGTGGGATTTGCGCATGCAGTACCAACCAGATGTGAAGAACCCATAACACGACGCTCTCGAGAACTCGTGGGCCCTGTATTCGAAACCCCCGCCTGGAAGTCTTTTCAGGCTGTGTGCCAGGAGAAGCTCTATACCATCGCAACGTATGCCGACACACACATCTATCATGTGATCACTCCCATGCCCACCACCGCAGATGATGCCAACAATGATGAGGACGCTGCTGGTTTCTGCAACGAAAAGCTCGTGCTCCACGATGGTGGGGAAACGGGAAGAACCATCATTGTGGAAGAAGCTGGATTTCAGTCTGGTAGAGACCAGGATGAGGATGACGTCTTCCACTTTCAGGGATCGTTCTCACTGAGAGCCATCTTGCAAGCATTCCACACGGCCAACACTCTCATGCAAGATAATCCCCAGGAGAGGAGCAAGAATTCCTATGACGTTCTCTACAACAACTGCGCTACTTTCATTCTGGGTTTCATGGATGCTTTGGGTTTGGAGCCTGGTCAACCCATTGCCAAATACATTGCCGGAAGGTTGGCACAGAATGGAGGACACACCATTGAAATGTTGCAAGACAGCCAGGAATTTCAAGCTCTCTTGCCTCCCAAAATGACTACAACCTTGAAGAATGATGACATGCGAAACAAGGAGGACGAGAGGGAGCTATTGCAGCTTCTTGTGGAATACTACATTCAGAATCGAGTCAAGGTGGAACCGATTGTTTTGGAATCTGAGGAGGCAACAAGTGCTCCCGACACTTCTACTCAAGCATCTGCAGGTGGACACGTCACCTACCCCCGGAGTCTTCGCCGCTACTTACAGGCTGCCAGTCAGGATCAAGACAGTGCCACCTGCTCCCTTTGCTATGGAGGAGCCAGCCCAAATCCAAATGGTACTGTGTTGCCAGCATGGGTCGATGGCATTGGGTACACAACCTGCGAGGATGCCGAAATCCTTGCCAAAGACTTCCTCGATGGATCCATCAGCTGTACCATCAGCCAAATCTCGGGAGTAGCACACTGTGGTTGCCCTGACCTACCACCCATCAACCCTGGCATTGGGTGCAACTTTTGTGGAAACGATAATCCCAGCTACAACATTGGTTTTCACCAGAAAATTCCACAGTTCCAAAATCCCGAAAGCAGCAGCGAGCAGTTCCTCTGTTTCGACATGATCATTGCGGCACAGAACTTTCCATCCAGCAAGAACTGTGAGGACCTTATCTCAGCTGGAAGCAAGCACTGGTGTGGATGCCCCGATGCCCCAAAACCACCTGCCACGTGCACTCTGTGTTTGGATGGAGCCCCAATCCCTGATCCTTCCTTGGAGGTATTGCCAGGTGGTGGAACCTGTCAGGATGTAATTGACCTGATGGAAGCTGGATTCTCGGACAACTGCGGAGCCATGCAAGCCACGACGGGTGTGTACTGTGGATGTGAGGCCAATATAAAGCAGGCCATTGGTGATGTTGGGACCTACGATCTGAACTTTCGTGATACCCCGTGCCGCATCTGCCCGAACGGGGCCTTGCTGCAAGACACTAGCCAAGTTGTCGTGTTGAACTATCGGAATAATGGTGTGCAACGAAGACTGGATACTTCCTGTGGAGAGATCGAGTTCTTTGCGAATGCCTATGACATGTGTGACGAACCTAACACGTTCAGCCATGCTCCTTTCTGTGGCTGCTTTGCAGAGGATGAAGGTCCTGATTGCCATCTCTGTTGGGGCAATGAAACGGTGGTCAATGAAACGGAGGCTCTCTTCCCCGATCTGCCATCTACATTTGCTGAAACTTGTGAGAGCGTACAAGCCAGTCTTCCCACCTTCCCAAACTTGCACCATGGAAGGCCCCGTTGCACACAGTTGCAGGAACTCGGTTTCCTTGCTTGCGGGTGCCCCCAGGTGCCACCAGAACGGTCAAATACCTTTCAATGCCCCTTGCCTTGCTCGTACGACCAGATTGACCCATTCAGGTTGGATTTTACGTTTCAGCCCGACTACAAGACTTGTGGAGATATTGTGGCATCTGCCAACCACGCCAAGTCTCAAGAAGAGTGTGACGAGTTCTCCAAGAGAATCCAGTTCTGTTGCGAGGGGACACCCTACACAAATGGTTGCAGCCTCTGTGATGGAGGCTCGGACCCACAAGTGCAAGGTTACGACTCGGACGATTCGCCAGTGACTTGCCAAGACTATCAGTCCTTTTTACCTCAGCTTGTGCTTTCAGACGACTCGAAGGAATGCACTCGCTGGCAAGACTTTGGGTACATTTCCTGTGGTTGCCCCAGCCAGCGTGCCCCTCTTCCACATCAGACCGAGTGCCGCGTCCTGCCAGAGTCTTGCTCCCCCATTGATATGGACCACTCCTGCAAGCACGCATTGAGCATCATTGGGCGTGTGGAGAATGCATCTGAGTGTCTGTATGTCCAGCAGTTGTTTGATCTTTTGTGTTGCGGAGATTTGGATGCACGGGAAATTGTCGTCCCGAGCAATGACGGCAATGGCACCGTCATGACAGTTACGGTAGAAATTGTCTTTGATGAATTTCCGTCCGAGGTTGCATGGTCCATTCTGGACTCAGAGGCTCAGCGCATCGCTGCTTCTCCCGTGTTTGTCACGCCCGATGACTACAAAGTCAATTTCGATTTGGCTGCCGGTGAGTATGTCTTTGTCATTTTGGATGCTGTCGGTGACGGGATTATTGATGGGTCGTTCCTGCTCCGGGCCGGTGAGGAGGTACTGGTGGAAAACGTGCCCTACACGTACTACCAAGCCATCAATTTCACGGTGTCTGCGGAAGCCAATAACACTGTCGGAGTAGCCAATGATCCTGCTTCTACCAACACGACATCGGGGGCCCATGAGGACGAATCAAAGAGCCCTGCAGTTGCCCTTATTGGGGGCTGGTTGGTCGCGGCAATGGTGATGACAGTTTCTGTGATCAATTATTGAAGATGAATGAAGTTAGTTATAAGTTGTCTGTTGCTACATGGAAAGAATTCAAAAACCAGTGTATTCTGGGCTGGGCATTCTGTTAATATATCCCTGTCTAGATTGGTTTCTTCGTCGCTGCCACATCCATGGCGCTGGTCTACCTACACGTACGTATTGTGGAACAGAAGACTCTCAAGTTCTCGGCACGACAAAGCCTGGCCTAATCCTCCCACATTGGGACCTTCTGCCTCCTTAACTGTCGCAGACAACAACAACAACAACAACAACAACAAAGATAGGACCCAAACCACACCAGATGCTCTCCGAAACTCCAGCAAGAAACAGTCCCGAGCCGCCTCTAAAGTCTATCGAGAACGAACCAAGTTACAGCTCTCAGGGCGCGTCTTATGTCAAGGCATGTGGTATCTCTTTGCGTTCTTTGGGATCTGGTTATGGCCCGCACCGTCATCACCGTTTTCGAATCACTATATTGGATCCTGGTGTTGCTCGCCATTACATTGCCCGCACAAGGATTCCTCAATTAGATCATTTACATTCGACCACGCTTCCTCACAAGTTTCGTGAAAAGCATTCCGAGTGGGGATTCTGCTATACATTGTACCGGGCGCTCGCCAAGCCGTTTGTGGCCAGTCCTTGGTGTGCTCAATTCCTGCTGTGGTACGCAAGGACGGGAGGAAACGGGGTACACAACCACTGCATGGATTCACCACTACTCAGCAGGGCGGTTATGGATCGAGTATGATGTCCTTGGATGACCTGGACGGCGATAATGACCATCAGAAGGAGATCACCCAGGCACCGGGGGATTTGCCTAACGACCTAGATCCAGACTTCGAGGCGCCACCGACGGACGAGGGAGAGGGCGATGACGTGCTGCCGGGGGAGGGTGAGAAGTGCAGAGGATTCAAAGTCACGGCCACACACTAGCTAGCCAGGTATCAAGTGGATTGACGACGAATGGACGGATACATATACGTTCGTGTTGCACGTTTCTATATAAAAGTTTCGTTCATTTGTGGCATGCAACGGGACGTCTTGAAGTATCATTGTACCAGTACGTTGTATGCGGCTCATGCTCGTTGCTCGCCGACATCGAGGATATCGTCAGGGGGGAACAAGGCACCATCCTTGAAGAGCTGAAGGATGTTGCCTTCCACTTGTTCGATTCTACCGCGGAGGTACGAGATGGGTTCACCCGTCTTTTGGTCCACTCCAGATACTACTCGTTTTCGTTTCACCAAGAAGGTTCCGTCACGCTGATGAGGTGAAAGAGGCAAAAGACTTTGCTGATAGAGCCACTCGAGCCTTTGTTTTGTGGGCAATTTGACAATCTGCTTGGACCCGAGCACTCCGCATTTGAACACGGCGTCCGAAGTAGCATTGATGCCGCAGTCATAAGATCTCCACAAGATGAGAGAGATGGCTTGCTCTTTGGTGCCATACACACCTACTCTGCAGTCAAATGTGGGCAGAGATTGCAGGACTGCCATCGTGTCCACCTCCTTCTTACCGGCACACAACGCCATCAACTCATAGTTGAAGCGAGCCGTGACAGTGGCTGCCGCCAACGAGCAAAGCTTTTGGAGACGGCCATTGTACATGTGTGGTTGTCGTTCCCCGCGGACAATGGACGTGGGAGCCACCAAGACTGTCATTTCATCCGACTGAGTGTAGCCACAATGAGCCACAAATTTAGTCATGAGCCCCTCACAGCACGCCTTCATAATGGCAGCAAACTCTGGGGAGTGTCCTTTGCTAAAGACGCCCAGCTTTTGTAAGTGCCTTGTGAATTTGCTGAATCCAGTTCCATCACATCTCAAAGAGATCCACTTTTCACCTGGAATGTGATGAGTGTATTCTTGGTTGGGCTGTTCTGCCTTTTTGATGGCGTCTCCTAGCATGGTCCATTCTGGCTTTGCCACAAAAGGAGCCAGCGGATGCAGGTCAAAAGGCACACTGTCCCAGCGAGGAGGAACGCTCTCTTTTAGTTGCGTTTGGAGTCTAAGAGCGGCTTCCGCCATGGTAGGAGTTGTTTTCTTGCCATCGACTTTGTCGGTAGGTTCTTCGTTGCCGGTGTTGTTGTTCATGATGATCCTGGTATGTTGTCTTGTCGATCTTTTTATGCTGTGTGCTGCTCGATCGGGGAGAACCAAACCCAAACAACGAACGGCGAAGCGCCAAATGAGAAGAATGAGACACGCACGTCTCGAATATAGCGAAGTTGGGGCTGGGCACCACGCAGCAAAACCTCTGGCTATAGAGTGTCCAACCTATATTCGGCGCAGGATGTATGTTGGTCCAAGTTTTGTAAGAGAAGTAACTGTTGGCGTCCAATGTCTGCTCTTGCTGCTTTCTACCGTGGTCTGACTTTTGTCTTCGAACTCAGTTGGCTGGCTACCTGCGATGCATGGACATGATTGCATGGCAGAGCGGGCCAAAATCAATTCTTAGCACCGTATCGTACTGTACCGGTACTGTACGGAACAGCTGTGCCGTGTACCGTACACAGCCAGAATAGCCAGCTTGCTAGCTCTCTAGTCTAGAGTGTAGCAAGAAACGCTTGATGATGGCACCAACCGAGTGCATGGCATGGCTACAGATAGTGTGTCAAAAAGGTTCGTGCGCTTTTTACATTTGCTTAATTATCATAGCTGTACATTTACATTATAATTGACTGCTTGCTTGCTGGATCCCCGTATTCATTTCAAAATTGGGAGTTGGAAGTAAGTAAGATAGCTATGCTGAATGTGCATTTGACGTTTGTATGGTTGTCTATGTATTGCTGCAGTTTTGTACATTGATGATCATTCGTCGTTTGGGCATGAGCGAGGCAGCTGGTTTTTGTTGCAGATACGCCTTCCACTCTGGCCATTGTTGTCGTCTGACATGTTTGAGGGGTGTGAATCCTCTCTTGTCTTTGATGTATAGCAGATCGGGGGAATGTGTAATGAGCAAATCCATGAGTTGAAAATTGGGTTTGTGGGACCAGCAGGCATCGTGGAGAGGCGTTCGTCCGTAGTCGTCACAGACGTGGAGTGGAACGTGTGCTTCTTCAATGAGAAACTTGGCCACTTGCACAAGTCCCTTGCGACATGCCAGATGTAGAATGGATTCTCCAAATCGATTGCTGCATTTGAGTGGTCGTCCCGCAGCGTGGAACTGTTGCAAGACGGGAATGTTTTCGGTCCGTACAGCAGCCAGAATGTCGTGATCGTAGGCATCGATTTCGGCTTGTGTGGGTGGAAGGAAGAAGCCTTGGAGAGCCTCTGAATCGTAGGCAAGGATGGTTGGAGGTTGTTGTTTACATTGTGAAATGATCTTGTGTTGAATGAGAGTGTCTGGGTCTTGATCCGTGGGAACTCCCTGTCTGGCTAGCAGCATTCTGTCTGGAAGACTAGACATGATTCTCTGTACCTTTCTGGGTGTATGTTCATGCTGAATGGAAGCAGCGGAGATGGGCGCCATGCGGTACTTGGCACAAGAGCTGCTGCTTCGGCTGGTACAAGTAGTACTGGTGCCAGTGCTGGTATGACTGCTGGTGCTGCTTTCACTGGGGCGTCGACAACTGTTACTCACACTCCTGCTGGGAGTCAGGCGGTAGTTGGGAAGCATGGCTTTATCTTAATCTTAATATCAATCTTAATAGCAGTATTAGCATGGCTTGTTGGTGGGTATAATGATGGGTATATGGGTATATACCTCTGAACTTTGCAGACTTGGTTGGTTGGTTGGTTTCTTGTGAGTTCTGACTCTGGCTAGTTATTATGATGGTAGCTATTCTGCTGCTTGTGATTGTGATACATGTAGTGAGCAAGTAAGAAGACAAAGTAAGTGGTACTTGTATAGCAATAGCCTCCTCCTGATATCGTCGTTGTGTTGTTGTGATAGCATCTGATGGCCCCTTCCTACCTATCCATCCGATCCATCAATAGTGGCCATCTGCCGATCCCTTTTTGGAAGCCCATTTTGTGAGCTGGACCATTCTGAGCTCACGTTATGCAGTGCGTACCGAATGGCCCCACAAAGATACTTAACAGTTCGCGCGTGTTCGGACCACCAAGCTTTAACGACGGGACGTCACTGTGTGCCCCAAAGTATCAATGTGTGAATCGCGTCAATATAATACTTCATTTTGATTGGCTTAGAAACTGAGGTGGCAGCAATTTTATCTTGTGCAGCTCTTGCGATCGCTTTTCGTCGTTCCAATTTCTGCCACCTCAGGTCAAAAGTTTACAATGTTTACAAGAATTCAAAAGAATCTTACTCCCGTGTGATTGCAACTGGGATTCCCATTCCATCCTTTGACGTTGGTTGAGCTGTCTGGCCATGGCATCGCTGTTGGATATTATTGTTCAGGACATCAACCCTTCAACCGATGTTTGTGTCCAGGTTGCCGGGAATGCTGGATGGCGAATGCAAATTTTAAAAAATGAGGCCCATGACCACAGGCATACTGTAGTACCAGTCATGCATTTTAGCATACCTGAGGTTGGTTTGTGGAATGTTACTTCGATGCCAATCTACTACTGCAGAAACTTGAGCAAGCCAATTCTAAACACCATGAATCTGCCAGCAGGACGAAATAGTTAGTTTGGTTCCTAGGATTAATTGACAGTCGAACACACGCATCTCGTGTGATTGATCTACTACTGCAGAAACTTGAGCAAGCAAATCTTAAACACCATGAATCTGTGAAGCCAGCACGAAATACATGTAGTTAGTTTGTTGGTTCTTCCGAGGAGGAGTGACAGTCGAAGCATCTCGTGTGATTGTCGGCTCTGAGCGTAGCTAGAAGCCACCGTAGTACATGAATGTAGCTTGAGGAGAAAGAAGCCGCAAGGTTCCACTTGGAGCTGACTACCGCACCTGGTAGGATACTACTGGTATGTATACTAGTTCTTGGAACCAGGCAGCCCACATGTGGCTGGCTAGCTGAGGAGTTTTGAGGAGTGTTGCTCAGATGCCAATGACCTCTTGAGCAAGCAAACAAATCAGGAATATGATAGTAGACTACCGTAATTGTAGCAATCTGTAAAGCCAGCACGAAACAAATAGCTAGTTTGGTTCCGAGTTGGTGCTGGTGGCAGGCAGTCGACCTAACGCACCTCTCTTTCGTTCCTGTCGTGTCATGCATCGCATACCGGTAGATGCCACCGTATGGTGTTTTGAGAAGATAGAAGCAGCCCAAGATCCACCTTACTTGGAACTCCCTTCTGTAGGTACTTGGTAGGATAGCTCTTGGTATTGTCTATTCAGCAAGCCGAGAGGTCTCGCAGCATCCAAGTGGTGAAGTAGGAGTCCCCTTGGCAATGCATTGAATGCTGCAGAGCGTGGAAAATGAGTAAGCCAGAATAGATGCCTTGATACCCGTCTCATGTGGCGATGGCTCAGTCGAAAACAAAACGAGCATCCAATTTCAGCGATAGATTTGCTAAATCTTTGCTCTTGACTGATTATCGAAAGATTTAACAAGAGAGAGAACCAGTAGAAAAGGGCTTTTGCGCTCATTTTTCACAGCAATCAACCAAACGTCCTCAACAGTTCTTGTTGTGTCCCGGTGCAAAGTCCAAAAGGACCGCGACACGACGGTTGGGTTGTGGGAAAGGAGATGGTGGCGAATGATGCCTGGTTAGTACAAAGTCTTGTCATGTTGCCATTGACTGACTGATTGATACATACATGAATACTTGACCATGAGGAAGCAATTGCTGTCCATTTCAGCAGAAAGAGTGAGGAGTGCGCATGCTCCAAGATGGGGTAAGGCAAAGATGCTGGTGCAAGTGCTGGTGCACCTTGGGCTCATGGCCATGCTGGTGTTTGTCTGGTTTACCATTGCCTCAGTCGGTTCAGACAAGAGAATACACATCACTCTGAATAGAACTACTAGTACTGGTACTGGTAGTCGTAGTACTAGTAATAGTATTCGAAATAGACGAGTTCAGCTTCGACCCGGATTTCAAGTCCAACAACCGCAAAGGATACCAAATCAAGGAGATCAAGGTCAAGCTGAACCAGTTGAACAATCCAGTACTATTCCTGAGGATACTAGTAATGTGGATCAATGGATTCAGGTGAACTGCAGTTCTGATATTCAGGTGTTTACGTCCTTCTTGAATGTGACTCTCTTGCAAAAATGGTACAACGGTACTACATCTACAAGTACTAGTACTAGTACTAATACTACAAGAAGTAAGAGTAGCAAGAGTATACCGGTACAGAGCCCCTTGTCAGACCAAGCTCACACCCATGCCAGTGTATTGGAGTCTACTCTTCAAACCATCTACAATGCTCTCAGTGTTCAGCAGTGTGATTCTTACTTCAGACAAGTCCTCAATGTCTCCATGTTGGGAACCAATCAAGTCCATACCAGTAGTACACATCAAGTCAATGCAACCAGAACTGTGGTGGGAGGACCTGGTGGCTTTGGTATCCTCAGCAACAATACAAGAGAAAATACACAAGCCAACAACAACAACAGCAGTAACCTTCCTGTGAGTACTGCCAACTCGGCTCTCTTTCAAGTCACCGGAGTTTGCAGAGGTTGTCGTGTCACACCCACGGGATCCTTTAACCTCTTTGACGATGGCTTTCGGCTTGCACTGGGACTCTTCCCCTTTCTAGACAATAATGCCACAACAAACGCTACAAACCACACACTCTTCACGCCCGGTCAGTGCTTTTGTAAAGTTCCTTCATCACAATCTACACTACAAATACACGAAGACAACAACCAGCATAACCAAACACTCCTAAACCTGGTCAATCAACAACTCGTACAAACAACCATAACACCCGCACCCACGATGGCACCGGTCCATCATGTACGGCCAACCCACAGTGGAGACTCGGAAACGCAAGGATTCACGGGTGGCATTCATTTGGGCTCACTCGTAGAGACCACGCATGCACAAGTACAGGAAGAAACGCAAATGCCATCGTTCATGCCCACTCAAGTACCTACCAGTCCTCCGTCCACCGACAGCGGCGGAAGCCCCGACTTTTGGTTCAATCTGTTTCCTGCCGATTTGATGGTCGAAAACCAAGAAGAATCCATACCCAACCAACCAACGCAGCCCACGAATCATCTTCCGCCGACTACCCAGAGTCCGTTCTACACGACGAGTCCGTTCTATGACAGAATAACCGACGCTCCTGCCTCCTCTTCCTCGTCGGTAGTAGAAGAAGACAATACCATCCTTGGCTTTGGTCCTCAAAGACCCCTGGTGGGAGGAGCGAGCAATCTAGAACAAGATGTCACCACGCCAGCACCGACCGGTCCGTTTCGATTTCAGCAACTCCCGTTTCAAGGCAACAATCCGAGGCCCACGGAAAGCAGCAGCAACAACGTCGACAATGACGGCAGTCCGAATGATTCGGCATTGTTGCCGTTTCGTCTTCCCAATAGAGGAGACGCCGTGTTTGTGGGAGATGCATCGTCGTCATCATCCGCGACACCAAGTCCTGCCGCTACGCTCCCCCCAACCATGCAAGTTTCGGTTGTCGAAACAACCATAGACGACGTAGAGGGTGAGGAGGAGGAGGATGTTGCCATGGGTGCATCACCGTCGCCTACGATAACGAATTCTTATGCCATGGCACCGGATGGGGGTTGGCCGAGATGATGATGACATAATAAGGCACATGAAGTGGGCACTGAACGTTTCGGGTAAAGTAGACAGGGGGGTGAATTAGTACCGGTACAGTACCGTAGTATTAGTAGTTCTATCGAGAGTAATTTTAGTGTATAGTTTTGGAATGATATCCATCATCCATCCCACCGTACTCATAGCTTATAGTCTAGTCTGCATCCTCTCCTTACTTTGAAGTGTTTGGGGCGGGGAGCAATCATACATGTCAGCCCGAGAGGTCGCAGCTTACTGCTATGACATAGGTAGGTTGATCAGTTGTCTTTGCAGCCTTGCTACCTCCTACCGTATATATGCCGGTGACGCACGATTTAGCGTCCACGCTCGGGAATTCCCCGCTTTTTTCGTGCTTAAACGACGAAACAAAACAAGCCTTGCTGGTGCAGTACACTAGCTAGCTAGTAGCATCACTCGGCCATGGATGAATGAAGCAGACGGAGGAGCTCGGAACATCAGACAGATCAATCAAGAGAACGAGAAGCCAAGCCAAGAGACAATACTAGCTTGCTTGTACACAGAGTAGTAAGAGCGTTGATTCATTCATCAATAATACAGTAAGAGAAGAGAAAGAAAAAAGATTTGACAATGGCAGCAGCAGCGGCAGGACCTCCACAAACGTTTCCCTATGACTATCTGTTCAAGGGTAAGCTAGTCTAGTACATGTAACATGTACTGGAAGAGACAATGTCATCCAACTAACGCCGCCCTCTCTTTTACTCGCCTCGCTGCTGCTTCAGTGCTGATCATTGGAGATGCTTCGGTTGGAAAGGTACGCAATCAAATCCGTGTTATTTAGTGCCCCTCTTTAAATTGTGTGACTGAATGTTTTACACTTTGTTTTAAATTCCACGGTAAACCATAGTCATCCATGTTACTACGGTTCACGGACGACTCGTTTGATGAGCACATTCAGAGCACCATTGGAGTGGACTTTAAAGTCAAGCACATGGACGTCAGTGGCAAACGCATCAAGCTTACGATTTGGGATACGGCAGGCCAAGAACGATTTCGGACTCTGACGTCTAGCTACTATCGAGGCGCCCACGGCGTGGTCTTGGTGTACGACGTGACCCGCACGGACAGTTTTGAAAACTTGGAGCAGTGGCTGAAAGAAGTTCAGCTCTATTCGCCCAATGGAGGAGAAAATGTCGTCAAATTGCTCGTTGGAAACAAAATTGATCTAGAACGAACCGTACCTCGAGAACAAGCCGAAGCTTGGGCTCGCTCTCAAGGAATGCTCTTTCTAGAAGCATCTGCCAAAACCAAGCTAGGTATCCGACAGGTATTCATGGAAGTCGTACAGAAAATTGTCGAGAATCCGGAACTGCTAGCCAATGCGGTCCCAGGGAAACCCAAAACTACCACACAATTGCAACCGCAACATCATCAACATGGGGGACACAGTGGCAGCATGTACGATGATGACGATGGAGGATGTTGCTAAGTTATCCACCAACCAACCACAGCACCTACTACAGCAATATCTATCCAACCACCAACTAGAACCGTTGTACGTGATGGCCCACTGCAACAACAAAAACTATGAAGCCGAGTCAAACAAAAACAACCGCAACGACAACGAACCAAAAGGATGTAAGACAGTACTATAGCAATAGTGCAACAATCCATGAACCAACAGTTCTATTTGATTATCATTCACTCTTCATTCATTCATTCAATCAATCCACGCTACTGTACACTGTAGTCATTCATTCATTCATTCAGGAGGTTCATTTATTTCTCGGTTGTGTGCATGGAATGGAAGGACACAGTTTCACTAGTCTACTAAACGTAGATTTGTACCGAAACCCACGGAATCCAATCACCGGCTGCGCCATGCCTCCTTCTCGTATCGTACAATAGATCACTGTCGTTATGTTATTTGTAGCTGCACAGGTCGTGGTCGACAGACACGCGGATTAGATTAGCTCAAGACGTTGCACTGCATTGGACCGAACGAGCCGTACCGTAGTGTTCAAAATCGTGGTACGGTATCTTCAGCCCAGGCAGAAGCCGAACGATGGAATCCATTTATTTCTCGGTGGCATGCTCGGGCGGTACGGTACGACTGTACGCACAAGATTGAATCAAATACATCTAGCTAGCTAGCAACAGTCGTCGCTGGATGCTATGCTTTGCTTCCGATTCCGTGCCGATATCAATAGTCTATCGTGTTCACAAGAAGGATAGCTACAAAACGACTTGGCTACATACCGGGAGGGGGGCCAACCACCAGCAGTGCATTTGACATTCGCGCAATCGATTCAATTCATCCTCAGCTTAAATTTAGCTATGGTAGGTACTCCCAATGTCAATGTGAGAAAAAGTCTATTACGATACAGTACCAAAAACTCGAGAAGAAATTACATGGAAAGACGTTTCACGATCGACAGCCAAACGTAAACATCCAGCTCTAGAGGCAGCATGCGTATTGATGTGTCATGCTGCTTGCTTGCTACTAAATAGCCGGCTTCAAAACCTCAACCCAATGCCAGCAGAGGCATCCAAGATAACAGCATCAGTAGCACTCTCAAGTTTGTCGTGGTACTTTGTAGTGTTGATAATGAGCCGCTGCTGTGGGAAGAAGATGCATACGTGTCTGGTGGTTGCTCTTGCTCCTTGTTTTCGACATCGTTGGATCCATCTTTTCCCCAAATATGGTTGGTACTGCTACTGTCGTCACCATCGCCGCCGGGTTCTTTGCTGCCGTCCCGGGCGACTTCGGCCACATCGTCCGTCACGGTGCTACTGTTAGTGTCGTCGTCCAACTCGGCTAGATCGTCCAACTGCAATAGATCGGACATGTTGAGTCCTTGGAATAGTCCTCGTTTTTCTCGTAAATTGTCGAATTTGACATTCATGGCATCGACGCATTCTTGAACACCGGGTGCCCGAGGTTCCGTTGGCAGAGCTCCTTCGACGCATTGACAATCGGAATTGGAAGTGTGTTCCGAACCCAATTCTCGATGTGTCACGGAAGTAATTGTAGTCAGTGTGGTTTCCAGGCGGACATTGTATTGCGCGTCTCCAAGGGTGACAAGATGGCGTTGTCGTCGACGAAAAGAATCGTCGTAGAGTTCAAAGGCACCCGTTCGCGTGACGGGGCATGCCTGGTCTCACCAACAAACAAAAACATAAGCAGAGGTTAAAGAGATGATAGATGGATGGGTATCAAGCACACATCATACGGTGCAATAGATCTGACTTACCCTACAAGTCCCAGTGATTTCATAGGTAACATCAACTCCACCTCCCAATCTGGACGCATTGACATCGAGTGGTGCGTCGGTAGGTCGAGCCTGTAGTAGTCTCTGGTTGGAATCGCCGTCATCAGTAGTACTACCGGTAGTAGCAGAGGTAGCATTGGGTAGCATGAGTTCGTCTCCTAGATCATTTGTCATTTTGATAAATGTCAGATTGGCAATTCTTCGAAAGTAAGCGTCGCAGTTGGACTCCGTAAGTCCATTGTAGATTCGTTGAAACTCGACATTCAACGCCAAGCGTTCTTCCATTTCCAGAAATTCGGAACGACCTTCCAGTACCATCACGGTCAACGCCGTAAAGATCGTCTGAGTCGAAGGACAAGTCACGTCCACCAAAGCAGACGTATTCGTATAGTTAAAGGGACTCGTATATTCCACTCCTTGACAACCAGAGATATAGAACATCAAAAACACAGATACTGGTAGCCACAAACCACAGCTTGAAACTCCCACGTGAAATCTCATCTTGCTTTCTTGTTTTTCTTGCTTTTATCTCTTCAGTCTTCAGTCTGCTCAATAGCTATGAATAAAACTAGCTTAGCCCAGGTTCACTCGGAAGATAGATGAGACCTACCAGCGATGTATGATAACGCAATGGGAATGAATAGGATGGAATAGAATTAGAAGATGAGGTTCAAATAAATGTGAAAGTGAGGAGGGCTTGCCACTTGCCAGCCATCACTATCATCTCACTATCATGCAAGACCCGTGATGTTTGTTGGCTTCGGCGGGTCACTTTTGCTTCCCACCACGTATGCACATACCTGTACCGAGCACGTCAGACTTGCATCCAACTGAGCAAAATTTCAAACAGACTTATAAACTATGAAAAGCAATAAATGTTAAATCTATTTGAACTTCACATTCTCATTCACTATTGCTGTCATACTCCGCTTGCATAAATAAATGCGAAGCTAAACAGTTCTAACAGACCCAGTGAGAGGTCACGCTCAGAGTGCTCTTGTGCAAATCAACTCCCGCAGCAAGGCGACGGTTCCAAAGCCACTGCATGAAGCCAAGGAAGCCCAAGAGCTGTCCGCTGCTTGGATGGAGACTAAACCCAACTATTATACAGTACGGTACCTCCATGGTACATGTACCGGTAAGTGGCGGTACGGTACAGAAGTGGTACGTGGGGTACATACAGTAACATGTTCGCACCTTTTGTGCATGTGCGAGGTTGGCGCTGCTACGGTACCGGTACCGTAGCTGCCGAATGCATTGCTTGAAGCATTCAAGCCTCGGCTGCCTGGTTGCTTCTACGGTACCAGCTACCGTTGCTACTACAGACAGTGGTTGCAGTTATGGCTTCAACCGGGGCGCAAGAAAAAGAAGAAATGAAGCTGGATGGAAGACGGACGTCGCTTTCTCGCTCATGTCTTGAAGGCAGGATGCAATCGATCAGATTCTCTCTCGAGCGAAGGCCAAGGTTTTCACGTTGCTCCTTTTCAGAGCTTCCTTCTCGAAAACACGCCCAACTTGAATAGAAAAAGAAGCACAAAGAAAACAACAGCGAAAGTAGTAATGGTAATCGCCCGTGTCTACCTGCCGTACCACATCTTTTTCGTCATTTCACCTGGTGGCTTCAACAGAAGCAATGCTTGCCGCAGCAGCCATCCAGCGAATAGTCATCCAACAGCCAACAGAAGCAACAACAGGAAGATTAGCTGTTGAAGTTGGCTGTTGATCAAAGAAGCGGTCGTCGACCAGTCATGGACAAGCAATGCTGTAGAGAATGCAAAGGAAGAATGGGCGAAGTGCTGTAGAGGCATGTCGCTATGCTTACAATCATGCGTTGCATGTCCAGCCAGAGAATCCTGCTGGGGAAAAGATGCAAGCTGTGGAACGGTCATTTGCAACTACTCCAGTAGTTGTGCACGCTGTAGTTCTCTCAAGTGCTCTTGTAGAGGCATGCTTGCTTCTGCTGTCAGTTGCGTACCGGTACAACATTGCTGCAACCAAGAAGAATTGCTTATGGAACGGCCGCTCTTTATACAGTGATAGTACTGAGGAGTCTTCCTGCATGGATGCACCGCAATCGAAGAAGAAAGACCGCAACCAGAGCATCTTTCTAGAACGGGAGCATCTTTCTAGAGAAAAAGTCCTTGGCTGCCAGTCTTCTTCCTGACTGGTCGTGGCTGCTCTCTCCGGTGATGGAGGATGTCCGCAGTAATCATCGTCTTCTTTGCTTATCCAAACAGGCAGCCACACTCTTGCAGCCCAATTCGCCCCAAGCAAAAGCAACTGAGTATCTGAGTCGAGTGTTAAGCTCCAGCCAAGAGTCATTGTGATTCTTAGCAGCAACCCCTCCCTCTAGTACATGGTGGGAGGCAATACATGCATGCAGTAGCAGAGTAGCAGTAGCAGTAGCAGTAGCCAATGCCCACAGCCGTACAAGAGCAAGTGTGTGGTGAGGACAGGAAAACTTTTCATCTGCCATGGACGGAAAGCGACGACAAGCCAACTCTGACGTGACCTTGAAGGTAGGTAGAAAGAACTAAGTTTTGTGGGAGAGCTATAGCCTTGCAATAACTTGAAGGAGAGAAAGCTATCCAAGATTATCCTTGGCGGCATCACAAACTTGGTGATGTTTTGGCAACGACCAGTTATTTCCGAAACAGCTAGCGGCAGGTTGGCCGCTGGGGCATGGATGCTATAGTGTGCTCGGAATGACTCGACTCGTCGCTCCGCTATTCTACTATTCTAGCTAGCTCCAGTAGTCTAGCTACCGGAAGTAGCTCGCTAGATTGATACAAGCAACCAGGTTGTAAAAGCTCTCCAATAAGTTGTTACGGTCGATAGAAAAGTGAGTATTGATTGGTCATTACCATTAAAATTTTCGAATGTTCACGGGACGCTGCTTCTTTCCGAAAGAAACTATTACGCATTGCTTTCATCCCTACATCCCTACCCTGACCATCATCAAGAAACTATAGACCTCCTAGCTAGCCAGTAGTAGATCAAAAGTGAAGTAACCAACACTCTCCTACTGTGACACCGGAGAGCAAAGAATCCTGCTTTTATGAAAAGAACTCACCAAGCAAGTAAGTTGCCTGAAAGTACTAGCTAGTAGAGGAGTAATCAAGCAAGGGAGCAAGGGAGTGAGCACGAAAACCGATTAGTGAAAGAAATGAGTCGAGTCAGCTACTGAGGTAGATCTAGCTATCTAGCTAGTAGTAGATAGCGCAAACCCCTTGTACACCAGGTTCCAACTTTCGGCAATCCTGGGCCCGCTAACCGGTTTTTTCGGTTACCGGTTATTTGCCATTTGGTTACCGGTTGAATGATTTGGTTACTCAACCGGTAACCGGTAACCGGTACCCTAGCAGAACTGGTTACTCAACCAGTAACCAGTAACCAGTACCCCGTCGACTGGTTACCGAACCGGTTACCGAATCGGTTACTCAAATTGCCCTTTTGGTTACCGAATCGGTTACTCAAATTGCCATTTGGTTACCGGTTGTTTGATTTGGTTACTCAACCAGTAACCGGTAACCGGTACCCTAGCAGAACTGGTTACTCAACCAGTAACCAGTAACCGGTACCCTAGCAAAACTGGTTACTGGTTGAGTAACCAGTAACCGGTACCCAACCAAACGGTTAGCGAACCCTGCTGTGCACTGTGAAGCAGTGAAGCAAACTCTGGAATCATTCAATCATCTATCTCATTGTTAGAGCATGCAGATCGCTTCCTCCAGCGACAACGTTGACCACCACAAGATAGCTACAAACCTGTAGCTACCTGAACTTCACAAACAACAAATAAAACTTGTTGTGGTGCTTACCGGTTAGACATCGTACCGCTAGCTAGCCGTGGGGAAGCAAACTGGGGGTACCGTTTGATGCAAGAGCGAAGATCGTTCATCAGATTCTGAAAAGATTCGGGCCATTGGGTCTTAGAGGCATTGGCACTCCTCATGTCAGTCGCGAAGCATGATTGATTGCCAATCCCAGTTGGAACGAACGGGGAAGAAGGCATAAAGACAGATTGGACCAATTGATAGTGTGGGTGAACACAGCTGAACTGTTTTGGTCAAAATGCGAAGAGCATCAAACCATCTGAGCCAGACATTCTCCTGAAACCAAAGAATAATTGTCTATTCGTGGACGGCCACGGTATCATCGTCCAGTGAGCTCCAAAGGCAACAATCTGCATACCAGTGACAATTGGCTTTTAAGTAAAGCAGCTCTGATGTAGTATTTATTTACCCGCATATCTAGGCTTTTCATCCTGGTGAGCCCCTCTGATTCTGAAATCCGTGGAACCCGTGCGTATTGGTTTGGTGCGTCTTCGGGCATTCTTCAATTGTAATAGTCATTTCTCGGAAACTGCTGAGTAGCTTTGTTTTCCGGACAAAGTCGCAGTGGCATTGGAAGGTAATTCAATGTGTTCCACTGCTTCTTGGTGAGTGACGTTTGAGCTTCTTCAAAAAGTCATTCACCATTGAAAGTATTAATTCTACAGTCACTATGACATGTCCAGTGGGTTTTGCAGCGAGAAAGGAAGGGCACGCTATTATACAGCTGCTCTAAAATCCTTGGCTTCCCAACATCGGAAATTTGCACAGACACTCACTCTCATAAAATATTTTCTCCAGCCATCCTGCTTTCAATCGCTTCAATCATAGAACACTCTTCACAGCTCACACAGATACATCCACCCATCACTACTAGTACACCAAGCTAGCTCAATGACAAGCATGCCGTCCTCTACCGACGCCAGTACGAACTCGATGTTTGAAGATGAGCACGAGAATGAAGGCGCACTAGTAGAAGAGCACGAAGGCCGCTCTACTCATTCCGACGTTGATATGGAAGAGTCGACAACGTCCTTTTTGAGTCGCCGCTCCAAGAAATCCTCGCAAGAGAACACGAGCGAATCTAGCACTCTCGTCAAGCAAGAGACGATTCTAGTGCAGCGCACCAAGATGCTAGTCATCCTCATCTTGTGCTTGGCCGCTTGCGCTGTTGGTGTTGCCACTTACCTCTTCACCACGGCTAGTGAGCAGTGTGATTTCGAGTCAAAGGTGCGTCCAAACTATATATTCCCGCTTTGTTGGCTTACACACCTACCTACATGTACTAGTATTTATACTCACTCATTGCTTCTTCTGACTGCATATCTCTATATATATTATCTAGTTCCACGACTTTTCGGTCGAGATTGCCGACCTGGTCCACCACGAAGCCAGGAATGTGCAGCTCACCGTACACGCCTTTGCTACCACGGTCACTTCCTACGCCATTTCCACCCGAGCCACCTGGCCGTTTGTCAGTGTTCCCCACTTTGAAGTACGAGGCTTGGAGATGAACAACCTGTCCAACTCGTTGCTCATGGGATTCTCGCCCTATGTCACGGAAGACGTGCGCTTCCGATGGGAACTCTACGCAAACTACATGCAAACTTGGGTCCAAGAAGGCGTCGACTTTAACCTCGACCTGCACAAGGACTATCTAAACGAAAACGGAACCGTTGTTGTTCCTCCCATCTTTCCTCAGATCTACAAGCACGGTGTCACTAATACAACACGAGTTCCTGTCGACGCTGGAGTTCCAACAGTGCCGCCCAACAAGACATATCTTCCCGTGTGGCAAATGGCACCGGCACCACACGATCCCACCGTCATTCACTATGACCTCCTCGAGAATGAAGTCTTTGAACGTGTCGAGCACGGAATGCACGGCATTAACCAGGCCGTATTGTCTGAAGCCACCGACTTGGAATGGCTCTACGGTGGCTCCATTCGAGACGATCCCACTCATCCACACAGTTTCCTACTCCAACCCGTCTATGAGGGATTCGAAAACCTTACCGAGTCGGCCATGCTAGGTGTCATTGTGGCCGTCATTGGATGGGACCACATGTTTCGAAACCTATTGCCGCCAGAAGCTCATGGCATTATTGTGGTCATGAAGGATACCTGCGGGGACATGTTCAGTTATCAGATCGATGGCGCCGATGCCATCTTTTTGGGTCATGGAGACCACCACGAAACAAAGTACTCGCATCTAGAAGAATCCACTCCGTTTGATGCCCTCCACAAACTAGAAGTCTCCGAAACGCACGAACACTGCGAATACGACCTCCATATCTTCCCCTCCCAAGAACTCGAAGACGATTATCGAACCAGCAAGCCCATCATTTACACCATTGTGGTCATGTCCGTCTTTTTTACCACCGTCCTCGTGTTTGTGCTCTACGATTGGCTCGTCAAGCTGCGACAAGAAAAGGTCATGCTGGCTGCCAAAAAGAGCAATGCCGTCGTGGCATCCCTCTTTCCCAAGAATGTACGAGATCGCATCATGGCCGATGTCGAAGAACAGATTGCGGCGGGAGAAAAACCCGGCAAGAAGAATCCGCTCATGTTTGGTGCCGTCGCCAAGCATGAACTCAAGCACTTTTTGGATGACGGAATTGCCAATGCCGATGGTGTCCCCTTTGATACCAAGCCCATTGCTGATTTGTTTCCCAACACGACCATTATGTTTGCCGATATCGTGGGGTTCACGGCGTGGTCGTCGGTCCGCGAACCTTCCCAGGTGTTTTCCTTGTTGGAGACTCTCTATCATGCCTTTGACGAGATTGCAAAGCGCAGAAGGGTGTTCAAAGTTGAAACGGTAAGCAAAAGGCTCCGGAAGCTTCGTTCTTGTGGGTCCTGTGTTCAATGTGGTTGTCTCACGACGTGCTCTTTCTTCCTGCTCTCACTCTTTAGATTGGAGATTGGTAAGAGGCCAAAAAGGGGTCGTGTGGCATCAATCATTCTACGCACTCCCTCCCTTCTTACACGTACCATTGCTTCCTCTCCTGTGCGCAGTTATGTCGCCGTCGCCGGGCTTCCAGAGCCGAGAAAGGATCATGGTAAGTTCGGCAAGACACAGTTCAGATCCAAAGATTGACATTATTTCGTTGGCTCATCTTGCTCAATTGGATCTTTGATCGCAGCTACTGTCATGGCTAGATTCGCGAGGGATTGTTTGAATGCGATCAACGACCTCACCAAGAGGCTTGAGATAACCTTGGGACCAGACACAGGTGATTTATCGATGCGTGTGGGTCTCCACAGTGGGCCCGTTACGGCGGGGGTCCTTCGTGGAGACAAGAGTCGCTTCCAGTTGTTTGGAGATACAGGTACGTGATCACCGTTGCAGCGGGTGGAAACTGTATTCTTTCTTTCATTGCTCACTCTGATGTGTTTCTTTGGCGATGTAGTCAACACGGCAGCAAGGATGGAATCAAATGGTACGAGAAACCGCATTCACATTTCTTCCGAGACTGCGGAACTCCTCAAGGCTGGAGGCAAATTTCACTGGTTGGTGAAGCGCACCGACAAGATTGTTGCCAAGGGCAAGGGTAAGTTCGAGAGGTGGGATTGGAGCGTCCTCTTGTCTCGCAACCATTACCTTATCGTTCAACTCGTGCACTGGTTGATTCTTCACAGGCGAGATGGAGACGTACTGGTTAGAAATGAAACAGCAGTCATCCGGGTCCGCTCACAGTGGAAGAAGCGGTCGCAGTTCATCCTCAACTCAGAGCGGTAATACCGACGTGGGCGCTAGAGTTGCTTCCGTGGGTCAAAAGGCCGTCGCAGCGCAACCCATCGAAATTGATGATCCTGTGATCCCAGCCAAGATCAAGCGTCTCGTCAAGTGGAACGCTGATGTTCTGTTGAGGATTCTGAAACAGGTTGTGGCCCGACGTGAGGCTTTGGAACAGCTCAAGTTGGATGACAGTGATCCCACAGCCAGCTCCGAGATGATGAACAGAAGTATGAATAGAAGCTCTGCGGATGTCATGAATAGAAGTTCTGCGGATGCCTTGCGCTCATCTGTCCGTGGTGAAACAGTGATTGATGAAGTGGTTGAAATCCTTGAATTGCCCAAGTTCAACGCCAAGGCGGCCAAGATTCAGAAAGACCCCAAGCAACTCGAACTGGATCCTAAGGTTGTGCAACAGCTTCATGACTACATCACTGTCATTGCAAGCATGTACCGCGTGGATGTTCCGTTCCACAACTTTGAGGTGAGCCGTCGTACCGAAGAGTTCCCCAGCGGTATCAAGGCCACTTGACGTGTATTCTAACTTATCTTGCTGTTACCCGCATCCTCTTACCCTCCACAGCATGCTTCGCACGTCACGATGAGCGGTAAGTCAAGGACATTGTTGGTGCGGAAACGTTCATACCAACGTATCTCACATCTACTCCCTTTCTATCACTCTGCAGTCGTCAAGCTTCTCAGTAGGATTGTTGCACCTGATGACGTCCTTGAAAACGAAAAGGAAGCGCACGAGATTCACTCGGAGCTTCATGAGTGAGTTCTTATCGTATCCTGTCCCTGCCTATGCTTTCTGCGTTTGAGGAATCCCTGACACTTAACGTTCGCATTCACTTTCTCCACCGCAGCCATACTTACGGAATCACAAGCGATCCTCTTACCCAGTTTGCAGTGGTTCTTTCTGCGCTTATCCATGATGTCGGTGAGTTCCAAGACAGTGCTTTTGCCTGTTGGAGATTGCTGGGGTTTTCCGTCACCATGCACCACCAACTGACCTCCTCTTTTTCTTGCAACAGACCACACTGGTGCTCCCAATTCACAGCTCATCAAGGAAGGGGCAAGTATTGCTTCCATCTACAAGGGCAAGAGCGTAGCAGAGCAGAACTCGTTAGATCTCGCGTGGAGTTTGCTGATGGACGACAGCTTCGTCGACCTCCGAAACGCCATCTACAAGACCGACAGTGAACTCCAACGCTTTCGTCAGCTCCTTGTCAACATTGTGCTTGCCACTGACATTGTGGATAAAGATCTCAAATCACTCCGGAATCGTCGCTGGGAAAAGGCCTTCCAGGAAGGCGGACCCAATCTTATCGATCTCTCCAGCCAAGATGCCACCAACAGGAAAGCCACCATTATCCTGGAGCACCTTATTCAAGCTTCCGACATCGCTCATACAGTAAGTCGAATGGAATCGCAAATCCCGTGGAGGACCAGCGCATCCTTCTTTGCTGCTTTTATTAACCATGTCGTTTTCCCGCTCTCTCTGCAGATGCAACATTGGCACATTTATCGCAAATGGAATGAACTCTTCTTCAAAGAGAACCTCCTTGCCTACCGCGCTGGTCGTGCCTCTTCTGATCCTTGCGAGTATTGGTACAAGGGAGAGATTGGATTTTTTGATTTCTATATCATCCCTCTTGCTAAGAAGTTGAAGGAATGTGGTGTCTTTGGTGTCTCCTGTGATGAATATCTCAACTATGCGCTCACCAACAGAAAGGAATGGGCAGATCGCGGGGAAGAGGCTGTAGCTGAGATGAAGGAGAAGTACGCAGATCTGATGCCTGAAGAAGAAAAGGATATTCATCGCATCGAAGAGGAGTAGGCAGTAACTCGGCTTCTCCCAGCTAGGGTTTTGCGCTTGGCATCTTCCACAGACTGATACTGCTTCCAAAGGGACGGGATGCCCACTTGTTGACCGAGAGGGGGTCGACGACGAGGGCAGGGACGGAAGTGGCATCGATATTTTTACAATAACCATATTTTTACATAGTACATTATTCATGTTTTCCTAGCGAGTCCGAGTGACAGTTTGCTGATCATTTGACTGCGAAGCTGGCCTTAGTCGATGTATATCTTCCGCGGAGCAACTCTCGCAAGTTTCTAAAAGCGTCGTCTATTTTAGTTGTATTCTTTGAAAGTGAGAGTATGAATTGCACGGTGATGGACAGCAAGCCTTCCGAAAGAACGAAAGAATGCATAGGATTAAGTATTCGTATGCATTGGGGATTGCAAGTAAGTGGTTGCTCACTCGCTTCTAGCCTGCTGAACTTGTTGTGCTTGGCAAGCTGTGACAACGACTGTGCTGACAATATCCTCCACCGTGCAGCCTCTGCTCAGATCATTCACAGCTGTAGTGGAAAAGACGTGACAAAGATTAGAAACTCCCAAGAAGCAAGGCATCTCACGGCACGCAGAACCATCGTCTTCGTTCAACTTACGTTTCTTGAGCCCTTGTAATACTGGTCCGATGCAAACAGCACCCACGGTTTCACGTTGGATGCTCTTGTAGCATGTGTTTCCAGTGTTGAGATCTGGGAAGATAAAGACGGTCGCTTGCCCCGCCACAGTCGAGTTTGGCATCTTGGAGGCAGCCACATCTGGGTCAACCGCAGCGTCGTATTGGATGGGGCCTTCGATTAGGATATCTGGTCGGCGTTCCCGGGCAAGGCGGGTGGCTTCCCTGACCTTTTCTACCTCGCAGCCCTTTCCAGAGTCCCCAGAAGAATACGAGAGCATGGCAACTCTGGCGTCAATACCAAAATGTTGCGCTGTTTCGGCGGATGCAATGGCGATATCTGCGAGCTCTGGTGCCGTCGGGTTTGGGTTGACTGCACAGTCTCCATACACCAAAACGTGATGATCAAGACACATGAGAAAGACCGAGCTGACGAGGTTGACTCCGGGGTTGGTCTTGATGATTTGCAACGCAGGTCTTATCGTTTGTCTGGTGGTATGCTGAGCTCCACTCACCAGCCCATCCGCATCGCCACAATGAACCATCATGGTTCCGAAGGTCGTTGAATCCATCACCACATCTCGTGCTTCGGCAACGTTGGGCACGGTTCCTTTATGTTTTCTCAATTGGTAGTATACCTCAGCATACTTGTTGAGGAGTTCAGTACTGGAGCATGGATCAATGATGGACAGAGCCTTGCTGTCAAGGTTGACTCCAAGTTCTGTGGCCGATTTGAGGATTTCCTCGGGTCTGCCCAACAAGGTGAGCTTGGCAATCTTCCTAGTCACCAACTGTGCTGCCGCCTTGATGATACGAGGATCTGTTCCTTCCGGCAAGACGATGTGCTTGATTGTTTCTCTTGCCTGCGAGACCAAGTCGTATGAGAACATTTTGGGCGTCAGAGTGCGGCGCAAAGCTCGACCGTGGCTTTCGGGAAGGGAAAGGCCAAGGATACGCTGAACCAGTCGATCAGTGTGGGGAACATGGCGTGCAAACCCTTGAGTACTGAGTGAAATCTTTTCACGATCGCAGGAGCGGAGGCTTGGTTTCAGAGTGGAGCATTTTGACGCTGCAGTGAATGAATCTGTTTCCAAATAAATGATGGGCAAAGAGTTCAAAACGCCGTCCAATAAGAGCTCAATCGATGGGTCTGGTCTCTCTCCTCCTGTTAGGACTATACCCGACAAACGAGGGTAGTTTGTCGACTCTGCAGTGTGATATGGAGAGAATGAAAGTGAGTCAAAAGCAAGGGAACAGCTAGGGTCAGGCGCACTTGACAGACTTACGGTGTGCCTGCATGGCTCCGACAATGATATCACCGCGATCTCCGCTTGTGACAACAAGGCAACCATCCTTGCGGATCCAATTGAGAACGTGCTGCAGCTGCATTGTTCCCAGGATAGTAGAGCTGACCTTGTTGTCGAGGTACTGTTCGCCATAAAGGACTTCTCCGTTGAGAGCCTCCACAACGTCGTAAACGCGAGGTGTCATCAATTTCTCCTCGTAGGGGATGACAGTGTTGATGTATCCTTTTTGCTTGTATCTGGCGTCAAGCTCTCGAGTCAGGGGATACACATTGCTGTGATCAGCCTTGTTCAGAACAATGCCCACAATATCAGCACCGTAGGCCTCAAAACCATCGATGGCAATCTGGATTGTCTCCATGGTCTCCGATACCGATCGATCTTGTGCACTGCCTACAATCATGATGGAACATGCTAGGTTCTTTGCCATTTCCAAACTCAGATTGAACTCCACAGCGGATCCATGGCGACCCTCACAAAGCACAAAATCGCACCTCGCCTCCAATGCTTTGTACCTGGCGATTACGACTTCAATCACTTCATTCATACGGTGCTCTCCTAGTAGCTTGCTGGCTTGATCAGATCTCATTCCATAGCTCTCTTCAAAAGTCTGATTGAGCTTGAAGTGCTCGAGTATCAGTTGCGTGTCTTCGTCCACTTGAGTGCCTCGACCAATGATGGGACGGAAAAAGCCAATCTTGGCAGTTCCCTGGGCCCTGGCTAGGACTAGATCCAGGACACCTAAGCAAGCCAGGGCTTTTCCAGATCCAGGCTCTATTGAGTGAATGTAGAGTGATGTTGCCTTTTGATGGGGAGACGGAGATCTCTGTGCAACTCGCATACTTCGCGAAACCCGGGTGGTGGGGTTGACATTGGCCGTGCTGGCGGGAATGACACTGAAAGACAAGCGAGCGAAAACGTGGAATCCAATGAGATACAGTCAACATCATCATATAACTAGACTAAGGCTTTCGATAGATATCTACTTACTCTGTAAAGGCGCCCATGGTGTTGTCTTTTTCTCTGTTCGGTTTGTCTGGAGTGGTGGGTTTGTTTGGTCGTTTTAGTTGCTGGAGAATGAATTTTGTGAGAGCCTTTCGTTCATCTTCAGCGAAAACGGAGTTGTGGGGATCCCGAGCGTGAATCAATAGGCATGTGCCAATGGGTCATTTTGAACTTCTCATTCTCTCAGAAAAATGTCACCGGTACTTGGATTTAGAGCCCATGTTCCGAAGAAGCCACGGGAACTTTTCCCTTTTGCGACGAAGCGAACGCACAATCCTTCTCAAGACTCCGGGCTTCGTGTTGGTGGTGTCCACTCCATCTCCGCTTTGTTGGGTGCTGCGCTGATGCCCACCTCAAGTTGCCGATTCTTGTTGGGTTGCTTGACTGAAACTGGCAGCGCAGCTACTAGTGGCTATCGAGCACCCACGAATCTTGGGAGTGGCAAGATGCTTCGCAATGCTCCACTACACTGCCACCTGCCAGAAATGAAGCTGCAAGCTGCGAGAAAAAACGAACAACTAACCACACTCGTTTCACGGGTGGTATTGCCGCATGACGCGTAAGGTACAAACCGAACCATCCAAAGTTCCAAGATGATCCATACTGCTTTTTAAACCCAGTAAAGTGGTGGACCAGCTCACAGCTTGCTTCAGAGTGCATTCGGAGTTTTGATGAGTGCTGAATTCGCGAATGAATCGTACGGTCGGCCAAGACCCTTCCGAATGGAGCAAAAGGAGCGGCATAAAGGCAATCGTCATTCAGTGCTGAAACGAAGTCGAATCCAATGGCGTGCATTCCTGCAGCTCCCGAAAGGAAGAAGAAGCAAGTTGCTTGCTTGTTTGCAAAGTTGCATCACACTTCCCACCTTGATTGTTAGTCCGAGGCCGGTATACCGGTAGGCGATCCGAAAGCATTCTCTGCGAAAAGCTGGAACCATCTGGTACTGGTATCGACAAGCTGGCTCGGCCTCGGTGTCTGCTGCTGCTGCCTCCTCAACCGCAGACAATTGAGTTGGCATCGTTGTCTTTTCAGTCAAGGTCGTGGAATCGCTTTCCACGATGTGACACGCGGGTACAACTTTCAATTCTGGGACTGGCCTGCGCTTTTTGTCGAAGCATGTATGAGTGTGACTGAGATAATGTGATGGGAGTCGCCTTGCATCCTGGTCGGCCTGTGCCCACGATTTGGCAATTAGCTGGTTCATCGCTTACAATGACTGGACGACAACTCTGCGACGTGAAGAAATTTCGAAGCTGTCGCCAAGTCCCATACGCATCGCCATGCCCCTTTCACATGGATAAGAACCACCGGCAATGTGCGCTGCACCCACCTTCCTAGCCCACAGTATTGCGATTGGCAGCAATAGAATAACTTAGCATGCCACTAATCGTAGAAAGAACATTAGCCGACCATGCCCCGAAAAATCTTTGATCTCTCCCGACTCCGTGGGCGTCAAACTCAGGAAAGCCAGACCCGAAACCCTCATCCGCCCTCGGGAGATACCGAAACAGAGACAACAGGGTCTCACGATATGCAGTTTGGGTCGCCATCCCTTGATTCCCACAACTCCTTAGGCTTGCCCGCTGATTCCAAAACTTCGAAGAAGCTCGACCAAGAAAACCAGCCTGCCACAACTAAGGGCAACAGCAACAGTAACAACAAACCCATTTCTGGGATAATGAAGAACAACCACCACACCAACAACATTGGCGCCTTGACACCGAGAGTTATTGAAAGCTACAAGGAACACCATCCATCACAGGTAGCTCTGCTCGAGCTTCAGTCCTCTGTGGACTTTCTGAACACGAAGCTGCAACAGAGCGAGTCACAAGTCAGAGCCCTCCAAGCTCAGAACAGTCAACTTCAGGGTCTCTTTGAAAGGATTCTCAAGAAGGCACACGAGATTCAGGAGGAGGCCGACGATGACACAGACGACGAGACTGTTAACCTACTCAACAAGCTGAATCTAATCGAAGATGGCATCCCACTATCCGAAGACGAGGTGGGACATGGTAACCATCACCAAAATTCAAGCATGTTTTCCCACGAAGAGGCCGCCGAAAGACTCGCAAACAAGTACAAAGAACAAGTCCAAGGACTTCTCATGGAGAGAGGTGTCTTGCAAAGAAATGTTCAGCAACTAAAAGTGCAAAACAGAGTCCAGGCAGAAACAATGGCCTCGCTGGAAAAGCAGCTCTTCACCGAGAGACAACAGCAGAGGAGTTTCTTCGACGATAAAATCATTCAGACTTCGTCCAGTAGGCTGTCCAACAAGTCCTCCAGCAGTAGAAGGTCCATGACTTACCAGCAGCAAATAAGCCGAGTGGACAAGAAGAAGAAACAGCAAGGTCAGCAAAACAAAAACCCTGCTACACCAGCTTCCATACTACAGAGCAACAGCAGGGCCGCGACCAGCAACATTAACGGCTCCTCAGCGGAATCAAAACCTCCCCGGATTCTTCCTCCACCTATTGAGCGATCGGCTTGGTGTGAGGGCCAGACAAAGAAGTTCATGTTGTAAGCCGTTTCGTGGGCAGCGATTGTTATGCACAAGACACATCAACACTCCATCCGCTGTTTTCGACGTCGGTTGCCATACTCCGAGAAGGTCATAATTTATACATGTTAATACAGTGCGCTATGTAAGATCAGGTACGACAGGTAAACCCATCATTTGAATGATAAATGTATATGCAATGGTGCCAGTAGTAATAGATAGCTCAGCGCATCCAGGAAGCGTCAATCCCTCTTCCACCCGGCACCAGTAGCTAACGCGTACAGTTTCCAAACGAGTGCGCTTCCTGTCCCTCTTCAGTGATCAGCTGCCGCCAGATTTCGTTTGATTTTTCAAACAGATAGACGCTGGTGGCATCCGAACGGCTGAGTCCCTCCTTTGGTTGGACCAGGAAAGCGTAAAAGGTGAAGCATTCCGAATTCAACGGCAAGCACAGGTCCTCCCAGTATTTTTTCTTGACACAACCGACAGGTGCAGCTGTTGGAGCTGCTGTTGGTGACAACGTCGTTACATTCTCCTCCATCAACGTTGTGTTCCGTAGATCCAAGTTCTCTTGAAGGGCATCTAGAAAGAATGGCGCATACTGGTTAAAAGGATCCAACGGTTCATCGCTCTTGCCGCGAACGAGAACGGCGCCAAAACGATCAACCAGCTCCCACCCAACTTGTTCACACGTGTACATTAGCATTCGAAATCTGGTGTCCTTGCCGCATCTCGTGCAGTTTCCAATGTTGATCCGTTTCATCGGACCTAGAAAGGAGCCGCTGTCAATATTGTTCCGAACGGCCTTGCCAGTAGCATCCTTCGAATTCGCAAGAAGGTCCAACCTTCCAGGTTTTTGAAGGCCCCTACCCAAACCTAACAAGGCTGCTTCGTCGTAGATTGTCAGAATCGAGCAGGTCGAGAGTCCAACACACATTTCATGCAAGTAGGTTGCCTTGTCAGCGCGAACACCATTTTTCAACAAAAGCAAGTTAGAATTGCAATCCCAGCCATGAACCTGCATTATTTCAGCTATTGTGATCTTTCACCGCTACTGCAGCTCACCTTCTTATCCTGGTAGTAACCAATGTTGGCCTGGTCTGTCAATAGGCCCGTGTTGTTGTTGTAGAGCGTCCAATAAAGATAGTCCGGATAGTCATCTGTTGTCAGGGAGAAGTGAAGTTGCTGTTCGACCTTGAAGTGGCATCGATCGAATCGGGGTGGTGTTGAAGCGACGCCTGCAACCCCGGTCTGCCCCGAAGTCTCTCCCGGAATGCCGTAGGCCACGAAACTTCCGTCCAAACTTGATGAAACGGAAACTCGTGAAGTTGTGCCGTATTTATTAGCCAGATTTCCTTGCTCGTCCTTCCCCACAAAGTTCCATCGGGTCCCGTTATAATCGTACACCTCGATCCTTCCGCTGTATCCAATCGCAATCGTCGCCCCGGTGCCGGAGAGAGATAGAGACATCGGAGTTCGATCAAAATCCTTTGTACAGACTTCTGCAGGAGGCTTAGGAAGGTTGCCGAGACGGCGTGTCCAGGCAGTCCCATTCCAATCATAAACTCGTGCAAGGGGCTTTTCACACGAAGGGGTCGCAAAAGCGGCAACATTGGAATCAGCTGAAACCACGAACGAGCGACTGTCTGTGTGAATTGAAACTGTGTCTTCCAGGAGAACGGAGGATTTGTTCCCACTCCCCTCGATGCTGTGTGTCAAAAATGAAAAGCAGGAAGAGCAATTCAGGAGGGCATTCGTGGCCACGTTCCAGTCCATCACAGCTGTTTGAATGGCAACAGTCTTGGAGTTCCTGGACAGGGAAATAGAGCCGATATAATGGGAAAGTGAGGAGGTTCCATTTCCATACACCTGGATGGGCCGTTGAGCGTAGGCAGGGATGATAGTATTCCTCGGGCCAAGACTCGTTCGCGGGCTTGGCAACTGGTCGATTTCGTGTATGTAAACGCGTGGCAAATATCCATCATGGTGGGCTGTTTCACCGAGGGCAATGACATTCCCAGCTTCGTCAATATCAAATGTATCAAACCCATCAAAGCTGCGTGTGCTCAACGAACAACTAACGTCGGTGCAAGAGTACACGTGCACTGTCCCGTTGCGCTCATCTGGCGCAGAAATGCCAACAATCAACGGAACCTTGAAATCAGGATTGTTCCATCTATTATAAGGTCCGCTGGAAATTGTCACATGCTCGCCAAATCTTGTATCGGGTTGACCTTCAATTGGGGATCCACGTTGGGCCCATTTGCTCCCTTCGCGCTCGAAAACTTTGACTAGATTCAAACCAGGTGCACCTACCACGAGAAAGTTGCCGTGCTTGGAGAGGGCAACAGAGTACCCGAATTGCCCAGCATCCCTCAGCAGGGGCGCAGTGGTATCTCGCGGCTCCCACACATTGTTTGGTAGCAAGCAGTCATAACCAATGTACCCGTATCCATTCTTCTCTCTACAAGTTTCAGGGACGGCGGAAACAATCAGTATGCTGGTGTACTTCCGTACTCCGTTGGGATAACTCATCACTCAGAAAGAAGCTTACCTTCCGCACGTATATTGTTTGCTGACGCAGGTGGAAGCACAACAGTCGCCGGCATCCAAATCATAAAGAGGCGTATTTACGACAGAGTCGCATCGCCCGTTTCCCAAAGGTGCTTTCTCGCAAAGTGCTCCCGCGGATCCCAACGTACACTTGCAAACTCCCTTCTTGCATTCACCACCGTAAAAACACGGGTTGGAGACGTCATCGCAAACGGCGCAGAGAAGTCGTCCATCTACGGATTGCACCAAATCGGGGCTTTGAATGATAAGTTGTTCTGGCTGTCTCTCTGTGGCGACATACCATTCCAGTTCGACTGGAGATTGGGCATCACCAGGCGTCAACCTGAACTCGCAAAGAGAAGCACTCTTGTTAGTTACTGCCATGTAATCAAAAGAAGAACAACCTGGGTAATGACTGTCGCTCACACATCCATTGCCTCGCTGAGAAAGGCCACTGTGTAGTTATCCCAGTGACCATGAAAATGATTCTCCATGTAGTCAGCAACAATAGCTAACGCCTCTACACTATCGTCTTCAGGCACCTCAGCTAGTGCACCAGCATACGACACTGCCCAGCGCTGCAACAGCCAAGCAACGAAAGAGAGCAAATTTAGCCGCGATTTGCGTTGCAATCAGTAAGAAACTTCGCGAAACGCGCTGCACTCACCCTTCCCGTGAAAAACAACAAGTCAAACCTGAAATGTAATGACGTGACGATTGAAAACATCGCGATTTGATGAGAGATCAGAGCCATCGTCGTCGCATTCCTGCAACAGCAATATACTCACGTGTTGCCTTCCAGTTTGGAGATGTACACGGGTCGGTTGTAAACCGACACGACTTGGCGGTTAAACACAAACAGTTCGTACGATTGCGACCAGGGTCGAGTGCCGACGAATCCAGGAAACCGCGAATCCATTGATACGTTTTGGCATGGCTCTTTGAATTCACATTGGAGGCCATAATAGCCATCTTCGCAGTCACAAACGGCAGAATTGCAAGCAGTACCTCGGCCTGGAGAGAATCAGTCAGAGGAGCAACGACAGACAACGAATGAGTGGGGTTGGCATCCCAGGAACGGCATCGAATCGAATCTTCTGAATTCTTACCGCTGCAAGAGTTGTAGCTGTCGCCACAGTCGTGACACACGAGGACGAATGGGTCGAAGAAGACTTCTCGGTCCGCCTCGTCTCGTACAAACCACGAAGACGCAGTACTAAACAAGATATCGTATGATGTGGTGGATGCGGAACGTGCAACCCAATCTTTGCAAGGATCAATGTCGACAGCTGTACCCACGCGATCGATGTGGTATTGAAACGTCCAGTAGAGCCCCTTTGTGCAATAGGCAAAGACTCCCGTTTTTGACTTTCGATCCACGTAGGCCAAGTGTCCGTTGTGAGCTTTGTTCTTGGTGATCCTTTGATCGTACAAACCACTGAACGTGGCCAATTCTGGCCTCATGTCATCCCCAAATTGAACCAGTAATGTCTTGCACTGATACGATCCGCTCCGTTGTTTGTGTACAATGACACTCCATCCCGTGATGAGCGCAATTAAAATGGCAAAGAATAGGAGTGTTTTCCGCATCCGATAGACTTTGGTGTGTACGTAAAACGTGGTGGCACTCATTGCCTTGGCAGCAATTTCGCATGTCTTGCCGGCATATCCGTACTCGGACAAGACAAAGAATGCTTCGTCGAGCTGTGAAATGAATTCGAGTGCCGTAAAATTGAGCAATAGGTAGTAGATTGTTTCGGACGTGATGATTAGAAAAAAGCTGGCGACCAATCCAAGGCATCCCGAGAGACAGCGTAGTACCACACAAGACACAATCTTGGGCTTGGACGTTCGTGGGAATGCATCGTAGAATGATTTGGAGAAAACGACTCGAATAAGATCGAGTGCCTTCATGAGATCATCCTGTGTGACGACGGCAATGATAATGGCCAGGAATTGTACGATTCGGACCTGTGTGGCAATATTGGGTGGAATCCCAATGGGATTTTCGTATACGACGCCATCGTTGATGATGGAGAATGCCATGAGAAAAAAGGTGACAATTTGAATAAGGCACACAATGAATCCCATGGCGTATGGAGCACTGCGGACGGGTGCCACCATGAGAAAGCCGTAGGTGTCGGGAGGCAGTTGCTTGGCATATGCCGATTGTCCCGTAACGGCTGACTTTCGAAAACGTAGTTTTCTTCGAATGAGATCCATGCCTTCTGAGGTAGCCATGGATTCGGAGACGGCAAATACGGCATCACTGTGACGTCTGTCATTGCGTCGATCGCCGTCACTGGTTTGTGCTTCATCGGAATTTCCCACGGGAATCTCTTGCGCCAGAGGATCTTCGGGTAGCGGCTCTGCAAGTTGTTGCTCCAGTTGTTGAAATCGAACCGAGGGTGGTGAATCTGTTGTGGGTGACGATGGTTGTTGCTTTGGAGAACCTAGTATTCCACTCGTGAATCGTTCAAATTGCAGTTCCAATAGCTCCATGCGTGTCCTGTAGGTGGTTTCCTGAGCTTGTAGATCACTTACTTTGCTCATGAGTGAATTGACAGAAGCTCTCAGATTGGCATTTTCTTGCAGTACCGGTATCAATGGTTGCTGTTCATCTGTATGATTTTCTGAACAACCAGTACTACTGCTAGAAAAGGTAGCCATGGCTTGAATGGGAGCAGCAATTTTTCCATCCACCCCAATGAACTTGTTTGCTTCTGAGTAGGTATTGACCAGATTGGAATTTGCCAGTCTCTGATTGACAGCTTGCTGAATTTGTCTCAGACTGTGCTTTTGTGCAAATTGTAGATCAATGTGTTCTCCATTTAGCAGGCACAGTCTGGCATCTGCCCTTTCATCATTGTCATCATTGTCATTTTCACCTACACTTTCAATTGCACCTGAACTTGCAGTGCCATTGTCATTTTTAGTTCCATCCTTTGTGGTCCACTGATGATTTTTCACCAAATTCCAGGGAATACTGACTTTGATGCCTGAAAGTCCCTGAAATACAATTTGCTCAGCTTCCAACACCAAAGTTCCCACTTTGCCATTCCATAGAACTGAGCTGTACTCTGACTCCTTCCTACTAGTGGTACCACCTATAGTAGACCCAGTGGTACTTTCAGTAGTACTCTCCACTGACAAAAGACCTTTTTCACCTTCATTTTCTCCATCTTCCTCCTCTTCTTGATCAGCAAAGACTTCATGACCTTGCTCTTCATCTGTCAAAATTTTCCCCATCACCACACCATTCTCATCTTCTCCATTGTCTTGAGTCCCAGTTTTATTAAGCTGTCTTGCTCCACCTCCACTGTCCTCCCCTGGGGAATCAGGAAAACATTCCATTGGTAAAACACAACCAAGATCAACAGAAGAACAATCCACACCAACCAAACCAAACAGGGACATTCATAGAAACACAACTTAAGTTTGTAATACACACAAGAGTAACACTAATAATGAGGTCAATCTGATTGTGCTGGTCGCTGCTCCCGACATCACGGAAAATATTGCTCCGGCAGTGTGCTCCCACTAGGTTGAAATTTCAATTCATGCAGGCTGGCGACTCCGCCCCTCAGCATTCTATTTCACAAGACCCATACAAATTCTCTAGCTAGCTACCAGGTAGTAGTACAAGAATGTTTGGCTGTTTGATAAATTTAAGCTAAGGAGTTATTATTGAAGATTGAAAAGAGAGCACCCGGGATCGCAAGCGTGTCGATGGACCGAACACAAGACTGCCTCCAACAAGATTTCTTATGCCGTGATCAATTTGAGGACGTTCGTACCTTACGCAACACCCCAACGTCGGATGGCCGTGTTATCGGAGGCACGTAAGGCTGAGGACTCATCCGTAAGGAAGAGGGAAGTCTGAAGATAGCTAGTTGCTAGTAGAGTACCAGTAGGCTAGCCAGAGCCACCGGTCTGATTCCTGCTGCCACCTCTCATGACACCCCGAATCTTGCCTCCGAATCCCCTGCACAATAGGCAAACCAAACACTGCACTGCATCTCCAAGGCTCATTAGCCTCAGCTTTGCATTCTTGATAGTCCTCTGGAACCCAGCCTTGGATAGTAGCTACTACACCTAATTCGTTCTAATTTGTTATTATTCATCAAACTCATCCAAAGCAAGGGCATGTAAGATAGAAGATCATCCGAAAGGAAGAGGGAAGTCGGAAGTTTGCTATATAGATGGAGGTGGAGCCATCCCAGAAGAAGGAAGCAAGGAAGATGTGCATGCATCACAGGCATCACTCACACACTCGAGTGAGAGTCGAGTCATCCACAGCAACAGCTTGCTCCGGTAGTGCAGCTTCACGGCGGTACTTTTTTGCCATGGCATCCACAATGTCACGACCCTTTTGAGCCCATTCCTTGCGGTTCTCGAGGGCATAGTTCAAGTACTCATCCGAGGATACACCAAACACGCCACATTCCGCCAACTTTTTAGACAGCGGAATTACATAGTTGTCGAAAAACCAAAGTTCTCCACCGTACCAGCCATCCGTGGGATCCTTGGCGCCTCCTCGGCCTGCCACGTACGCCAAGTACTGCTCTTGATACAGCTTTTCGTTCTGTGAAGGAAGACAGCAGATGAAAGACAAGAAGAATGAGTGGACGATGATCCAAAGCTTTCCAACTAGCTAGCTGGAAGAACCTTTGTTTGGGGCTTACCCATTTGGTGTACACATGCCAGTGCTGCATTGTGTGAGACACTGGAAAACAAGCAGGCATCAAGCAGGTAAGATAGATACACGATACAATGGGCGGGTTGTTGGGGCATCCACATGAACGGTACTTGCGCTAGCTCAATTGCAACTTACCGTCCGAAGCCTGAATAATGTGTTCAATCACGATGGTTGCCTTGCGATTCACGTCCTCCTGTTCCGAAATGATACCCGTTCCTTCGTCGATAAACTTGTCTGCGTTGTGAAACGCCTTATCCCATCGTGCATTGCGAAGTGCTTTCAGCTTCTTGTCAAAAATGTCCGTCTGAAAACGTAGTTGCGAATGCATAGTGGTGTGTCAGAACAAAACGTTGCTTCACTTGAAAACACAGCCAGACAGGCAACTATATTAGAGCGAAACAACTTACAGCAAGCACCGTGTTGACAACAACTTGACGAAAGCGCTTCATTTCAGCTTCGTTCGAGTAGATGCAGGCGCGAAGGTCCTGGTATTCGTCGCTCATCAGCTTAAGCCAAGCGAGGTCGACACTGTTTTGTTCTTCAAGCAAGCAAGACAAAGAAAAAACTCCTGCATCAGTCCAAAAATCCCAGCGAGATGGAGCGACATCAAACTGCTTTGCGTGATTTGACTCGATTCGATTCAGACGTACCGGCTACACTTTGCTCGTACAACTCCCCGAGGCGTGGCTCTTCTTCCACTAGCCTGCCATTGGGGACTCCACGATGATCGACATCGTGAATCAAGGCCGCTAGGGCGCAGGCGAACTGCGTAAGAGGATCCGAAGTTATGCCGTATGTATGGTCATGAAGCTCAGCTGCCATTTTGGCCTTCATCTTGGTCTCGTCCGCATCTTCCACACTAATGTCAGGAGCCACAATACGAGAGAGGAGTTTGTTCACAGACATGCTCACATGACTTGCATGCTCAAAGTTGTGAAAAGGGTTGTTTTTGTAGGAAGAGGCCACCCAAGAAACATATGAGCTGAGTTGCCGTCTCACTTCTGGGCCTAAATCAATAGACTCTGGGTTGACTTGCTTCTTGCATACTTGCTTCGAGTCAAAGCCGGGTAGAGGGATTATCTCGACGACTTCGCTCAAGGGAGCAGCTGTGGGCATGAGCTTCCTGGCGCCTTCAGTATGATTGCTCTTTGGAGCACCCCCTCGGCTTGCAGCCACCTTTTGCAACAGGCGAAGCAGGGACTCTGTGTTCCATGCCACAAGTCTCTTGGTCTGATCCTTCCAACCAGACACAATGCCGCTGTGAATACTGCCACGAATGGCGGCCCTGCCCAAATCCTTAGCATTGGGGGTTTCAAAGGTTTCGGAACGGTCAAAGACAGAACCGGCTCGGGAGCCGGCTTTCGACGCAACCAACCAGAAAGTTTTAACGCTTCCAATACCCTTGAGATGCACGGGATCGGGTCGAGGTGCCACCCAGCTAGACCGCCCTGCCGCAATGATGAGATTCGCTGTATTTTCCGACAAGTGAACCCGGTTTCCCACTCCACTGTTCTCGATACGGCTGGCCGTGTTGACACTGAGATAGAGAAGCACAAACAAGAGAAAACAAGAGACGAACGCAGGATTGAGACAAAAAAAAACTTGCCCCCTGCAATCCCCTTGGCCAAGTTCACTCACGTGTCGCCAAAGAGCTGAAATCGTGCCTTTTCTCCGCGCAAAACACCGGCAGTGACAGGTCCACTGGATTTGCAACAGGCAAGATTAGTATGGTGAGTATACGGACAGGCGGTGGAGTTGCGCACAGGTTTGCACCCAACCTTACCTGTGAATGCCAAATCTCATTTGAATATCCCCCGTTCCTGGACCGAGATGTGTCTCCAGGCGATGAACCACCTCTGGAAGCTTCATGGAACACTCCCGAGCAAACCTTGCCATGGTGACTGAAAACAAATACAAGAACGTCAGAGTGCGTCATGCAGAAGGGAATACGCGGAAGGTGCATGATGTAGTTTCAAGTCAACGTACCGGCATGGTTTGCCATTGGAAAAGGGACGCCGGCAACCGCAACATAAGAGTCTCCAACCTGTAAACGAAATCGTGAAAGTATGAGCGACTAAAAGTCATCCCTCAACGGTATTTCAGTCAACTGCTTGCACACAACTCACCGTTTCGACCTTGTAGATCTTCCTACGCTTGGCGACCTGTGAAGTGGACCAACCAGGAGCCGGGTTAGCCAAGATAATCCACCGAGGGAAGCTTCAATATAGATTGGGAAACCTTTACCTTGTCGAATGATCTGTAGATAGTCTCCAACAGCGTAAAGACCTGGTAGATAAAACGATTTGGGATTGTTGTCAGTTTCATCGTCAGAAGCGTACAGAAATCGCCAGGGGATCAACACTTACCTGGGAAGGCTCGCGGACCGAGGACCATGCCTACATAGTATAGTCGAGCAGAGAAGATGGATATTCCTTGAGTCAGACACACGCCAAATCTCAACCTGCGCAGCAAGCGGTATCCAGTCTCGCAGAAATGTATCTTACAGTGAACCCGACGATATCAGCAAACAGCACGGTCACATTGGGAAAGAGATCCGCAACTGGCTTGGAGACAAACAAATCTTCGTCTTCCATTTCTGTTTCCATTGCATCATCACCACCCATGAAGGCATGTAGAGAACTCTTGGCACTCATAGATCTGAAGGTATCAGATCTGTTATTCTTGTTCTTCTCCATTTGCTTCTCAGCTTCTGCATTGGCCAGCATTTGTTCGCGGAATTGTTCGGGGAAGAGCTGGCTGACAATAGCATCGGTCTTTACGGCAGAGTCCATGACAGTCTCCTGTCGTCGTTGCACCAAGCAATCATAGAGAACAAAAACCAAGGACGTAAACGCAAAAATGGCAAGCACAATCAAGGAATATGCCCAGGGTCTTCCAGTTGTGTACTTGTCACGTAGCCTTTCGGATGGATAGACAGAGATGGAGTATCCGCAGCTAATACCCTTTTCCGAGTAGGTGCTTCCTTGGAGAATCTCATTCATGGCCAGAGTCAAGCCAGCTGACTCCCCTAGATAATCGAATTGCGTGTCGTGCTGATCGCCTTGTCCCAAGTACGTGGCATTGTGACCATTCACTTCGTAGGTTACAAGATCACCGCAGGTGGAATTGAGAACGATCATGATACCCACAGCATCATCGTGGAGCAGGTCCTGAAAGTGATCCATCCAGCGCAGCACCATGTACGCGATTGCCACCAGGGTTTTGTTGTCGTCGTCGAATGTGTCGTAGACGGGTTGGTAGTATATGTTGACGGGGTCGTAAATGGGCAAGTTGAGCAGCCAACCGTTGACAGTGACAATGGGACTCCGCGCAGTACGTCCCGTTTCATTGACGTAATCCCATCGTGGGGTGTAGTAATGCTTGTAATCGCCCCGGATGAGTAGGGGACTGTCGAGGGGCGGTGGACTGACCTGCCACGTGACGAGATGGAGCTGGTTACCAAAGGACGGGATGGCGACTGGGTTGACGGTGTCATTGTCTCCCTCCCACTTTGGATTCAATGAGTACATCTCTGACAAGACGGGCGCAGGTTTGGTACCAAGGATTGCGTGAGATTCATTGAGCCATCCAATGTTTTCGTCCGCGTACTGATTCCATGCCGCCCGAGATGCATTCGTGGGCTCCACAGCCATCATGACGCCCAAGAACTTGCCTCCCGACACGTCCATGGAAGCGCTGGCACGACGCTCAAAATCTGGGATGGTCACATTAGGCCAGACTTGTTTCAATCCGAGGGCCGCCGATGTGAGCATGGTGCTAAAGTCGAACATGATCTTGACGAGGTTATTTTCGGCCGTCTGAGCCACTTCGACAATCTCTTTCGCAATGCCCGCGAACTGTGATTGAAATGCACAACAGAGGAATTAGGGTTAGGGGTTCGTACTGTAGACGCTCCAACCCACCACAGCCAATGTTCCAAAAAGACTCACATCTCTTTCAAAGGTGTTTTGCTCTTCCTGAGCCGTGAGGGCATACGTGAGTCCAGCAGTTGCAGCCGCAGAGACGACGAGAACGAGGCCCACAAGGATCCTCGAATAAAAGACCCTCTGATTCTCCGCAGCGCCAATCATGGGCTTGACTGAGCTCTCGCTATCCCGCGAGTTGCTGAAATGCTCCGTGGCCGTGTCCCAATCAACGGAGGCACCATCGTCGTCACTGTCATGGCCAGAAGCGTCAACCAATTCGGTCCTGACAGGAATCATGTCTTTGTTTTCAGCTGTCATGGTCGGTGAAGTTTCGTTGTGAAGGCTGCAGCCAGTAAATAAAAGAAGTGCTCTTTGGGGTTTGGAGCAAGCAAAATAAATTGTGGCGATTGAAAAAGTTTTGAGCTTCCTGAGGAAGTGGCGTTTACCAGAGTTACTGCCGTGTCGGTACGTTACACCTCCATCACCTGTCAACCGGTACCGTTCGGAGGGTCACTTGCATGCCTGAGCTCTGAGCTCATGCCTGCATTGAGCAAGGAGCGTCCCCACAGTGTCCTTTCAGTACCGTCAGTACCAGAGGCAATAGTATTTGGGGTTCCATGGACAGGATTGGGCGGCGATTGGGTTTAGGGAGTTGGGCGGAGGAGCCAGTCGTGCGGTTCCTCGTCCTCCAAGATTTCAAAAGATCTTAAGATCTTAGATCTTGCAGTGGATCTCTGGTAAAGCCTTTAAATCGAATAACACAACCTGTTTCATCACCACTCGATCTATTAATTCCTAGTTGCCGAATGACCAACTGATTTCACCAAGTAGTCAAGAAGCTAAGACTAAGTTCGCACAGTTAGGTACCTGGTACTGTACCATAATACTGTGTAAAAGCGGCCAAATTTATGCGTACAATACTAATAAGTACTTAGAAATAGCAATTCCCATTCAAACTCGTACATCGTACAGGCTTACTTCCTCATTACAGCGATGACCCAAGATGTTAATCAAGCTGATTCATCATTCTCCACGGTCACCCAATGGGGATTTACGGCTCTAATTATTTAGAAAGATCACAAGAACTGTGTACTCTTAGTAATAATTATTTAGAAAGATTTAAGCTTATTTTAAATGTTCTGGATTTCATACGATTCTTTATTCATTTCACCAATACTGTATTTTAAAATAGGCCTTTTCAGAGGTAATGCCAACTCGTGCTCCTTGAGTGAGCACTCGCTGGCTTCCTGAACTTTGATGAGAACAGTTAGTTCACGACAACGAATATCAGAGATCTCTCGCTTCCGACGTGTCCCAGCACGAGTACAACAAGTACATGGCACATGTACAAGTACTGTAGAGTGTAGACTACTAGCTAGTATTGGTTCTGGGTGCCTTGGCAACCCACTACCAGAGCTCAATCTAGCAATGGTATGATAGCAGTGAGCGGAAGGAAGATTTGAAGATCTTGCTCAGCTAGCGAGCCAACCATGGCTAGAGCTCCAGCTGCCAAAAGCGTAGTAGAGGATGTGTGAAGCATGTTCATCCCACCAGGTACCGTAGCCAAAATGCCATGGTTGTTTAGAAAACTGTAGCTCACTAAAGCCAACAATCGCATAGATCTTAGTTGATGCCTGTGGAACGAATCGAGTCCAACTGATTTCTTCGTGCATCCAAAACTCTTTGGCATTCCTGCCCTCTACCGGTATCCGGTAGAGCATGGATCCAGCAGTTTCCTCACTTTTTTCGTCAATGCCAATACTTCCTGTGAGCTCCCCCACACTGACCACCAAGCTATATACAGTCTTCCTGAGCTAACTAGAGGACTGTCAGCAGGGTGCAAACAAGTTGTGGGCTCACCAAAAGCTGCCATGCTCTCAACAAACTGGTGTTCATCATGCATCGTATCCTGCTTCTAAAGGAGTATCACGATATCCCAAGTCTTGACTGATTATTGTACCGGTAGCAAATTGATCAAGATTTTGTTTGACTTCGATATCTTTAGTTGGAGCTTGAGCTGGTGGTGGAGCAACTGGCTAGCTAGCTGGTCCAGTACCAAAAAGCTCTACCAGGCGGAATAGTGTAGCGAAAAAGTGTCTTAACTAGCTAGCTAGTACCGGTACCGGTAACCAGATATCGGGGCAATGCATTATTATTGCTGTTGCGGCAGAACGATCTTGTTTGGGTTTTGAAGGTCCACTATTGCGTCGTTCCAGATCTAGCTATATATATTTGGCACCGGTATCCTGTCGCTACCCCCTGCTATCATCAAAATAAACAAAATGTGGATTGCACGAGGACTCTTTGCTGATACTGGTGTAGATTGTAGCTCTAAAGAAAGCAAGCGGTTTTTCTTCATGTCCAGGGATTTTCCAATGGAATGGAGTGTCGTGACAATATCCATTGAACTGCAGAGATGGACTCAATCTGCACCAAAAAACTACCAGTACTGCTTTGTACGCCATTAAGAGTACACAAGAAAAGGAGGAAATAGAAGACCAGCGCAAAAAGGCACTCCGAAACGACTCGAAATGACAAAGAAAGAGACCGACAAAGTGGTAAAAAGGTGGCCACAGTTGCTGTCATGCAGAGAAGAAAATATCCTAGCTACAAACAGCAGACTGGATCCAAGATTATCTACAACTCAATGACAACTCAATGACAGTACACTCAAGAAGATTGTCATCAAATCTCCAGATATTTTGAGCTTTGATGTGAATACATTGGAGTGGAAAATGATGTACTATCAAGAAACCTTAGGATGGACCAGCAAAGAACTAGAACAAAAGCCATGACTAGTTCTCGCATTATGGCTTTATCCATTGAAGAGAATATTGAGCCAAAGCGACAATGGCTTCAAAAGACATTCAATGTTACCTATGATGAGGTTTCCCAACTCATCAAGAAGAACCCAAGAATGCTTTGTCCCAACCTGAATGACATGGCTGACAGATTGGAATTCCTCCAGGACCAGTTGGAACTCAATTCCACCGAAGCAAAGTGGAAATTGGTTTGAAAAGATCCAGGAATCTTTGTTTTCACCAAGGACCTATTGGAGGAGAAGATTACTTGGTTCCAATCATCATCCCTTGGCCTCACAAAAAGAGAAGCTGCCAAAGTGATCAGAAGACAACCATCACTGCTCACCTTGCACATCGAAAACAATCTGGAGGCGACGCTGAATTGGCTGATTGATTGCTTTGGCAACATTGAAACCAAAAAGCTGGTTCTGTGATATCCTGCCATTCTCACATACAGCATACCCAACAACTGGAGCCACAGCTGGACTATCTCGAAGGAACTTTTGGACTCAATGAGACTGACGTCTTGAGTATGGTGTGCAAACATCCAGGAGTATTAGGCTATAAGCAAACCAGCATGGAGGAAAAGATCCAGTTTTATGCAACTTGTGTTGGATCTCGGACTGAAGCTATGGAGAAGATTATCAGCAGCCTAGGCCAAGTCTAGTGAGTGCTACCCTTGGTAACAGGTTGATACCAAGGTGGGAACAAGTAGTGAAGTTTGGGTTGCCGAAACATGGGTTTCAAGTGCCATTATCTGCCCTTGCAGTGTATACCAATCCACAATGGGAAAGATATTTGGAACGAAGAAAGGACTTGATATCTGAAAGACTTATCTGAAAGGCAGAAAACTTTCTCCTGGATCCTGTGCCCTGGAGCTCTATTTTAAGAATAAAATCATTGAATCATTTTGATAAACTATCCGTGCTATTGCTTCCTCGTTGTACGCAGAGCGGTGCCTTGGTCGTGTCAAGCCTGTTCATCGCTACGTTGCTAGCTACTCTAGTTCGATGATGATGATGACGACGACGACAAGGACTCTGCCGTTTGTTGCCACGTTTTGGCATCGTCATTTTGCCCCATCTTGGCATAGGTTTCGGCAATTTTGGTGGCCGCCACCAGAGTGGGTTTCAATTCGAATGCCTGTTGAAAATAGTCGAGTGCTTGCGCGTAAGTGGATTGTGGCGGCTGTCCAAAGAGAACCGATGCGACTTGTCGTTCGACAAAAGAAATGCCAGCGACCTTGAAACACCATTCCCCGAGTGCTTGTCGAATGGAAGCATCTTCGGGCAACTGTTGCTGTGCCTTTTGGAGACTGGACTGTATGAGAAAGGAATTTTGCATTTTTTCTTTTGTTGGTTGGAAACTGCCGAGTTTTCCCAAGAGAATGGCCTTCCATTTGAGTAGGTATCCATTGTTGGGGAATTGGGTAGCGTCCAGTCCCTTGGTGGCGGCGTCAATACCTTTGCGTAGATAGTCTTCTTGGGCTGCCTTGTCTTGAGAGGTGGCAAATAGTTCGTAGTGTGCCTTGACATACCGCCAGTAGAGCTCAGCGTCCTTTTCGTAGTCAGGATTGGATTGGATGAGATCCAATGCTTGTTGGGGCTTGCCAGTCGTAAAGAGATCATCAATCTGGCTCGTAACGTCCGAACTGCTGGTACTTGTAGTGGTACTGGTACTCTTAGCAGTGTGAGTACTCGTGGTAGTCGTACTAGCAGTGGTAGTAGAGACTTCGATATCAAGTTCAGCCAGTGCATCTAGCAATGAGTAGTCTTGAGTTCTACGAGGAACAATCTGCCACTTTCCAGTCAGTAGCTTTTGGCTTGGATTTTCGCCTCCACTAGATGCCACTGTGATACTAGTACTGGGGGTCGTTGCTTCCGTAAGGGCTTCAATCAGTTCGGGTTGTTTCACTTCCACCTTGACTTGTTCGTCAGTAGCTTTGTCGTTCTCCTGCACCAATGATGGCATTGTGCTTCCACTACTAGTACTTGGATCGCGACGAAGAATTTTACGAGAAACGAAGGAACGAAGCTTTTGCCGTTTCTCACCATTGGCCATGGACAGAGCAGTGCCACTGCAGCTGGCAGGATTCGGAAGCACGAAGGCTTGCGTAGTACTCAAGGTGGTGGCAGCCACAAGGCTTACCAAGACAAGGACCGATTCTGCAACCTGAAGTCTCATCGTAGTCACTTATCAGTTGGTGATTTGAGGGTTGTGATGAATGAGGAATCGATTGAATTCATTCTATGCATGGCTGCACCCATCCATCATCAGCCATCATTCCACATCAGCTTTTTGGATTTCAAGTTGCCACCAACGCAGTGAATCACAAAGAATGACGATGACGAATGCAATGATGAGAATGTGTGGCGATCTTTTGGTCGCCTTGCTCCAATGAGACTTAACCCTAATTATTGATTCGAATTATGTTCGGTTTGTCCATGATTTCGATGGCATTCGATTTGGTTCTTCCTCGCTCCAACCACAACAAACGAGGAGATCCAAGATCGGGCGCATTTCTTGGCATAGATCTAGTTTAGTTTAGCTTTACCAAGACAATAATAATGACAGAACGCAGTCTGTTTGGTGGAGCCATGGTGTGCCATATTGGCACTACTAACTTAGATGAATGGCGCGATGTATCGGATGTTCGTCAAGTTCCGGATCACCAAGAATGCTGGCAAGATATCGATCAACGTGTTTTGGTGATTGAGATTCTGGAGCATCAGCGTGGAGTGGAAAATGACAAAGCGGCAGAATACTTTTTTACCGATTTGGCAACCGCCAATGGATCATCCAACAACACGTTTGTTTCTACTAGCAATAGAAATTTGCTGGTGACGGGTCTTCCTTCCACGGCCAGCATTGCCAGTGGCATTGGCGTACAAGCGAATGTGGCAATGGGGCGCGACACAGACGTGGCTGGAAACCCTCGACAACAAGAAAGTCAATCCATTCGAGTGGAACTGTGTGTCCTACGATTGCCTTCCGTAGAGACGGATCTATTGATTACTCTCTCCACACCAACACCCAACACAGCTACTGAAGAACAAAATGAGTTTTCTCCCATTTTTCAACAAATTGTCAGCTCGTTTCAGATCCGAGATTGGACCTTGTTTGAATAGGCTACACACGTACATATAATCAAAGCGTTTTATACTAATTTGATTGATTGATTGATTGATTGTTTTGAACATGGAGCCATTTGTTCATTAGTGCGTCTTGGGGACCAAAAATGGATGCAGTATTCTCACACAAGAGTGGTACTGTACCTGTTGTCCCATCGTGTTTTGCCTGTTTTTGATGTACCGGTAGGTTGTTGCGAATACACGGTACTATTTCTGTTCCTTTTGTTCCTTCTTGGCGTGGTCTTGTACCATGTCGACAAAGTACTGATGCCAACGATAATCATCCGTCAATTCGGGATGAAATGCCGTACAGAGCAGATTGTTGCGTTTCACGGCACAAATGACTTCTCGCGCATTGGTGCCATTGGCAGCTCCTGGAAGGACCAGGGATGGTTTGGTGGATGTGTTGGAGTTGTTGGTAGTAACTTGTTTAAAATCAATGTGCTGTTGATGAGAGGTTTCATCTTCGGTCCTATCCAAGGCATCTACGACTCCCATGACAACTACTTGTTCGCCTTTGGCTAATTTTTGTTCCAATTCGTGCAATACCACGGCGGCTTGTCGACAGGGAGTGGCTACCACTTTGGCCAGCACTTGAATGCCACTACTACCATCTTTTGCAGTAGCTTGATCAGCTTGATTGACACTCAAAATGGCAGGAGCTCGGATAAAGACTCCAGGAAATGGATTTGGATCATCAAAGAATTTGGTGGGCATTTCAAAACTGGAAACTTGAGATCCAAAATAATTGCGACACACGAGCATATCCATACCACCCACCAAAGCTTGACCGTCTTCAATGACGGCCGAAGCACCCACACAGCGTTCCGCCAATAAAATCATTCCAGCGCAAGTGCCCCAGGTTGGTTTACGCGCCGAAAACTCTTGCAAGGCGGACCACATATTTTGTTTTCCGTTGCCGCCGCCAGTGCCAATCAAGCCCATCGCTGTCGATTCGCCACCGGGAAGGACCAGACCATCCAAGCCTTCCAGATCGGTGGGAGTTCGGACCTATCGTACAAAATAATGATAATATAATAATAATAAAAATATCAGATACCGTTGGGTATAACTGAACTATTGCAATAAGTGAACTTACCTGCTTGGTGTTACATCCCACAGCTTCTAGACAAGTCTGATGCTCTTCAAAGGCTCCTTGCAGCGCCAAGACTCCCACTAAGAGTTTCTCTTCTTCTCCTTCTTCTGTTCTGCTTGTCATGTTATTATTATTCGCAGTGCTGGTACACATATCAGTCTCTTTAGTTGTCTTACTCCTTCAGTCTATTCTGTCAGTAGAAGACTTGTTGTGTGACAAGGAGATGAGTGGTTCCCATCATCTTGCAAACTGCATTCATCGGTATTCTTCCCTCGCGCGCGCTCACGTCTCATTTTTTATTTGAAAGGGCCCAAAATCAGGATTTTAAGAATCCAATTAAATTGATCAATTCCAAACCTAAATATAAAACCGAAACCAAAATATAAAACCGAAACCAAAATATAAAACCGAAACCAAATTACTATGGTAAATAACTAGTAAAATCAAGCCGAAACCTAAATATAAAATCGAAACCTAAATATAAAACCGAAACCAAAATATAAAATCGAAACACAAGTATAAATCGGAATTTGGTGTAAATCGCCATTTCGGGCCCTTTCTTTGTTTGGGTCTCATTTATTCGCGCGACTGACAAGGATCCAAACTAAAGATCTGCACCCGAACATCAGGCGCAAATTATGATACTAGTAGTACTTGCACCGGTACTACTACAGCAAGAAAATGGCCTTTCAAAAGGTACTAGTACACGCTCACCTCAACATTTGACCATCACCCAAGATAGACTTGGCCAACAAGTTTCGTGGGCCCATCATTGATGTTTCCATGCTGTTTGCCAAGGGGAGTGCTGGTCGATCCAGTCGAATGGTGAAGCAATGAGTCCAAAACCGGCCGAACCAGCCTTTATGGTCGTACCAATATCCGCTACGTCCCCGGGCGAAAGCACATGTATGCCACGGAAGCATTGCACCAGGCCGCCCTTGCCAAACAAACAGGAACACGAAAATGCCGTTCTCGCAAGGTAAGCAATTTGTTTCCATTCTTGTTCTCACCCAGGAAGCAAGCAAGCAATCCAACTCCGCCACCCGTCTTTGAATTCAGCTCAGACCAACGAACACAAGTGGGAACCTGTAACAACACCACTGTAAAAAATGATGGCTTTGGCAATGGACATCCATGCATTGGCAGTCCAAGCGGACATCTATCTTGATAGCCTGGATGTGGGTCACGAGCTGTCCAGATGATACTCGAGGGAAATACAGCGAAGCCGGCTTATTCTTTTGTTCAATAGAGATAGAGCTACAGGACGGAAGTTGAGACTGCACTCGCCACTACTGTACGTACTGCACAGTCGTAGTAAGTACTGTAGGCGAGATGAGGCCATTGCACAGACAGCTGGTCTCCGAAGCTTCGAAGCAAGTAAGTGAATAATTGCTGGCTTGTGTGTTCGAGGAATGAACTACACACGATCCGAAGCCAACAGAGTAATTCTGAGGGGCTTAATGAATCTTGGAGAGTTGCAGAGGTGGCATAAAGAATGATGATAGTATTGAGAAATAAGGATGTTGACTACTAGTTATGTTGGTGGCGAACCAGCACCTAGAAGGCAAATGAAGCAAATAGGATTGTTAAGTATAAAGTACTCAGCTAAAATAGCTTCCCAAGTAAATTCGTTTTGGATACTGATTAACTTGGTTTGGCTTTTGGTAGAACAAATATCGGATCCCAAACCATGCGTATGCAGAATAATTTATCATTAGAGAATGGTCTACCACTCTTTAGCTTACATTTTCCGGTTCTTGAAAGCATTTTGAAGCTGTTTTCACATGTGTTTTTATCACTGGCATTCGCAGAAGTCTGAGTTGGCAGTGTGCCACCTCATTTTGAGGATGGACGCCTGCTAGCCTCCACTCTGTCTATTTTGTACATTATATTTTTCGCTCTATTTCACGTGGCACCAACCAGCTCTTGGTTTGACGTGTTGCAGGTTGCCACCTCTTTGGGGAAGCGGTTTGCTTTCTCTGGCCAACCAATGCTACTGCAGCATTCCGTGCCGTGTGCTTTGTTGGCTCACACCTTCTCGAGATATTTCTCTGACTGCTTCTCAAGCACGGCACTAGCTAGTGGTTATCGTTATATCGTTATAGCTTATAGCTGCTGCTGAGACAAGAGAAGGGAAGAGAGACAGCAACAGCAGGCACCACCACACCAATCCATTGAATAGACCCAACGTCACCACACTGCAACTCCACCAAAGCAGTTCAGCTCTGTTCACACTTCACAAAACAACCAAAGACCAAGACAGCAAGCAGCTACTTACTTACTTACTACTGTATCATCTACTAGCTAGTACTAGTACTGATGTTTACGATAACAGCCAACAAGAACATGAAGCGGCGTTTGGGTGAAGGCGTGGGCGGCAAAGCCACCAAAGTGCAGCGCATCATGTCTTCTCTACCGGATCGTATGCTGCACAAAGCCAACGCCATTCAAGAAGCCAGACCAGACAATACCATCAAGGAACACACGGGAGTCGACTTGGAGTTTCCTTCCTACGCTGCGTTGACGGACTTTTTCCACGCTCCCACACAAGCCGAGATTGATGCCTACCAACACGATATTCTGGCGGCCGTACGCTCTTCCAAAATCGATACCTTAAGAGAGTTTCACGCTGCAGGACGACCCATGAAGTGCAGCAATGAGTTTGGGGAATCCATTCTGCATCTCGCATGTCGCAAGGGACTTGTGCAAGTGGCCAAGTTTCTCATTCAAGAAGCGGGAGTTCCCGTGCAAGTCTGTGACGACTATGGCAGGAATCCGCTGCATGATGCTTGTTGGGTACACAAGCCAAACTTTGAACTCATGGATATGGTCCTGTCCAAGTGTCCGGATCTACTCTTTATCAAGGACCGAAGAGGACACACGCCTCTCTCCTTTGCTAGAAGAGATCAGTGGAAGAGTTGGAATGACTACCTCAAGAGCAAGTCTCCAGAGTTCCTCAAGCCCAAGAAACTACTGGAACGATCATCGGACAGCAGCAGCAGCAGCAAGACTACCAACACTCCTTCCACAGTGGTGGCTGCCACTGCTCCTTCCACTCCTGTGGTCGCTGCCAAGAGATTCTCTGCTGGCGCTATTGCTTCCAAGGGAATCAGTCTTCCCTCCTTCAAGCTTCAAGTGGCTGCCAAGGGCATTTGCCTACCGGGGTTCACGGACGTGGCTGTCGTGAAGAAGTCGCCCAGTGAGGCCAAGATTGCCACCGGTGGAGGCGTCAAGCTACCCTCTGCTGGAATCACCCTGCCCAGCAGTGGCGTCAAGCTACCGGTGCCCACGGCTTCTCCCGTCCTCAAGGGTCCTCCCACTACTACGACCAACCATCCCGGTGCTCCCAAGGAAGCTCCCGTCCTGCCTCTCACTCCTGCCAACACTCCTGCGACAGGCATGCCCGCCATGATCCGGCTCCCCAATGGAACCGTTGTGGCACTTCCTTCTATCGCAGCCGTCTCCAAGACGGGAATCAATGTCCTCCTCCAAGCTGCCTCTTCGGCCAAATCTCCCTCGCCCACAAAGCAAAACCCCACTGCCACGGCTGGTTAAGGTTGCTGCTTCCTAGCAACCTAGCCAGTACTACTGTTCACAAACACGCACGCTACCATATTATTTACTTACGAATGCTCATAACAACGCTCGACAATGGCTTGTACAAAACAGCCATATCCTATCATACCATATCATGCACAGCAGGCACATAATTGCTACTAACAAACACAATTTTGGACACTAAAAACACTCTCTACTTTGAAACTCTAGAAATCCATGACTATCAAGCCAGCTATTGCTACAGATAGAGTGCAGCTGATCCGTCTGATGAAGCTGCCATTGAGGCGTCACTATTTAGAGCTACATGTAGAGGTTCGAATCATCTCTGGTGACGGCGGATCTCTACTACTAGCCAGCCACCCCCTCGTTGCATGCAGTTTGCTGGCCATGACGATGATCGGCTAGCTAGCTAGTAGTAGCCTGCCACAGCTAGCTAGCTAGTAGAGAGCCTTACGGGAGCCTTTCCATGGGACTGATGGCAAACACATCAGATCTTCAAGTATCGGATTCCTTTTGTGTGCCACCTAAGATGGGTGACGTAGTGCCCTTGGGATTTAACGTAGGTCATGACTGTTCAAACTGCGATTTTTATCGATTAACAATGAGTATAACGTCAGATCCAAACATCAACCCTTTTTCTTGTAGCACTTCAATCTTCGATCACAGACAGCTTGTAGACATCAGTGGAGTCGAGTGAGTCACCGTCATCACCGCCAACCGGCACAAACAACGACATGATGAACCTGAACCTGTCCAACCAGATGTAACTCGAACGCTATGGACAAGGCACTGTAAGCCCCAAGCACCATCCTGGCCTGCTGCAGCACCTACTACCTCTACAGTCAAAACTCACTAAAGTTCCACCCCCAGCATTAAGAAAAAACGGAACTTAGCTGAATTATGGAACTTTAGATCTTTGGAGCCCCATATTGGCCCGTTCGTGGTCTTAGGACCCACTTGGGGTGGTTCCTGTCATATTCTATTGTTATTGGGGGTAAAAGGAACCAATCTTTCATAGGGTGGAACCACATCGCTTCAACATATAGTGTCTCTATTGTCGACTAGTTGTGTTACTACTAGCAAATGCTAGTAAAACGTGCTGTTTAGGCTTTGTCAAGTACCTGAGGGTGTCTGGCATGAAAGAGAAAGTTGAACTAACTTTTCATATGTATAAATGAGATTCCTAAAAAGGTATCCCAAAGTAATCCCACATAATTCTAAGTAATTTTTAAAGAAAAATGTGGCTGTTGTTGCCTCATTTTGAAAAATTCTAACTACCAGCCCAGCCTCAAACAGCCACAAAACCCATTCACCAGTCAGTCATGTTCAGTCATGAGAACTAGTGACTGAGGGGGGGGGCAGCCCTGAAAAAGTGTGAATTTGTAGAATAACGGAACTTAAAAAAACGGAACTTAAGTGAGTGTTGACTGTATTCGGTTTTTTTCAGGGTTCGTCTCTTGATTCCTTAGTTCCAGCTCCCAACACTCAGTTACCTCACATTTGATCCTTATGACCAATACATGCACAACCGAATATTGTCAATCCAGCCATTGTAGCCGGCTGCCGTATAATTACATCGGCGACAGTGGCAACAGTACTGAACACACTCAGGTTCGGCTTTGCTCGCTACACTCCGGTACAAGTACCTCGTATTGGATCCTTATGACGAATACATGCACAACCGAATATTGTCAATCCAGCTATTGTAGCCGGCTGCCGTATAGTTACATCGGCGACAGTGGCAACAGTACCGGACACACTCAGGTTCGGCTTTGCTCACTACACTCCGTTACCTCGCAATGGATCCTTATGACGAATACATGCACAACCGAATATTGTCAATTCAGCCATTGTAGCCGGCTGCCGTATAGTTACATCGGCGACAGTGGCAACCGTACCAGACACACTCAGGTTCGGCTTTGCTCGCTACACTCCGTTACCTCGCAATGGATCCTTATGACGAATACATGCACAACCGAAGATTGTCAATCCAGCCATTGTAGCCTTATAGTTACATCGGCGACAGTGGTAACAGGACCGGACACACTCAGGTTCGGCTTTGCTCACTACGCTCCGTTACCTCGCAATGGATTGTAGATAATCTTGGATCCAATTTGCTGTTTGTAGGATATTTTCTTCTTTGAGCGCCAGAATATTTGGCCATTTTGTAATGAGGCTGTCAATCTCCTTCTTGTTCATTTTGAGTCTCTTTAGGATTGCTATTTTATGCTGTTCTTCAGTTGCTTCAGTTCTCCTTGGCTTAGCACGCAAAACTGCAATTGTACTTTGCTGATTCAGAACTAGAGCACCCTTAAAGTTTGTACCAGAAGCACTTTCGAATCCTTCATACTGGTACCCTGTCCTCGGCTTAGAATTCCAACCCATGAGACTGTCACTCAGAGCTGGTTGAAATCCCGCCGTCTCCTGCAAAGCAGCAACGAGAACAAGCACCATCGTCAGCAATAAGGTGACCGGTCCATGATCTTTTGGGGCCGCCATTATTATTGTAGAGAAGATACTATTATAGTGATTGCTACCCTTGATGCCTGTGGCCCTATCGGCTCCAAGCTCCATGCCCTGCTATTACCTGATACCAACTGCTCTTCCGGATCGCAAAAGATCTGTGGAACGGATCGTTTGACGTACGTACCGCGATGCGTCTGTCCGCCATCCTGGGTCTAAAACTTTGTTGAGTCGGACTCAGGAGCGTGCCTCAAAGGGGAATCCCGGATTTAGGGCAGAGTTTCGAATAGGGTAGAGTTTGAAACTCTGCCCGATTTAGGGCAGAGTTTCAAACTCTACCCTATAGGGCAGAGTCAAACTCTGCCCTAATAATTAGGGCAGAGTTTCAAACTCTGCCCTAAACTCCCCTATAGGGCAGAGTTTGAAACGTAGAAACACTACTACTGTCTACGCAGTCCCGTTTCGATTTAGGGCAGAGTTTCAAACTCTGCCCTAATTATTAGGGCAGAGTTTCAAACTCTACCCTATTAGGGCAGAGTTTAGGGCAGAGTTTCAAACTCTGCCCTAATTATTAGGGCAGAGTTTGTCAAACTCTGCCCTAAATCCGATTCAAGAATCCTACCAAATGGTGGATCATGACCGTTGCGGCACGATCCTGATCTACTGGAAGCTGGAAGGATTGTCTTTGGAGCCTTTACTTTACTTCTTAGAGCTACGCACAGCTAGCTAGATGAAATGGCACTAGCTAGCATACAGCAAGTCGGAGCTAGTCTAAGCAAGGACAGTACAAGAGAAGCGCCAACGACAGCCATCTGGTAGTTTGTTTTTACATGCTCAGCTAGACGTATAAACTTCGTTCCCGTCTATTTTTAAAAAGTTGTAGGCTGGTGCCTTTCGTTTGTATAGTGTGTATGATCATTCGATTTCCTCCTGTACAACTTGCAGATTTGCCTTGAGATTGTCAAACCATAGAGACCATCCATCCATGTCGGTTTCTAGATCTGGTTCTTTGGAGAAGAAGCAGGGAATATCATCCAAAGTTTGTAGTTTGAATCCTGCAGCAATGAGTAATTCTCGTCCTCCCTTGTGTCTTCCAATATCTTGATGAAATTTGGGATGATCTCGTCTAATTCTTCGAAAGTTGATTTCTTCTGGTTTTTGAGCAATTTGTGTAAAGATGGTAAGGAGTGCCTGCAAGGCGGTGGTTTTGGCTTGTGGATCATCTTGCGTGCTCTGTTTGATTATTTTCATTTGTGTTCGAACTCCTTCGGGTCCTTTGGGAATGGAATTGATCCAATCTCGTTCGGCTTGTGCAGCCGCTTCTTGAGCTTGACGAGCGGCAAGGCGTGATGCCTCGGCTCTCTGCGCAATTTCCTCTTCTTGTCGCTTTCGTTCTTGTTCGGCTTGCAATCGCTTTTGTTCTTCTTGCTGTCTTTGTCTCTCTTCTTCTTCTAGTTTCCGTCTTTCTTCGGCTTCTTTCAGCTTTTCTTGCTGTTGGCCTTGCGCTGCCTCTTGGGCTTTCTGAGCTGCCACTGTTTCTCGTAGTCTCGCCACCACACAATCATCACTATTCGTCCCATCTGATAAGCTCTCTTCTTCCGACAAACCAAAGGCATACCCAACCACTTTTTGCAATGCCTGAAACAGCGCGAGGAGATGACGCACTCTCTCGGCTGTCTTGGCGCCATAGCGTGGAGCTCCCGAAATTGGATCTTTTTCTTCCAGTCGCTTTCCCATCTTTTGCATGCGAGGCTCTAAATCTTTTAGTCTCAAGTCGATCGACTCGAGTGCCTTCAGCACCTCTTCTTCCTTTACAACTGAAGCTCCACCAGCACTATCACTACTACTCGTACTACTAGCTTCTTTTACCGCAACCAAGGCGGGATGAGACTCCTCCAACTCGCTTTCGATCGACAGCAACTTGGACGGATCAGGGCGGTGCAACGACACATACAGTGCCAGCAGCTCTTGGCATTCCGATTCACTACGCTTCAGTTCGGCCATTGTTCAAGATAGACACCCTATGGAACTGATCAGACGAGACAAATAATAGAAGCTCTAGAGGACAAATGACAATTTCTGAGGTCGTGGCGATCTGTTCGATGGTTTTGGGATTTGGGAGCTCCTCGACCTCCTTCGATCAGCATCCAATCGCTTCGATACCGGTAGCCTTAACCCAAAGTCACTTCATTTTGTCCGATGCTCCGCACCGGCACGACACCGTGGCCTCGCTATTAAAAGGCTAAGGCTTTTAGTGCGTTAGAGGGAGCATTTTCGCCGAGCATGTCAGGCCGTGGAAAGTGAAAGGGCTCTTGTCAACAATTTTGGCCTTGCAACTCGGATCTAAAACCTCGTCCTTGGCATTTTTAATTTTGAAGCTTGGACTGGTCCATCTTGTATCTTCATCTTTGGCTCACTTGGGTGGTTGTAAGATAAGGAAAAAGTAGAGCAATGAACATGACGAGCCGCCAACTGTTGTTTCTCCTCCTATCGTTGTCGGGCACCGTGCCCAGCTCCAGTTCCGCCATCAGCCAACATGCAACCGAGCAAGATTTTGTTCACTGCGAAACGCTATGGATGGGAGGATCCACACCGCAAAACAGAGACAACGACAGCAATGACGATATTGCCAATACACCTGGAAAACTATGCGTGCAACTCACAAGAAGCAATCCAAACGCAGAACAACCGCATCATCTCACAGTCTTTCACCTCCTCAACGATAAGCACGGTTACATCCTCGACGAAAGCTATCTTTGGGTAGGAAGCGATCCATCCAACATGCCACGGAGTCTGGCGAGCTGGCCGTTTTACTACCATGTCAACACGACGACACATGATACTACTAGTATCAAATCAGATCTCACTGTCAATATTCCCCTCGACAAAAACAATTCTGCACCTCAGTTTTGTCAAGACGGTCAGGACACTACTACAGTCTATTTGGCAGTGCATCCGGTCATACTGCAACAGAGCACCCACAGAAGCCACCATCAGTATGGTGTTCCTGAAACATCAATTTCGGGACTACCAGTAGTGACAGAACCAAATACAAGATCTCTACCCAAACTCCAAGATCAACCAAACCTGCGAAGAGCTTCGGCCACAACGGGACAAGACGGCGTCTCCAGCAGGCATCAAGACAGTGGAGTCTGGTGGATGGAGTTGGAACTCACCGTTCAGGGGTTGTGTAACCAAGAACACGCGTCATCTTCCTCCGTCTCCCCCCACCAGCCTCGAATAGTGCAGTTACAACAACGCCAACGTCGACTCGACTGGCAGTCATCACGACGTAGACTCTCCTCCGGTTGTCATGGTGGTGCAACGCGCGTTTCCAGAATTGCCACGCTCGAAGATACGGCTGCGGACCCCACCAATCAAGTTCTCACGGAATCATTCATTCATCAATTCCACATTATCACCACCTTGTCCGCTCATGTCGCCTACGACACGCAAGTCACTCGAAAAGAAGACTACTACCGAACCATATATGATCAATTCTATGCCTATAACGACGGCCTCAACGATGCTGCCATCGTGGCCAAGGTCGACAACATCTGTTATGGTGTATTCCGAGGAACTGTAGAGTACAATTACTTTGATGAAATGCAAAACTTGCTACCCGGATACCGAAAGGTGGATGGCACCGACTGTTATGTGCGACGCGGTCTCTACGATGCCTACTTTACCAATTACGCGACGCAATTTGAAGACTCCGTAAGAGACTGCGTCAACTCGTGCGACGATGGAGATTGCGAGCTGGTCTTTACCGGTGGATCTCAAGGTGCCGCGGTGGCCGTCGTGGCATCCATTCGATTCTATCAAGAGTTCGATCCCACGGTCATGTCCATGGGAGTCATGCGCACATTTTTGCCCACCAGTCCCTTTGATGATCACGCACCATGTACTCATGTCAACGAGGAAAAACATTATCATTTCGTCTTGACGGATGATGTATTGAAAGCGTACGACCCCATCCCCTACGTCTACGCCTTTTGGGCCAAGAATGTGGGACATGAGATCCTGTACGACGGCAACGGAAACTTTAACTACCAAGGTTTGGCGCCCAACTACATTATGAGACGTGAACCGGGGAACTACGCCATTCATACGAGATGGAATTATGTTGTCAAGTCGCAACGAGCCTACGAAAACGCTTGTCTACCCTACCCAGCGTATGGTTGGGTGGATGGACACTGGTGCACCGATCATGACAATTGCATGCCGACCAGTTACTGTAGTGACATCGCTGGAAGCACGTGTCAGCCCAAGTTGGAAGTTGGCTCGGACTGTCACAACAGTGATGCGTGCTTATCGGGTTCCTGTGTCGACGGCATCTGCTTTATGGTCAGCAAGAAACAGCTATTGACGCCGATTGGCAACAAATGCTGGACGAATGGACAGTGTGGATCGGGAAGGTGCGAGGGGTTCATTGGATTTTCAACCTGTCAGATGCAACTGGAATCGGGTGCTTCTTGCAATGAACATTCCGACTGTCTCTCGGGTCATTGTGCGGGCATGATCGATGGCAAGTGCTTGTGATCATCATCGTGAACAAGGGTGTATGCGAGTTGCCTGCAACCATACACTTCCAGAAGAGGCGGGGAGGACGATCAAACTCATAGATAGATACATATAGTCTTTGAGTAACAACAAAAGATCAGTGAGTTCTACTTGCAAAAGTACCTTTGTTGGTTAGGCAACCATGGGGAGCATCATGTGTCCGCTGCCTTCTTTTCGCGGACTCAACTAATATTTGCCGTCATTCAGGAATCAGCTCTCCTGATTGTATCGTGAAACCAGCAGCGGGCAAGCTAATTCAGGTGTATAACGAGCTCATGTAGGCGCTAACTGACACCCAGCATATCTATCTAGCTTGCCAGTACAATGCATCTTGAGCTATTTGGAAAATAATGAAAAATTGAAAGATGAATGAAGATAATCAATGTTGGGCACTGCCCTTAACCATTTTTCTGTCAGTTGTGAGATTTCTTCTTCGTTCCAAATACTTTTCCCATTGAGCTGGTGGATAACATGCCAGACTCAACATCGGCACTGTGAATCTACGTTTTGGCAGGTCGACTTCCAGGACTTGTTCCCACCTATCTAATGTATTTATGTTTTCATTCTGCTAGGGTCGTAGCAAAATCATCTTTTCTTAACTGCTGTTGCACTTTGCTGCTGTCTGGAAGTTAGATTTTGACAGGGTGTTCATTTGCTGAGAACGACTCTTGGCTGAAAAAAGCCCTGATGATTTGATTTGGATTGCAAGTACTGATTCCATAGCTTCCACTGAGGCCGCCTCACATAACCCAATGGTGTACTTCCACGTCTATCTTTGATGAAAAGAAGATCGGGTTCTCTCTCTAGGATAAAGTCAATCAAGTCAAAGTTGGGCTCTGCAGTCCAACAAGCATCGGCCAGAGGCGTTCTACCAAAATCATCGCAGATTCGCAGAGGGACATGACACTCGTCCACCAGAAACCGAGTCATTTGGTACATGCCCTTGCGACAAGCCAAATGCAAGAGAGATTCTCCAAATGCGTTGCTGCACTTGAGGGGACGTCCCTGGCTGTAGAGAGCCCGCAGGGTGCCATAGTCTTGTTGACGAACGGCATTTAGCACGGTGTGATCGTAAGCCTTGATCTCTTTGGCCGTTGGAGGATAGAAGAAACCAGCCAACGATTGACTGTCAAAGGCATAGTAAGGAACTCCTGCACTCGTCAACGACTGTAGCGTGTCATCTGGGCGACGCTCTTGGTCGAGAGGTTGTTTGTGCATTCGCTCCGGTAGCTCGGACATGATGCACCGAATCTTCTTGCGGCTTGTGCATGTACCGAAAGAATCACCGGAGGAACTTTCATCATCAGAGTCAAAGCGGGGGCGTTTCATGGTAACACAGCACATCTTGATGAGCAATGGAGAGGGTACCGTACTAGTATGGGGGAGGCGGGTGGATCAAATAAAAGCTTTGGAAAAGTGAGCACTCTGAGCCGAAGCAACAAAAGAACCCTCTCCCCTCTCCATCACCGAGATCCAAAATTCACAAAATTCCGTTCAGGATTATCTCACGTGCCAAGCAGTCATACTTGAACAGAAAGTGACGGTCCGATGTGTCCATACAGGCTTTTGTTCTGTTCCACTGCCCTTCCAGTACCGAGCCGGAAATTATTCTACTCAAAGCTCCACAGAAGAGTCCCCATCGATCTTCGTGATCTTGAATGCACCATCCGAATTCGCTGAGGTGGCAGTATCAGAGTCATAGTGGTTGAAGAGAAAAAGCAGAATGGATCTTCGAGTCTTCGAGTCTGCATCGAAACCACCAGACTACTGGCCGCTGGATACTGCTCTATGGCCCAGGATTGACAGGGACCTAAGAGGAAGTTGTTCGAGCTACCGTCGCTCGACTTGGACGGAGGCTTCAAGAGCTAACATTTTAAAAGCCACTACCGCTATGCTGAAGGCCCAAGCAAAGAGAGCGAACCAAGCAAGCTGCTTCCGCTATCTAGACTATTGCTAGCTAGAACTAGTACTCTGAGCAGCTAGGTGGTGGAAATTCCCCCGTCTCTGTCGCCGTACCTCAACCAAATTGCAGGCTTCGTTGAAGGCCCGTTCAGGCGCTCGCTACCGGACGCAAAGAAGAAAAGGTGTTCTCTACCGATATCGGTAGCTACCGCTGAAGTGACTTTGCAGCTCGTCGTCGAGTTGCTTGTGGCTGACCGAAGCAACGAGAGCTCTACTACTAGCTAGCTAGCAAGCTAGTTAGCACCAGCTTCTTCCAGACCCAGAGCAAAGATTTCAAGTTCACGCTTTGCATGGAAGCCTATTGTGGTGGTTGTAATAGCGAAACGCACGGATTCTGCAGTGCTACAGTCTGTACTGTGCCAGAGCGAAAAGAAGGAAGATGGCCGGAGGCAACAACTCTACAAACAACCTTTGCTTCCAGGACGATTTGCGGCAATGTTGGAGCCGGGCAGTGGACTAGCAAAGGCGCATTTTCCCCCTTATGGTGGGATCAAGTCAAGCGGAGTTGGGAGGATGATGCAACTCCAATAATCTCCCTTTTAGATCCAGCTGGTCACGTGGGAGCCAGGCTGTGAGAAAGATCCCCGAAGTTCATTCCTGCTTTGGATCTTTTCTCGCGTGGATTGCCGTGGACTCAAAACACGAGTCGAGGAGGGTACATGGTACGTAATATCTGCGTCCAGGAAATCGACTTCATCAGCACAATGAACGCTCCATGCTGCCTCATAAATTCAAACTACAAGAACAAAGCTACGGTACAAGAAGAAGAGCAAAGAAAAATCTTTCCCGGACTACACACTCAATCAAGCAGCATGTCGAGCAAAACAGAGCCCAAAGACGTCGAGGAAGTTGACATTGAAGTCGCAACAGCCACAGACGCCACAGACGGAACAACCACCAATCCTGCTGTGAAGATACGCCATGCATTGGCCCTTGGTGGAATATCGAGTATTTTGGCAGGCGTGACCTACATCGTTGGATTTGTCATCTTTGGAGTTGCTCTAAGGGATATGTTCGAGGAAGACAAGCTGAGCGCCGTCGAGAGCGTGTCATTTCTCAAGAACAACGAAGAAGTCTTTTACACGGCAAACTTTCTTGTGTACATCTTGAATGGCTTCCTACAGGTGATTCTTTCCTGTGTCATGTACACTTACCTCCTCTCTGAACACAAACAGAATGGACGTCAAGAAATCTACTTTCAAGTGACATCTGTGATTGGCATCATTTGGGGCGCCCTGGTGATTGCGGCTGGTATGATTGGAAATGGCGGCGGACACGTTGCTGTGAATCTCTACGAAACCGATCCCGTTCGTGCTGCCACGGTGTGGATGACCATCGATGCTGTGTACACCAACGGAATTGGAGGTGGCAATGAGATTCTAGGTGCCGTTTGGGTTTTGATGGTATCCTTTTCCTCCTTTGGTTGCGGAAGGGGTTTTCCCAAGCCCGTGAACATTCTGGGTTTAATTGCTGGTATTGCCGGAGTCATTACCATCGTGCCTGGCATGGATGAAGCTACTTCCGTTTTTGGAGTAGTCATGACAGTCTGGTACATCCTTGCTGGAATGTGGCTGTTGCGGGCTTTTAAAAAAACCTCGTCCAAGTAATCTGGCATTCTGGATAGATGATGTTTGGATGATTCCATTGTGCGAGTACGTGATAAGCTTTTAACGGGTGATAATAGCCAGTGATATCTATGCAGTACGACAGTAACAGAGCGTGATCCCATGTAATAGTGTTGCCCCTCAAAATCTTATAAAAGGCTTGCTGGGAACGGATTGAGGTTTTCTTCCGTCGTGTCTTTCCCCAGATAGTCAAAAGTAGTGGCGGAGGAGACAAAGATTCTTTACCGTATGGCTGCCAGTTGAAAGCGGGAGCGAGTGTTGAACCTAGAACGGCGAGACGAGTCGATCGCTGCGTGCTTTCTCGTTGAACAGGGCTGCGGACTGCAAAGGCATTCAAATTTTTTGACAAGGCTGGATGCCAATGCAATGCAGTGTACACATATTGGGGGGGGCATAGCAGATACACCAGCTAATGAATCATCAGAGATACGGGGGTTACCGGTGCATCGGTTCTCGAGCAGAGAAGAAGTCTTCACAGTTTCACTGATCATCATTTGTTTGCTTGCTTAGCTAACTGCCCGTGGGTCCCTTGCTATGGCTGCTACGGTACCAGGTACCATGGTATTACTAGGATCCCGCAAAGCCAAACCCTTTGCCCCCCGTAATGGTCCTCAATTTCTTGCCCCTGATCCCACAGAACCCAGTCCTGAATTTCGACTGTTCTTTGCTTTTAAAAGCCTGGCCCCGGCTGGCTTCCGTAGATAATTTCCCTACTCTAAAACCCCCCTTGCTTCTGCATTACTAGAAGAGTGCGGGTTTGCTGGGGTCATCGTCGATCTGTGACCGCACCTTTGGATTACACTCTCACATATTATCACGTCTGAACCTAATTAAGCCCTCACATGTTCTATCCTCGTCCGGGGCATGCTCGGTGCCACAACTCCCATAAAGCGGCACATCAATACCAGTGAAGTGCCTCATGTTGCAGGCTTTGCGTTTTCGCAATCCGTCGTCTTTTGGTAGTGCTCGCTGCAAATTTTTGCTCCAAATCGACCGAATGATTCAATAGCTTGGGCACAAGGAAAGAAAGTCAATGCACGGCCACAAAAAGGCTGGCCATCAACGCTAAACAAACAAACCACGTCTCTCAATCCATCCTTGAGACCACCTTCAACAACCATGGGACGTTTAGCACAGCAGAACCCCCCAGACGACTTCACTGCTCCAATTGAACTCACTTCCGGTGACGAAACTCGTCTTGCCGAAACTCGAAGTGCCTTTGGACAGGCATGGCGATCGCGCAAGGAAGCTTCTCGAACTTTGGCCGGGTCCACTTGTGTTTCGCAACCAGGAGCCCATGCCGAGTCTGTGCCACAAGCTGATGTCGAAGCACTCCAACAGGCCAATCCTGCTCCACCAAGAGATGGCAGCGAACAGAATGGATGGTGGAAGAAGTTTCCTCTACTGCGTCGAATGGAACAGAGGGATATCATGTTTGGCTTTGCGGTTGTATGGCTTTTGATCGTATTTGTGATTGCTGTGGTGGTGGCATTTTCCCTGCGTGTGACACCAAACGACGGCCCTACTGCTGATGCCAGGACAGCACACCCAGCATTGGCACTCCCAAACGAAACGCTCTCAGTTTCTCCAACAATGGTGCCATCATATGCCCCTACAATGCCGCCTACAACTTCCCTCGAAGCCTTTGTTGTTTCCATACTTCCAGACGCGACAGGTTGGACGATCAAGAATGATCAAAACTCACCACAAGCAAAGGCTTTTGACTTTGTAGTGGAAGATTCTGCCTTATCTACGTACCCAGCATGGCGTATCATCCAAAGGTTTGCCTTGGCAACTTTCTATTATGCAACAGGTGGCGATGGCTGGAAAGAGAACGATGACTGGTTGAAATACGAATCCCACGAATGCGAGTGGTTCCATCAAAACAAGGATAGGAGCCCCTGTGGCCAAGTCAGTGGAGTTCATGCGCAGGATGGAGGGCGATATGAACACTTGTGGCTACGGGATAACGGTATACTTGGAAGTCTTCCAGCTGAGTTGTTTCTGTTGACTGCACTGAAGACTATTGACTTGGATATGAGCCCAACCAGTAATCATGGTGATGCTCTTATAGTTTCCAATGAAATCCCCACTGAGATTGGTCTCTGTTCAAGCCTGGAGTCTCTATCCCTTGTGCACTTCAAACTCAGAACCGTGCCGTCTGAAATACTGCAACTGAATTCCCTTAGATTATTGAATCTTAGTGGAAACCTATTGCCAACAAGTGTTCTGCCTGAGTTGCTGAGCCTTGGCAGCTTGACCGCTCTCAACTTGTCCCAAAACTGGCTGACACAACTACCAACATCATTTGGTCAACTAAGCAGGTTGGAGACACTTGATATGAGCTCCAATAGGTTTAGTACACAGGTGCTGACTTCTGTGGTTGCCCAGTTGACTTCTTTGAAAGTACTGTCACTTCACAGCAGTGGGCTGTTAAGCACAATGCCCTCTGAGCTTGGACTCATGTCTAGCTTGGAAAAGCTTCTTCTAAATGACAACGAACTTACTGGGACCATTCCAAATGAGCTTTGGTCATTGGTGAAAGCTGGGAATCTTTCCATTCTGCATATGGAGAACAACCAGTTTTTTGGTGAAGTCCCAGATGAAGTTTGCACAATCGTTGCAAACAGCTCGATATTCGATTGCAATGATCTCCTTTGTGGGTGTGACTGCTTGTGCATTGTCCCTCTTCTCCCAGCAAGCACAGTTGGTATGATTCGGAGTTATCCAACATCACCACAAGCCAGAGCTTTCCAATGGGTGAACGCAGACCCCTACTTGCATGACTACCCAGACTGGCGTATCCAGCAACGTTTTGCTTTAGCCACATTCTACCTTGCAACAGGGGGAGACCACTGGTCTGTGAACAGAGGGTGGATGGAATATGGCATCCACGAGTGCCAGTGGCATAGTGGGGAATCTTACACTAGTTCTTTTCACAGCTTTACAACAAACCACTCAAATTCATGTGACCACAACCTGGATGATCCATATGGAGACGATGATGGAATGTACCGACACTTCTGGCTCCAAGATGATCAACTCATTGGGAGACTCCCCCCAGAGCTGTTCTTATTGACATCCTTGCAGAGCATCAACTTGCGCTTTGGTGAAGGGTCTCCCCTGCAGTCTCTGCCGAGTGAGCTTGGGCTGTGCACAGATCTAGAGTCGATTTCTTTCTCAGGCCTCAAGATCAATGTTCTACCACAGCAAATGAACCAGTTGACGTCTCTCCGCCACCTGAGCCTCAAGAACAATCGTCTAACAACGGATGCTATGTTTGATGGGATCATGGCGGCACCATTGTCATTGGGATTGAAAACCCTGGACTTGTCCCATAACATCATTCATCGGTTTTCATCCGTCCTGGGACAGTTCCCCAAGCTAGAGAACCTTGACATGTCATCCAATATTATAAGAAGCAGGATTCCGCCCGAGGTTGGCCACATGCACAGCTTGCGGCAACTTTGGGCTCATGACAATTTCCTTATGGGAATTCCTTCGGAGATCGGCGCATTGACTAGCTTGGAACAGCTTCTTTTGGATAACAACCAGATCGAGGGAACCATTCCAATGGAACTCGAGTCATTAGTAGCAGGTGGGGCTCTGACAACCTTGCGCCTGGATGTCAACAAGTTTTCTGGCCATGTCCCCGAGGAGCTTTGCACTCTGGGGACTGCAAACTTCACATTTGATTGTGGGGAATCTCTCTGTGGTTGTAGCTGTGTCTGTACTTGAATTGCAATTTTTAAGCCAATCACTCGAAGCAAAGAGCACCCGCCGGTGGTGCTGTGGCTGGCTGTCGTTGCTTTCGTTGCCCATTTAACCGTTTAGTAATTCTTCATGAGATACTAGACTACTACTCAAACCAGCTCCAATACAACCTTGGCGTACATACGGTAGCATTTATATTGCCGAAAGGCCTCGCGCGGCCGGACTCTTCCTCGAGGAAGCCATAGCCAGTGCTTATTACGCTTGCAGGCTCCTCTCCTGAGCCCGAGCCGGAAGCCGGAAGCCGGTGAGCCGGATGCAGCCAAGTTCCAAACAATCAAGGAGATCAAGCATTCACATCGGCTTGAGAGCTGCTTTGAGAACTCGCACGTCGCACAGCAAAGTGATGGGTGGTGGGTTCGATTGGATTCCAAACTTCCCCACTCTAGCTAGACCACTTTTTATCTCCCGTAGAGTAGTCTAGCTAGATCTGGGGGCTGGGTGGGGACGGACTTCAAAAAAGGCTTCGCTTTGGCCTTCGCGTGCTGAAGGCTGTAATAATACCCCGACATTTTTTTTAAAGTCTCTTCTCCACGAAGGAATCACGTCAGATAAATCTCTGCTTCCTGGCGAACGAAATGGTGATGCTGGTGTTTAGGTGGAGCTGTCAAACGCCGGTACCAACAACCGTATAATTCTTTGTACAATCGTACTGAGCACATGAGCACATGCTAGACTAGGTAAGAAATACTCCAGTAGTGTTCGTTGCCTGTAGACTCTCGGAGCATCTCACATTTGTGCTGGGCCGATAGCAACCAAATACTGGCTCTTTCCGGAGGATATTTTTCCCGAGGGAGTGCCTCCGATGGTTGGAGGCCTGTTGCTCAGTTGCTATAACCGAGTTGACACACACCATCATAAAAGTTTGTCGTCGACTTGACACAAGACATCAAAAAGCAACAACCTATCTACAAGTACTAGTATTGATAGCAATCACAGAAACAGAAACAGCAATAGCAACCAAAATACAATGCACTCGTTCGTCTATGGATTACTAGGAGGAGCCTTGATTGGCTTGGCAGCCAGCGTGCTCCTGCTCTTCTCGGGAGATATTCTGGGTGCTTCGGGGATAGTCTCCTCAATAGGCCTAGCGCCAATCTCGTCCATCCAAAATCCCCGTCAACACTGGAAGATCGTCTTTATTGCAGCCTTCTTCCTCTCATCGCACCTCTTCTTTGCCTCGGAATACGAAGATAAAGACGGTGGTCTTGCCAGTCTCAGTTGGGCTGCCTACCTGATTGGTGGCCTCTTGGTTGGCTTTGGAACTCGACTGGGCAATGGCTGCACGAGTGGCCATGGCATTTGCGGACTGGCTCGTTTTAGCAAACGATCCATGGCAGCCGTCATGACCTTTATGAGCATTGGTATCATCACGGCCTACTTCACCCAGCAAGCCACGACACCTTTTGGTGACAGCGCATTTGCATTCCTACGAGACGACTCGCAAGAACCCGTTCGAGTATGGGACAAGGCCGGCGCCGTCCTGAGCATGTTCCTGGCCTTTGTCGCATTGGTGGCAGCCGCATTCCACCCCATCTCGGAAACCGAAGACGTGAACACTCGAAGAAAGTTGGCCCCAGCCGCGATTGTCGGCATCCTCTTTGCCGCGGGCCTCTACGTCAGCCAAATGGTCTATCCCGTCCGAGTCATGGGTTTTCTGAACGTTGGATTGATTCCTCAAGGCGACTGGGATGCTACCCTCATGTTTGTCATGGGGGGAGGCATGACCCTTTCCTTCTTGGCTTATCAGTTCGTCGAAGGCTTCCAGCTCTTCAAGGGCGGTCCGAGTCCATTGGCCAAGCCATTGGCTCTGACAGAGGGATCTGAGTTTTGCGTCCCGTCCAACACGATCATTGACCGCGATTTGGTCCTGGGTGCCATGTGCTTTGGCATGGGCTGGGGCATCTCAGGTCTATGCCCGGGTCCTGCCATGTTTTTGGCATCCATTGGCGTCTCGTGGGTGTTGGTTTGCTACTGGCCAGCCTTCTTTGTTGGAGCCTACATTGCGTCGCTCGTAAAGGGCAAGACTATCCCATCCTGCTTCCCAACATCATCATCCTCTTCCGACAGCAAGAACGATTCCCACTCGACGACCGACCTCGAAAAGGCAAAAGACGGCCTCGAAAAGGCAGAAGAGACCGTGGCGAACGACCTGTGCGACACGGCAGTCTTTGACGACCTTGATGAGGAGAGCGGAGGAATCACGACCCGAGCTACCACAGCTACGATCTCACAGACAGCAGAAGCAGAGCACCCTTCTTTGGCCTTTGTCGATGTATGACGTGCGAGTCGCCGCCTCCTTTTTGAGAGCCTTTAGTATATTAGCCAGCTTCCAATAACTTAGATTCCTTCCATTTTGCATTATCCATGCAAGAACGTTGTCTTTGCTTGCGGTAGCATCGTCACGACTGTACCGTATCGTTGCACGGTATCTACAGCCGTACAAGCGATGCTGTGCGACGAATAAGGGACGAACGATTCAATCGAACACGTGGCTGAGTGAGTGGTTGAGTCCGATGTGCATAATGGATCGTTTCGTTCGTTCATTCTTCGAAAGGTGTGTTCTTACGATACCGGTACCTTAATGATTGAATAATCGTTTCAACCGCAGGGGGTACCTGGTACCTGGTACCGGAACCGTGCGTACGGTATCGGTAACGGTGCGAGTGACCGCACCTCTTTGGCTATCGTTCCAACCCCGTCACAGTTTCAGACAAGGGATAACATTCCCAACGTGCATCGGCCTTTCTGGCTAGCATTTGGCCGCAGAGCCATTTTTGAAGGCTTGCTGCGATTTTTGAAGCGTTCTTGCAGGGTGTCGAATAAGTACCAGGTACGGAAAGAGCAGGGTGCGGGAATGAGTTGCAGCTGTCGCTTATCCTGTATCCACGATTTTTGCACCCCACAACTTGTCGTCGATATCGAATTGTACTCGAATCATAGCCAGACTACGAGCTGCCTTTGACTCCGAGCACGGAGCTACCATGGAATATCTATTTGACTTCAGGATAATATGGAATTAGTACTACAAGTGAAAGAAAAAGAAGTTGTCCTTTTTTAGAAAAGATCAGTATTTACAAGTTTGTTTTCTATGGTATGTACAGAAGTGGTCTTGGCGATCTCGGAGCGTATTTGCAGGTTTCGTAGTGTAGTGTTTGGTTGGTATGTTCAATATGTTCAGTTGATGTCACTTAGTCAGTGTTTGGTTTGTACTGTGAGTTTGGTTTGGTTACTAGTTTTGGGTAGAGTAGTTTTATGCAGTAGGAGCAGCACAAGGTCGTTGCAATCGAAAGACCATTGCATTTTGCACGAACTCGTGGATCTGTGATTGTTCTACCATGCTAAAGTTGGTAGTTTCTTCATCTAGAATCGCATGGATGGAATAGTGCCATAGTTTCTCCGAGTTGTCATTGTTAGCAGCACTGGTGGTGTTAGTGGTGGTGGGAATGGGAAGTTCATACTCAATACTGGCCTGGTTGTTCATGACTGCCAGAGTGAGTAGGATGAGTTCATCATGAGCTGTACATGTAGTATTAGTAGTGAGAACCTGCTGCAGAGATTGTTGGCACTGCTGGTAGTACTGCAATGCACGACGCAAAAATCCTTCTTTTTTCGTCTTTTTGCCTTGCTGGTGGAAAGCCAGAGCTAGATTGAACAAGACAATGGCGCATTCAAATTGGACATCCTTGCTGGTGGTGTTGACTGGTGTTGTGGAGGTAGAAGCAGAGTAGGCAACCGCACAGGAATAAATGTAAAAGACGTCGTCTTCCAAGTGCGGAATCTGAATACGAGTTGTTGTGGCGGCCGTACTACAATCGGTACCAACAATACTACTAGTACATGTAGAACCAGTAGCACCTGCAACTTCCATGAGAGACTCCCAGGCCTCTTGGAACAGGGGAATGGCTTCCTGCGGTTTCCCACTGGAAAGTTCATATACCCCATCTTCGTTCAGACCAGCGGCTTGTTCCAACAGAAAGGATAACCGCTCACTGCTGTTATCGCTAGAGCTGTACGATCTACTAGAGCAATCCATGGTGATGCAGTATTTGATTATACTGAAGAGGTAGTGTGGGTGTATGTTAGTAGAGAGTCGAGTTGAGGCGATGGGTTGGGTTTGACTTGACTTGACTTGGCTTGGTTTATGAGTTTATGAGATCTTGAGGATTGAGGTGGCCAACAACCAGCTTCTCGATTGTCAGCCTCTAACCAGCACAGCTGAGCTAGTCTGCTCGCCACTCACTCGCTCAGAGATGAACGATTGAACAGCGCAGACTCTAGCAGGGGCAGTAACATTGATTGAACTTGCGGTCATTGAAGAATCACCTGCAACACGTGCAATTAAAGGAGAAGAAAAGTTCAAGGTCGGCAAGGAACAAGCAAGGCATCCTTTCCTTTAACAAAATTATGTCATTGACGATTCGGTGGATGTTCAAGTCTACACAAGTTCCCCTGGATTTAAACAGCTACGACCGACCTTCAACTACGGAATCAAGCTCAAGCTACCGACATCGCCGAGTGAGGGCTATACGACTAAGGCCGCTAATTGCGTGGTCCCAGAAATAATTACAAGTCGTCTTACGCTTCTCACATCATACTTCACGTGAAAGCCTCCGTGTCTCCGTGAGTACAGTAGTTGCCAACTCCGATCCAGTCAACAGAGTACTTCCTCGAGTAAAACATAACTTTAACCTTATATTAACCGGAACTACCCTCTAAAACTGTCTTCTAGCTAGCTAGTATCATAGTGCAAGCAGGGAGCAAGAGGTACGTGTGACTGAAGCAAGATCCTGGTTCTCTGATCAAGGTGTTCCTCGGTGCTGGACGCAGAAAACAGAACTAAAAAGAACCACCCACGAACTTGACTTTTTGCCTTGGCTTCATGCTTTCTCCGCATGCTATTGCTATCGAGACTGCTATACATGTAGCTCTAGACTCCAATTGCAAGTTTGTGAGCCCCACTCCCGGCAAGGAAGCCCTTCCATCCTTCTTTTCTCTCTCAAGTGGTTAGCCAAGAGAACCATAGGCATGTTTTCTGCAGGCAAGCTGTCGACTGGCAGAGGCCGATTATTTCCCTTACAAGCATGATGGCAGAGGCTGTTGCAGGAGAACAAAGAAACCTACAGTAGGAGGCTGGCTCAGCCATGCCCCTGACTTCAAGTTATGCAATCACCCTTCCGAGGACTTTCCTTTCTTGCTCACTCTGGAAGTGGTTTGGCAAGAGGTAAGAGAACGGTGCTTTCTAAAGCTGGCTTTCAGCATTCGCTCGCTCGCTCGCTCGCCCCTCCTCCAGTGATTTCACGAGGGAGGTTCGTACAGCAGGCAGCAGGGACCAAGCTTGTTCCTCTCCCCACATCAAGGCCCTGCCTATTGCGGGCATGCAGTAGAAAGAGCGAGGGGCTCTCAGGTCCTGGCCACGTCGCTGTCAGCACGGCAACTTTTTTCAATGGCATGACTAGTCAGAGAAGAGGCACTGGCCTTCGGTTATATCACAGCGCTCATCTACACGCTGAGCTTCGAATGGCCAAGCCCAGTGGCAGACAATGACGGTATAGTAAAGCAACACAAATCGTATCATTTCTTCGCATTACTAGTTTGCACCACACCTTCTAGCTAGACAGTGAAACACCCACCAATGAGACTGGCAAGAACAATTAGAGAAACCACGGCATTTCCAATAGCTGCTGCACCACTGGCTTCACCGGCCAAGGACTGAACAAGTGAATCCGCAGCTGCATCGCTGGTTTCATCGGGCGAGGACTGATCTTGATCTTCGGGTGTACCGGTATAGTCGCAGAGGCCTCCCGCGCAAACCAAGCTGTTGGCACAGTCAGCATCAACTCCGCAAGCTTCATTGACCTCTGCAATGTACAGTTCCTCGCAGTTGTTGGCAGCACAGCAAGAACCAAAGGACGCCTTTGGATCACTGATAAAGTCGCGAGTAACCATATCCCGATTACGGTCACCTATGGCAACGCGCACAGAAACTTCACGGCCGTCCATCTTGATGCCATTCTCAAAAGAGAAGCAGCCGGCCAAGAGGGTTGGGACCTTGGCTGTCCCTGGCTTGGGATAGATAGAAAGGAAATTGAGGCACATTTCATCCGATGTCTCGGGCCCGCCGACAACATCAAAGTCTATTCCAGTTGTGTCATATTCACAGGTAGTGACAAAGGAATCACCAGGTAGAATCTTCAGTGGAGGGTTCAAACTGTAGGTCTGCTGGTTATCAAATTCGTACCTGTTGATGCGGCCCAGTTCGCCAATCTTTTTACCACAACGATAATGCTCAGTTACCAAGGCCTTTCCATAGAGATGCATGTGTGGTGTGAAGGCATACACGTACACTGGACCATTCAGGTGCTCTGTAATGGCTGTTGGGCAAATGCTTGTAAGAGGATAGTTTGTCTGTTGTGGGGGGATCAAAAAGTCAATGTCAACTTGCACCATGCCTGTTGCAAGGTTCTCTCCAATCAAAGGACGAAGTGTAGGTGTCATGTGCAATCGAATCCCTGATTGATCTTGCTGGGGAGTCCCCATAGCATTGTCGTAGTGAGCTTGAATCTTGACCACAATTTGATCCAATCCAGAAAAGTCCAACTCATTGCCCACATTGGGAGGATTGCAGGATTCGTGAGGCCCAACGGCCCAACCACCAACTTGGATGCACCCACTTTCATTCCCGGAACAGTCATATGGTCCCTGGCCTACTTTGTCCCCATCGATGCTATTGTAACCTTCAGGGCAAATGTAGACAAACATGTGGTGTAAGACATTTGCATTATCCAAGAGGACGCCATGCTTGACCTTGTGCAACAATTCCTTAGCAGGAACATCCACGAGCTTCTGCTCACAAATGTAATGAGTCTGTGTTTCATCCATTTCCGTGGGTACCGAGAAGGAAATATCCATTGTAATCTCATCATCAGGAGCTACATAGTTGTCACACTCATTGATAGTCGCAACTTCTTTTGCTTCATCGGCAATGCCAGGGTGCGACAAAGCAGGACCAGCAGGTTCTTCTCCTTCTGACCATTCACAGTTGGGGTCTCCAAGCTCTTCACCATTGGACCTCCCATCACCATCTGAATCAGCTTCACAAAGAGCTGTGGTCCATTCAAATCCATTGGCAGCAAAGTCTAGACCAAAAGAGTTGCGGTCACCTCCTCCAGCAGTTCTCACATGCCCAACACCAGCCCAAATACCTCCTTGTGGACCTGGATTGGGGACACCATATCCGTTGGGTATCTTTGCAGCATACTGAGGGAATGCAGATGCGCCTGCTGCGCACAAGAGACTGATAGTAATCTTCATGAGCTTCATTTTTCTTTCTGCTTTGTGCTCTTCGTAAATTGTGAGCCTTTGGAAGAAAGGGACCAACGGTGTCTTGTATCCAAAATGACGACCCATCGGGCCGCAGGCTGACGACCGATCGTTCGAATATGCTTTCTCTCCCAGCATTCGGCGAGAGAGGCTTATCAAGTTTTATTGATTTCACCAGAAGCTCCCACTCTGAGGAGTGCTCGTTGCGTACTTTCCAAGATCTTTCTGGATCTTGTGCGAACAGATCCGATGAGCCCTTAGCCCTGACTCTACTGTTTTAATCAAGATACTATTTTAAAATACTATCCCGGGAGAGAACCTGCACTCCTCACCACTCCGGGACGACCCCCAAAGAACAGATCTCACTTCAAAAGAAGTTAAAGCTAGCTAGCTAGCTAGCAGGGTTTGGTACCACAATTTTTCTTTCTGTCTCGATCGCAGCATGCTACTAGGGCTAACGAGCCAAAAAGTGTGGGTGGGTTGAAACTCAAGACTGGCTGGCTGAAACCTGATTGTGAAACATCGCCAGATGTTCCTGGTTGTAGCAATCCCTGACTGCTTTGTACGTTGCCTTGTGGAGTCGGCCATTGAATCTTAGTCTACGAATAGTTTGCAATCTTGCTTGGTGGCTAGCTACCGTACTCAAAGCATTGCTGGTGGGTATTCAAAAAGAGATCAACAATAGTCAATGGACTAGAGAGCCAGCTTCTTTTCAGATCTTTTTCATCTCCTTTTTCCAACGGAGCCAAGCGATCTTGATGGTCAGGTCAATGAGTAGCGCAACACTTCGATCCCTATGCTGTATTCATTCGATTCGACGATTACCATGTTTTTGATTCGATTCATTCCTGTTATGGTCGTCATGACGAAATTCTCTGAAACACTTTGAGCCCCTCATAACTTTGAAACTGCTGTAGCAACAAACTTCATCCACCAAGAGAAGCACTCGATACCATACCTTGGTGCTTGGCCAGGTTCACTATCGCAGGCTCATGCAAATCCTTGATTGCTACTAGTACCGGTATCAATGCACAGCGGTGATGGCGTTTGCATGGGAGTGTGATTGAACGGAATCTTGATCGGTACTCAAGGAAAAAATGAACCAGTCACATTTGATCTGGCGACCCGGACATCACACCCACTGTGGACCTTTTGTTTGCATTGGAGCTCCCTTGACACTTGACACCTCAAGCTTCGCGGGTGCGGCTACGACACTCCACCAAATTGCACCGTTGGTGGTAGGACTTACACAAGGTACTCATCATATCCAGCTAGTAAGACGATCTCGCAAGCTAGCAAGTTCCCCCCAAACGAGCACTCCTCAGTAAATCTTCACCTCTCACAAATGATTCGAACTGGACCCTTGCACAGAAACTGAAAAGCAGCATGCCTCGAGCAAGAGAAGTTTTCCTTTTACCAGGTACCAATATCCAATGCGGCCGCCTTTACGTTGCGACGGTATCCCCTCCAGCAAGCCGTTTTGCCACTCGAACAACCAGTTCTAGGATCCATTATGCCACAGAGGATACCCATATGGATAATCTCAAGGCTATTCCACTCTCCAGTAGCCCAGAACCGACCAGTGAACGAGATTTCTGGCAAATTGGTCCTACAAGCAACTCGCCTCTGTCGAAACCTCTGACACCAAAGCTAAAAGTGGCTAAGCAACTCGCCTCTGTTGAAACCTCTGACACCAAAGCTAAAAGTGGCTTAAGAGACCAAGGAAGATCCCGAATCATAGCTGGGACGAGGCACATGCGATCATGAGTAAAACTTATTTAATTCAGTCACTTTTTGCTAAGATCGTAGGACCTACGTGTACTTTGTGTCGGATTGGCGACGGACGTGACCCTCGTACGAATCGCCCTCCTTCGATCCGATGTTGATAGACAGCGACACAGGTGAATCAATCTATGATATCAAAGAAATTGAGGGTAACATCCCTGATAACTTGCGTGGCACGCTATTCCGAAATGGGGTTGGAAAGATGGGAGTTGGGGACGAAAGAGTGGCAGATGTTGGTAGACGCGGACGGCTTGGTTTCCCAGATTCAATTCACGTTGGACATTAAGGTGGCATCTGGCGCAAAACGAGAAATGTCCTTTCGATCTAGCTAGGTTCGTTCAGACCAAGGGCTTCACGAAGGAACTAAAGGAGCAAAAGTTTGCCAAGCGCGGCACCTTTGGAACAACACCTCGTGGACGTCCTTCCCTCTTCTCCTCCCGAAGAGGGCATCAATGCGGATCCTCCAACCCCTCCTCTGATACCACGCGTGCTTGGAGCTGCCTTTCGGACTGAGACAATGAAAGCGGCAAACACTCATGCGGTTTCATTTGGTGGCAAGCTGATGGCCTTGTGCCAGGCTGGGCTGCCCTACAGCCTCAATCCAGAGACTTTGGAGACTCACAGTGAGGACAGACTCGACTCGGTGACATGCTACCCGAAGGTGAATGCGAAGCGACTTGGACACAACCGGGACAGTTTTGAGGGATTCAAAGATCCAGAGCTTGCCCTACAAGGGATGCAACTATGGTTTTGAACTACTAGCTAGTACGACTACAACTACTGTAAAGAATAAAGCCATGATTTTGTTGGTAAATGGAATCTCTACTATGTGTTATTGTTCTATGTTTATGTTTGGTTGTATTTAAGATTGTAGAATAGCATCAACAATGATTGAGGTTGGTTGTCGGGTGTCACAGGTATTAACTTTGGACTTTCGTCGCGTGGAGGACGTTCGGACAAGCACTCTGCAATAGAGGCTGCCTAGCACAGGAACCACAAACCTGGCTACCTTTGATGTGACCCTTCAATTGAACCAACTGTATTCATCTCCGCAAAATTGTTGTATAGCCCTGCACCCCACCAGATGCTTGCTCATTGTGTATTGTATTGTGTTAGTCCCCCCAATCCGTCGTCGACGTCCCCACTTACTTACCTGTTGTCCTAGACTGGAATGTACCGGTCAGGCTTTCTGACTTGCCGTCCAGAAAATGTTGTCGTCGTCTGAATTGTTGTTTGCTGCTGTGTGTCCGTCACAGGTTGTGTCGTCGTTGTCTTCTTCTTCTTGCCCTTCACCTTTGGCTTTGTCGACTTTTTCTTTGCGGCCGCCGCCCGTCTACGTTTAATTCTAGGTTGTTGAACTGCCACCCGTCGTGGCTTCGTCTTGATTTGTTCTGTGATTCTCTGAGATGCAATCGCCGCCATGCGTCTCTTTGATCGTCGCAAAGTTGATTGTGCTGTGTCCACATTGTCCTCCTCGTCGACTCGGTTGTCAACCAGTGGTTCTTCAGCATCGACTTGTTGTTTTTCCTCGACCAGTGGTTCTTCAGCTACCACTCCGTCGCCAGTCACGAATTCATAATCCGTATCATCTGAGGTTACGCCAGCCTCCAATCGTAGTGTCTTGTGCCGCCGCATCATTTCCTTGACAAGGTCTCCACCATCCTTCATCAAGGCTGCGAGAATGTCGTTGGGTACCACTCCAAGCAGCACACCATTCATCATTCGCATCTCCAATACAAATGGCTGTTGTCCATGCACACTGATCTTGAAGTGTGTCACATGCCACTTTTGAAAGTATGGAATCACTGCTGTGCATGTGGGAACCACCGCTGCTTCGCATAGGATTGTGGCATCGGATGCCATCTTGTCGTCATCGACGGTCGAGACTGTTTCTATTGTCTCGACGTCATTAGTTGTTGTTGGTTGTTGTTCTAATTCTACGGGTGCTGCATCTTCCATGCAGACGTCCTTGACCTTGCGATAGACAAATCGTCGATTGGCAATCTGTTCTCGCGTATTCAAGGTGCAAATTTCGTCGTTGGCATTGCGCTGAATGCCGCCGTGGTGCAAGTGGCACATGGCGAGTTCGAACATGTAAGTGTTCTTTTCGTTGACCATGAACCAGTGCGAGACTAGCTTGTCGTTTCCTTTCTTCGCCTGGATGAAACGAACAAGTCCCTCGAGGTCTTGATGCACGGCATCAATTTGAATGTACAGTTTGGCGCGTTGTAGGTACGCTTTGTCGCTTTGGAACCATAGGCTGTTGGTGATCCATTTGGCCACTTGTTGGTATCCGTACTCTTGAATCAACTGCACGAGATCCAAGACGCGTTCGTGGGGTGTTTGTGTGCCGACGGAAATGAATTGTTGTTGGGCTTCTTGCCAGAATTCGTAGTGGGCCTGTGGCACATGTTTCTTCATGTCTCGATAGACACGACGGTTCTCAGCTTGTTCGCTCTCGTCAGAAGAGTACCCCATTACAGTGTTGACGGGAGCAAAGGATAAACGGTTTCCATTGCTCCGTTCGGTGTCTTGACCGTAATGAGTCTTCCAGTGAGCGTTGGCTGATTGACTGGGTTGGATGCGACAACCTTTGGGCCGGTGCTGGTTGTTGTCGTATCCGTAGTGACCATGCCGATCCGCAGGAACCAGGGAAAGGTCGTAGGCACCTAGGCAGAGACCGTGCTGCTGGAACTCCACATCAGGACTCGTTCCATACGAGTGCAACAGTGCCGCGGTTTGGACGACATCTTTGTCCAACTCATCCAGTTGGAATGTTGGGACTTCCTCTGCTGCAGGAACATCCTTGATGTCGTTGTTGTTTCCCGTCATCTCCTTGGCGACCTGGAGAACGGGGGTCTTCATGTTGTTGCTGTTGGTGTTGTCGGTGGTCATGGACCACGAGAGCAGCTTGATGATAGAAGAAGTGAACTTCATTTTGCAATTGATAGGTATTGAATAGAAGATGGATAGAAAGGGTAAGTGAAAGTAGGGGGGGTTGATCTGGCCTAGGCTTATCAACAATCGAAAATCTTCCTTGTTCGGTTGGGTATGCAACTCTAGCAATCCGGTTGAACAAAAAAGTGAGCTCATCATGGTGGTGTCTATTTTTTCCACCTCCAATTTCGCATGATGGATTCCTCCAGATTGAAATTTTTGAAAAACGACGCGAACGACGGATGATTAGGCGAGACTGAGCCACTGATGAGGCGAGACTGAGCCGCTGATGAGTGCTGATTTCGTGCTGTATACTACCAAACAGCACCAAACAGCACCCAACAAGACACTTGCGATGCTTGGTTGTTGTTGTGTTGTTGTCTGCGTTGTTCGTTGTCGATGGTGTGCTCTTTGATGAAGCGTTTTCACTGACGTTTGTCGATGACGGAACCAGATGGAATTAAGGCGAAGCGATAACCACGACTCAAAGCTTTAAATTTTCCATGACTGGATGACACCACCTTCCAAGAACGCAGGGCGAGGCTATTATAGCTACGTGGAGAGGCTGCTCATACTAAATACTGTACGATCACCCAAAATGTGTCCGCGAACAGGACACCAATAGCTATGTAGTATACCGTTACTGTAGTTATAGTTGTGGCACTGGTCCATTCTGGTGGACAAGAACGCTTTAGAGATTGTCGGGACCGAGTGGACTGATCAGACGAAAAAGTTGCATCAAAGACGTTTGAAATGCCCAATTGTCTGGTAGCTCGACTCGATCCGCATGAATATGGCCTTGACCGATTGCACAGTGCTGCTCCTGGCCAATGTTATGTCGTTGGACATGCTCAGATCTTTGTTGGGCTTTAACGAGCCTACTTCCAGGAAGAAGATGGAGGGTCGGGCCCCCGTTTATACTCATGTGTTCCCCCGCCCAACATCCAAGCAGCAAACTTGAGCCCTTCCAAGTGGAAGTGCCGCCCAACTTTTCAATTCACTTTTCTCGTGCGTCCGAAGACGAGGAGAATCAGGGCATCTAGTCATGCACTTTTCCAGCCGGCCATGGCCACCATCTGATTCGAAAGACTTCTTGGGGGCGTGGGGTGGATTCGCCCCCAGTTTTCGATGCCATCCCACCGATGCATACTCATTTGTATCGCCTGGAAATTGATCCTCACACTCAGAAATGCGCTTGAGTGTGGCATCAGGAGCCGATGCGGTGATAGAACACATTGGTGTGCACGGCCGGCCAAGTACATGTATTTTCGATCTGGAAAATGACTTGAGCGAAGGACCGGTTGCCAAGCTAAGGCTGTGGAGTGCCGTGCCTCATGGGCTCCAAGGAAGGGCCGGGAACGCGGTCAACATTTCCCTGACACAAACAATGCTGATTACAGATTAGCTTGATTGCTCCATCGTTGTTCGTCGTAATCCATCCCTCTTCCCTCCGGAAGGCCATGCACGTGGCAACGTGTGAAGGCATAGCATTTTCTAGTAGCATTTTTGTCGAATCTGGACGAACCTGACGTGAAAACTGCCTGTAGCAGCGTCCGCAAAAGTGAATGTCCTACCCATTTCGACGCGCAAGAGCCGTGTCGTCTTTTTTGGAGCCATTAGGGTACAACAGGTCAGCGCTTGGGACACAAAGGTCATCTAGCGCACGATTGCAAGTATCAAAATAGTTGGGGTCCGGAAACCCAAACGCACCGCCCTTCAGAGAACTCTTGTGCGGAATGGATGCCCATGTGATCACTCCACTCTTGCCGCTTGTCACGGATGTCCCAATTTTGAAGACCAGCCCTTTCGTCCAGGCGTATTTCAAGCGACGGAGTAGTTTGTCCCCTTGTTCGTTTTGGGGTAGGTACGCCTGTCGTTCGGTTGCTGCATAGAGTTGACCCGGATTGTCGTGATACACCTGCTGCACGCCGACTGGTAGCGTGTAGGTGATGGTGTAGGTACCAAAGGAGTTTTGCTCGTGGCTCACACACAACTTCTGCTGCATGTCCGAAGATACCTTCATGGTTCCCGAAGGACATTTGCCTTGCGGCTCCCCCGTGGGCACGAGGCAATTGGGACAGCGAAGAGCATTGGCAGAATCTTTATTGGACACTGCTACAAGACATCCATGATGGAATTTGTGACCACAACCAATCAATCGCACACTGCGTCCCTTGACACGGAGTGACTCGTGACAGAGAAGACATTCCTCGGATGTATCCCCCAAGCAGCGGATTCTGGCAAAATTGTCTTGATTGGACGGAAGCGTCGCCGGAGCGTGGTACGGAATGGTTCCGAGCACCGAATACAATCCCGCACTACTACCAATATTCGTCGATGCATTGGCTGCCGCAGATGCTGTTGCATTGGGAGGTCCTGTTGCCGAGGCATACGGGGCTGCGCGAGGACTCTGGTGTGTTTGTGTCCTCGCCTGCGGCTGACCAGTAATTGTTGTTGTTGGCGGCGGCGCCGTGACCGTACGAATGAGCTGCTGAGGAATCACCGATGTCTGCGCCTTGGCTCGTTTGCGGGCGGATGTACGGCTGAAACGGGAATTGATTGCTCCATTGTTGGCCGCAGCAGGCATTGTCTGTGGAAATTGTGGTTGTGTCGGGGCTGCCGACTGAGTTGTCTGTGGAAATTGTGGTTGTGTCGGGGCAGCTGACTGAGTTGTAGGATGAGGCCGTTTCCGATTTGGCGTTTTATTATTTGCTGGCGGAAACACAGGATTCGATGACTGTGGCACAGCTTGCATAAGAACTTGTGCCTGTATGGAACTAGCTCTTGCAATTCTTCTCCGTGTGTTCCGTGATGTCCGGCGTTGACGAGCCACCTGGACAGCCTGTTCAATATTGGCACGTAGCAACCAAGTGGCCTCCGCAGCTTGCAAAAGTTCTGGATCAATTGGCCCCAATGGGTTCTTGGATGCCCAGTCTACAACATTGGCGAGAGCTTGCTTGGCAGCAGCACTCATCTTGACTGGCTGTGGCGCTCCTGCGGGCGTAGCTGTTGCCACAGGCATTTGGGTGGCCTGTGGAAACTGAAATTGTGCTTGTGGAGGGGCAGCTGGCGGCGCAGCTGGCGTTGGATTCTGAGTAATTGTAGGATGATGCCGTTTCCGATTTGGTGTTGTATTCATGGCAGCTGCACTCATCTTGGTAGGTTGTGGCGCTCCTGCAGGGACAGTTGGTGCCGAAAGACCAACGGGATTCGACGACTGGGCAGTTTGCATGAGTACTTGTGCCTGTATGGCACTAGCTCTTGGAATTCTTCTGCTGCTGCGCCTGTTGCGTGCAAGTTGTCGTTGCCGAGCAATCTGTACCGACAGCTCTATTGTGTTGCATGACATCCCTGTCGCCTGTGCAGCCTTTAGAAGCTCTGGGTCAATGGGCCCCGATGGATTTTTGGAAGCCCATTCTACAATCTTGGCAAGAGCTTGATTGGACGCACTCATCATTGTGGGTTGTGGTGGCGCAAGACCCAGGGGCGTCGAGAATTGTTGTGCTCTAGATGACCGACGTGCTCTTGGCACTGGTAATCGTGCCCGAGTTCGAATAGCCATTTGTTGTGATAGCCACTGCATGGCATGTGTCGATGGTTGTACAAAATCAGTGGGCAATACTGGCACCTTTTGATTGTTGTTGTTGCTGTTGTTGTTTGACTGGAATAGAGTGTGAATCAATTGTTGCATTTTGATGTGTAGTTTGAAGAGTAGCGCATTTCCCGCATGATCCAATGTACAGGAATCTCCAATGAGTTCCTTGTTGAAGCGAATGAGTGGCAGCACTTGTCGGCTGTCTCGGAGTACCATTTCATCCATTCCAGCGGAATGCTGCGGACGATTGATTTGAAACTTGTTGGCAATGACCGTATTGACAGTGGGTGAAAGAGAGGCAATTTGCGATCGATCCGTAATGGTTGCCGCGTTTCCCTTGAGAATGGCAACTAGCAAGCCCGTGTCTCCGTAAGATCGAAAGGCGTATGGATTGTTTCCCACGTAGACTCCTTCTCCAAATGCCGCTCCATGCCGTGCTTGGAAGTTGGTATTGCTGGCAATTTGAGTTCTGGATAAAAGTCCGTCTTGTCGAATGCTGTCGAGTCGTTCTTGGTGGGTGTAGTGATACGCAATTTCCACGCTACTTCCACACGCACTAGTAGTACTGGTAGTAAAGTCAGCCTGACACTGCATCATTTTCTCTGCTAGAAAGACCATGTCATCTTTTCCCACAGCTTGAACTAGAGACTTCCAGTGGACATCAGTACTGCTTTCTTCTTGGAGAACCTCTTGAAAGGCAGCTAGTACCTTTTGCACAAGAAGAAAGGCTCTTCCTGATGTTCCACGGTGCATCGCCTCTTCTTCTTGTTGCTTTCGCTGCTCCAACGCCAAATCTTCTTGGGCTTGCCAACGACGCGCAATTGCCGCGTCTAGTGCCACTTGCTTGGTGTTGTTGGCGTTGTTTGTGGCGTCACCAGTACCGGTAGACACGCGACGTTGACGCTTGGCGGCTCGTGGCGGAATTTCCAGAACAACTTTGTCATTGTCTTCTTCATTTTCTTTTTGTTCGTCGTCATCGCTATCCAAAATTTCCACCACGGCAAAGGCGCTTACGGAAGCATTGACACTTCTACGACCGCCACTACTACTATTACGAGTAGTCGACTTTTCAGCAGACTCATTGCTGCTGCTCCTGGTCAAGTCCAATTGATCCAACTTGTCCGCGGTTGATCCACGGCCCAAGTTGTTCATCTTCAATTCACTCTTCTGGCTACACAACAATCAGACTCAACGATACAGACACTCGCTAGCTATAGTAGTACGGTACTAGTAGATAGCTCCAATACAATACAAACAGAGCGAAGAACAGCCATGCAACAAGCAACAAGCAACAACAAAAAAAGAAGTGGTGCTGCACCTCGAGGTGAAGGTCTCCAATTGGTTCTTTATTTGTGTAAAAACTGGATTTTTGGAGAGTGAATTTCATGTTTCTTAAGTCATATCAGGCAGTCATAAGACGATTACTCTAATCGTCTGACAATTAACTTATAATCGTCTGACAACTGTCTTAAGACAATTTGTCAGACAGTTTCTGTCAGACGATTATTGGCGAAGACCCCGCGTTTTCAGACGATTATTGGCGATGACTCGGAACATCTAGTACTCAGTTGAACGCAGTACCGGATAATGCCAAGAGTAACCAGCGATCGTCAGAAAGATTTAGCGATCGTCTGAAATAAGATTTAGAGATTGTCTGACAATCGTCTGACACCTATCTCACCATTGTCTTATGGAAGGATGGTTTCTCTTCAGACAATTATCAGACTAATCTCCTTGGAAAGTCATTTATGCCTAATCAAATCATCAATTTTACTCCGTTTCAATCAAATGGGCTTTTTACCTCGAGGTGCTGTCGAGGGCGCTGCCGCTGTTGACTGTTTGGCTATATTTGCCCTGGGTGCCGGTGAGGCATCAAGCTTTAAATCTCCAACTATTGCATGACATTCGAATCGATTAATATTCTGATTTGGTGAATGATTCCATCGAATATTTCATTCGATTGGTTGAAGATAGATTTGACCAAAGCATGATGTGCGAGACCGTCTCCGGTGCAAGAATCGCTTGCACTCTAGCTAGCTAGTCCGTGGCAGAGGTTTCATCTTTCTGCTCCAGCAAATGTTTCCACACAAGCACTTGCACATCCGTTTTGATCCCTCACGAAATGCAATGCAATGGACCGGCAAAAAAGGTCCGAGACTTGCTTGAATTGCGCACGAGGCGAGCTAAGGAGGATGCAGCATAGCTAGCTACGGGCAAACCGGTAAGCAAGGACAGAGGTTCCGGGTCGGGGCAACCGCTTCGCGGATTGAATCAGGCTTGGGGCATATGGTGGATCTTTGATGGGGATGTGCTGCCAACCCTTCGGGTGGATATAGTCCCTGTGTTCATCAATCTGGCATGGGGGCGGGAGATCCAGCCTTTGCATTATTTTTGAAACCTTAGCAGCAGCAAGGAAAGGATCGTGCAAGTAGATCCTTTGCCCATCCGGGTGGGCAAACCGTTTGCCCTAACCTATACTACTACTCACGGCATAATAGCTGCCTGACTTGATCATCCCAAGCAAACCTGGAAAGACTTCAAAGGATCAGAAGAGGAATTATGAATACAACGGTGTCGCGCTAATGAACTGCCTCCATGCACCCACGAGAGATGGATCAGAACCAGCCAACAGATTAGTGCTGCAGCGTGCTTTTGGGCAAACCACTTTGGGGCTTGAAAGGATCAACTCTGCGATCAGACAAAGCGATGACACCACAAGTATGTTGCATCCACAGCGACGTTCTTCTGTTCGTGAATGTACCCCACCTTTTACACGTGCCAGTTCCGTCGTCGCTGTCTACAAGGCATCTTATTCTAGACTTTGTAATTAGTGCGACTTGGGGCGGTCAAGGATCCTAACACAATAAACTTACCAGGACTGGCACTTCGATCTAGATGCTTTCTTTGACGTCCAACCTCTATCAATCATCATCGAGAAAGCCAACAGTATCACTGACTGACGATATGGATGATGACGCTGGGGAGCAACAACCAAAGTTGACACGATCAAAATGCCTACCCCAGATCTCAAAAAGCACCACTTGATCTGTTCCTAGGATCCTCTCTTTCTGTCCTCACTTTTTTCTTCCAGCACCGAAAGATCTGTTCGACGAAATCATGAAGTTGATTTTGGCTACCGCCGCTCTCCTTGTCAGCGGCGTTGTGGCATTACCTCAGTATGCCGCCAAGATACCCAACGGATACGGTGTCCCTAATCCAGGTCCACAAGGAGGTATTTGGGCTGGTGTTGGGCATGTGAGAACTGCTGGAGGAGGGGAACGCAACTCCTTTGGTCTAGACTTTGCCGCCAATGGATTTGAATGGACCAAAGAGCTTTGTGAACTGGACTCGGATGGAGACGGAAGGTCCAATGGTGAAGAGTTGGGAGATCCCAACTGTGAATGGTCAGAAGGACAAGAACCTGCTGGTCCTGCTCTGTCTCACCCTGGCATTGTGGATGAACCAAAAGAAGCTGGAGCCTCAAGTCAGTGCGACAACTATGTGGCTCCGGATGATGAGATGACCATGGACATCTCATTCACTGTACCTGTCAACATCACAAAGAAGCGAACACACTATCAGTGCGAACAAATGCTCCTGGATGTCCCAGCCAAGACAGTCCTCCACAAGATTAAACATGGTGTTCTCTTGGATAACCACAACATCTTGCACCACATGTTTGTCTACATTTGCCCTGCTGGTACTGACAGCTCGGATGGAAATAAAGTGGGAGAAGGACCCTACAAGTGCTCTGGAAATGAGAGTGGCTGTCGAAGAATTGGTGGCTGGGCGGTAGGTCCACATGAATCTTGCAACCCTCCCAATGTGGGTCACGAGATGGACTTTTCCGAGTTGGACCAATTTGTAGTCAAAATTGAGGCCCACTATGACAACAACATGGGAACCAGTCAATTGGACCAGTCGGGACTCCGTCTATACATGACACCAACACTTCGTCCCTTGACGGGGTCTCAGCTCTGGGCCGGCATGATGCCCAATGACATTGACTTTCTCATCCCCCCCAATGAAACCAACTATCCCCTCTCCAACATTTGCCCGACTGTCATGACGGAACGAATGGATCGTCCCGTGTATGTGTACGGCTTCAACCCTCACATGCACCTCTATGGACACTCCCTGGTGACAGAGCACTATCGTTGTGGTCAAAAGATTGGAGAAATTGGAAGGATCAGTGACTATGAATTTGACAACCAGCAGACGTACACCTTGGATCCCCCAGTAAAGATTCTTCCTGGTGATGCCCTGGTAACAACCTGTCAGTTCAATACCACAATGGCAGACTCGGACATCAAGGGTGGCAGGTCCACCAACAGAGAAATGTGTTTTAACTTTTTGGATTACTACCCGATTGCTGGAACGGAGAAGATCCCCACACTGATGAGCGCCTGCATTAGTGTGGAGACTGGTTTCCGGAGGAAAGGAGGGATGACACCTATCCGTGGTGCCTTTGGCGACCTGGATCAAAAAAGTCTGGTTTTTGACTTTGAGAGCAAGCCAGAGGCATCCGTGGGATCTTGTTGTGAATCCAACAACTGTGAAGAATTGTATGTTTCGGGAGCGGATGGGGCTTGTGGTGTGGATACCGATTGTATCAACGACCTAGTTTGTGTTGGTGGCATTTGCGAATTTCCTCCACACGGAGCATCAACCCAAGCACTCGAAAGCAGTGCACGCAAGATGAATGTTGGGTTGTTTTTGTGCTGGGCTGGTATTGCTGCTGCTATGTCTTGTGCCACTCTGTTGTACTAGTAGTACCGGCACCATACCTTGTTTCTACCCACGGGCGGCATCATCAGGCTTGGTTGTCTACTGTAAAGCTTCTAAAATTTATTTATGCATATGAATACATGTAATCCTACAACAACAAGGTAGCTATTCCTTTCCTGTTTTATCTATCAGCTTATCACATCCTCCATAAGCTAGCTAGTAGCTAGCTAGCTACTAGCTAGAAAAGGGGGCTTCGTTCTCTACGCTGTATCTACGGCAAGAGTGGCTCTGGCACAGATCTAGACGCAGCAAGCTTGCATTTTCCTCGGCTAGCGAGTAGCTAGCTACATCGTAGCTAGAGCAAAAGAAAAGGCGACCACCTCCTTCTCTACAGAAGCAGGGTACAGTATCTACATGTACCGTTCACTTGCTCCAAGGGTCAAGTACACGTAAACGAAAAATGTGAAGGAAGAATACACAGTCTCGGTATATAGGCGGCGCGAGCGTCCCCGGCCAGCCAGAAGCCATTCGAGCTGGGATATGGGGCCCAGTGAGAGTCCAAAAGCAAAACAATGTAAATAACAAATTCGACTCACCAGGAGCTAAAAAAGTAAACTAACAAATAACGAAAGGCAATGAGGTGAGAGGCGCATATGGAATTTGCGTACAACCAGTGCAAGGATGGATCAAGCTTGTAGCCCTCCTCAACATCTATATGAGCGGGAAGTCAGTAGCTGCCTTGGTTGTAGAGTAGTGCGCGTAAAACAATAAGGTGCTTTCTGGTACTGTAGAAAATTGTATGGGGCATCTAACTGCTGTTTGGAAGGCCTCAAAAAGAGTGGAATAAAGGTGCTGCTAGAACGTCGCAGCTGCAAGGCTTGGTGCCAAACGATTGAGAGTTAAGCAGATGTATACCTACTCCAGCTATTGTAGCTGCTCAAGCTGGGGGGTAACTGTGTATTGCAAATATCCAATTGCAAAACGTTGTTTTGTTGACTGTTGGCAGTCGTTATTTTACTGTTGTACTGGGACTTTAAATAAATTTTTTCTAAAATAAAAATGCAAAAATGAATTCATTTTAATGTAAAAATATGATGTTTTTGACATTTTACCAAACATATTTATATAGCTACATTGCACGACAACATCACGCGACTCTATTACAAAATTTATTGATAATTCTAACACATAAGAACATAGCTCTAACACATCAGATCACAGCTCTGACCCACAAAATATAGTTCTAATCGTGAAAATGTAGCTCTATTGCGCGAAAAATGTAACTCTAATGCAATGATGTATACTTCTATCATCCAAAATATAGCTTGGCAGCTAAATTGCATGGCATAATACAGACAAAGTTCCACGTATGACACGACAATAAATGCATTTCACATGACAACAAAAAGCTAACATACATTGGAATAGTTCTGTGACGCGTCTCACCAGCACAGAAATCTTACACAGTTCTAATATGTTACAACAACAAATCTAAAACACATGATAATGTAGTCCTAACACACAAACGCCAAAATGTAGTAGACTCTTTAACGTACCAAACTGACTCAGAAACTCTGACAGCATGCGAAAATGTAGTTCTATTACACTCCTGACACCAAAGCCAAATTGCACAATGATATAGTACTTCCAAAGCTAAAACGCGCGAAAGTCTAGCTCTCTCACTCGTGTAATATCATAACAAAGATAATGTATTTCACATGATAATAAAGCTACTAAAACACACGAGAATAGTTCTCTCACATGTGTACTAGAAGAGACTCACTAGAATACAACAACAAAGCTAAAATACTCATCAGAATGTATTAGTCAAAATTGACATGCGAGAGCGGCACTCTAATACTACACAAGGAAGCTACTCTAAAAACCAACATGTAGCTCTGTCATGATATAGACACAACTAAAACGCGAGAAAAAGTATTTTTCATGCATCTAATACACAGCATATGAGAAAGTAGCTCTGCAACGCGTGTGTGTGACATTTAGAAAGAGAACTGAAATTTGCATAAAGACAATCTAAAATGCACAAGAATATAATTCTAACATGCAAGAAGAATATAGCTGTAACACACGAAAATGAAGACATAGCTCTAATGCGCGAAAACAAGCAAAAATTCAGCTCTAACACACAAAAGTCTAGCTCTAATATGAAAAATGTAATTCTATCACGCGACATTGAAGTCGGTTTGCATTACATAATACGAGCAATCTAAAATATGCAAGAATATAGCTCTTGCTCTTGCACAAGTGTGATACGACAACAAATGTATTTCACAAGACAATAAAGCAAAAATACGCGACGAGAATATATTTCTCTTACGTGTGTGCCAAAAAGAATTTCGCTGACATAGAAGTTTTGCTTAACAACAAAGTTGAAATATGCGAGTATGATTTCAAAAACATAAGAGTCGAGCTGTAACAAGCAAGAATCAACTCAAACACGCGAAAATCTAACTCAAACGCGCGAGAATCTAGCTTAAACACGCGAGAATCTAGCTCTCATACATAAGAATATAGCTACCTGTATTATGCGATAATGAGCTGCATGACATACGAATACAACTATATTACGCGAAATTTAAGATAACTTTGCAATTCCATATGACATCAAAATTACATTCGTGATAAAGTTACGCTGTGTGGCAATTAGCAACATTACGCGAAATTTTGCACGAAATTTTACACGACATTTTGCACGAAATTTTGCACGAAATTTTTGCACGAAATTTTTGCACGACATTTTGCACGACATTTGCACGACATTTTTGCACGACATTTTTACGCGACTTTTGACGCGACTTGTTGACGCGCTTGTTGACGCGACTTGTTGACGCGCTTGTTTACACGACTTGTTTACATGACATTGTGTACGACGTTTTTGCATGACGTTTAAGAGAATACTCGCAATGATGTATTTCATTAATTTAATTAGACAACTTAGCCAGTGGGTATTGGGGTCCCCTTTGGGGTATACCCACTGGCGACATGAATGATTTAATAGATCATTAAATTGTTTTTTAGTTTCTCAATTAAAAATATTTAAAAATTGAGCAAAATTAAAGGATTTATCCTTTTTTATTTTAGATATATTTTAATATTTGTGAATAATATTAGTTTGTAGAAAAACTTGTGTATATAACAGAAAAATATTTTAATATTACATAAATTAGTTGTATTATTATAATCTATTTATTTTATATATTTATATATTTTGTTACTTTTACTAGTTTAATTAGTTTTATTGCAATAATTACTGAATCATTGTTAAAAAACAGATAACTTGCAGCTGTTTTCTGAAGCCACACTTTAGATTATAGGAATTGCATTTGAGTTTGACATTGTTTTGGATTCGGGCACTGTTAAAATAGACAATGGTTGTAGCAGAGCTAGTAGCAGTGCTGATGATGGCAGCAACGAGGATGGGTCAATCACGAGGCGACCCATGTCCCTTAACTTCATATGTTGACTTTTATTAATATTTCCCTGGCTGGTGGGGTCAAATCTCTCTGCCCCCATGTTATCAGTTTAGGGCACCCGGCAGCAGCACAGTAGACAAGTGGTCCGCCAAATTGATTCTATTCAAAAATTGCATACGGTACGTGTTCCCTGTTTTCTTGTGTTCCCGCGCGTCCTTGATGTGCTCTGATAACCGGTGAGACACGACGAATTGATGTGTTTACCGGTGAAATTCCCAGCCACAGTTTGTCTTTTCTCATTGATCAGAAGAGGGCTTGTACAACAACACCACTCCAAGCTCCAAGATGATCAAGGATGAAGAGGACCAAGAACTAGAGATTCTGATGCCTAAGAAAGAAAGGGATAACATGAGGGGCTCTGACAACAAACTGAGTTTGGCATGGGTTGTTGCGGCTTTGGTGATGGCGCTGCAGGTCTTCCTTCTCGGCAGGAATTCCAAGGGTGGAAGTGTCAGCAGCAGCAGCAGCAATGCAGCGCAGTTCCTCACCGAGTACGATCTCATTCGCGCTCACTCTACTCTGAATCCAAGCTTCCATACCAATAATCCAACGCCTATGGAATTCGAAACCGCAATGAAAGCTACAGGAATCACCAAAGAAGAATATGCGGCCTGCAATTCGTCTATTCACCTGGATCCTGATAGAAAGATCTGTGCCAAGACTGGCAAGGGCAGATGCTACAAACCAGCAACCGGTGATGGCGATGGCCCTGTTGAAATAAAGTGCCCACCCCAACAAGGTTCTCGGTGGTTGCCAGATTGCTACCAGTATAACGCTTCCAATCCTCAGACCCGTGATATAATCTGCTACGTCATTATTCCTTGTGTTGAGAGTGTATCCCAATGGGCAGCACATTCTCTTCAATTATCTGACAGATCAGGTTGGAGTTGGTATTGGAGTGGAGAGAATGCGGGCTGGTTTGGGGGCCCGGATGCACAAAATCCAGTTTTCACAGCCGATAGTACCGCAAGCGGTTTTCGCTTGGCAACTAATCTGACTAGTCCCTACAAACCCGAGGCCGAACTGTGTTTGAAAAAGGCTGCCCTGAAGGCACTCTCTCGAAATGGTTGGGAACTCGCATCTCCAGGCGAAGCCTTTAAGGAGGAAAATTGGACCGTCGTCAAGAAAACTCCAATCAAGTAAAGTACTAATACAGTAAAATCGGCCATTGTCCAGTAAATTTTCCCTACAGTACTGTACGGTAGACCACCGGTAGATCTAGCTAGGGTAGATCTAGCTAGGGTAGATCTCTAGAGGTTTGGCTGCCATGCGCAGCTTTGCAGCAAGCTTGCATTTTCCTCGGCCGATGGGCTGCACCCCTGACCACTGGCTTATTTGGGACATGTCGCATGAATGGAATCGAATGGATCCAAGATCAGGAGGAAACCACATCACAAGACGCCATAAGGAGCATCCAGGCACTTTGCGCCAATTTTTTAAATTCAGTCAACAGTTATAAACCTTTAACCTCTATGCAAATACAGAACTTCTATAAACTGCCGGACGTTCTGCATTTACAGGTGGACGTTCTGATTCCACTCCCTAGAGCGCAAGTCGATTCGATTCCTATAGTAGGACTTCACTTCAACATCCCCTCCAAGGTCGTAACCACTTCAAGCGGTCGGCAGACTTCACGCCATCCTACCAAGCAACTCGATGTCCAAACTCACACAATTCCAAGCGAAGGACGCCCAAAGGACGACGGAAAAACAAATCTGACCATGGAAACCCCATTGAAATCCGTAAAGGTCAACCTTTACGCCTCTTCGTCAGCATCAAATCAACGCAAACACAAGAGCACCCCCGCCTTACTTCAACCCTACATTGATGAACTACAGGACCGCTTTGGCCTACTCAGGCTAAACTTCAAGGACTTCACTGACACTGGAGGTTCTTTCTCAACCAACGACGACGATGTCACAAAGTGGTGGTTTGCCTTTTGGAAAGACCAGCCAGCCTTTTGCTTCAGCCTCAAGCAAGCCAATGGAACTCCCTATGCAGTGGGAACTCTTGCACGTTATATGCCCTCCATCAAGAATCAATTGACGAAAAAGTTCATGCTATCACGCTATCTTAAAGTCATTGAAGAGACTTACACCTCCGCCAAGAAGACGTTGGAAAAAATGGTGAAGGAAGAAAAGAAGTCAACACCCTCCCCTCCGAAAAACAAAGTCTACAGCAGTGCTGACATTGCCTTCATTCTCCAACGCTGCCTCTGGTTCAACCTGGAAAAGTACATCGACTTCTACATCTTCCAGACAGCGACTCTACGTCTTTGCAGTAGAGCAACCGAGACTTCTCGCCTCTCTGTGGAGAAATTCTCTGTCAGAGAGCTCAATGAAGGATCCCTCAACAACATCCTTCAGTGTTATCTCGTACGTGATAAAATGGGAGCTGACAACCACCATCCTTTGATACCCAACAAATACGACGTTTTTGGTGATCTGGTTGTCGCCATTGGCCTAGCCATGTTCATTCGCAATGACAACGCCCTGATGCCATCGATTGCCTCCCTGTCCGGTGACTCCGCTGTTTCAAAGCATTACACGACTATTCGCAACTCCATTTGGAAGCGTTACCCTCCTGCAGAGGGTAGCACCGTCCGAAAAGGCACATCCCACTTTGGCAAGCACACTGCTCAGTCTCTCCTTGATGGTAACAGACTGTATAAGGCAGCTGAACTCTTTGGCGGATGGAACGATGGAAAGATTTCAGGTCCCAAAGCCCGTTCGTCATACTTTTCAAACCCCTTTCCTTACCTTCTTGATGGAGCCAAAGCTTTGGGAGCATGGTCAAAGGTTGTTGGTGGCGACTACCAGCGTGTAACCATCCCATCATACGACACCGTCTCCAAAGACATTGGTGACAAGATCTGCTCAGCTTTCTTCGGCCATATCTCCACCTCCACCCTCAGCCTCCAAGTGAAGCAAATGGTTCTAATGTGCGTCCTGGCCAAATGGGATCAACTGTTGGATCACATCTGTGCAGAACCCAATGGCTTATTCAAAGATCCAAAGAACCACATCCTTGTCTCAACCCTCACTCACCAACTCACCCAACAAGGCATCCAACTAGCTGAATTCAACATTTTCAAGTCTGCATGCAAAGAGCTGTTTTCCACCACCAACTTGATTGACGATGTCATCCCAGTCCCCGCCCCTGTCGCCTCCTCTAAAGCCACAGCTGAATACTCCCAGTCCCCGTTTCAGTCTGAATTGAAGATCCGCTCCCTCAAGACCCTCCTTGATCTCGTGACAAGGAACACAGCCCCTAAGATTGTCCTCATCAATTTTTTCACTTGCAAATTCATGGAATCCCACAAATCCACTGGAATGGTTGACACCAAATTGGCAAGCAAGTATCGAAGGATCAAGGCTGCCATCAGGGTCATGGTCCGGTTCCTTGACAAGTACCCAACATCAGCCCCAACACTAGAAGAAGCTGGTATTGCGATGCATCGCATCAAGACTATGCTATTGAGCCAGGCTTCAGCCGTCAAAACCCAAGGCAAACACCCCTTCAATGCTTCAACTCCACTCTGCATCACCATCATCCGGACTAATGAAGCACTCCTCACTGACAAGTCCAAGCCCTGGTACCGTCCCCTCCCACCTAACACCCCCTACGAGTTCTTTGAACACATGTACCCCCACAAGATCTATCAGGTGTAGGCCATGTCCGCAACAGACCGCGTCCTTCATGTCCAATTAATACTCTAACCCTCTCCTCAATCAACCTTCCCCCCGACAATGACTGCGCCGCAGGAGACCCGTACCATCGTAGAGCCACCACTTCCTTCTCTCTCTGTCAGCCTCTTCATCATTGGCCTTAGCGACAGCACGAGCAACCATCTCGTCCACCCGACAATGACTGCGCCGCAGGAGCACAAGCAACCATCTCGTCCACGCGACGCTCCGACTCGCGGCCAGATCAACCGCACTAGCTAGGTTTAAGACTTATTTTTTAGTCTACATCCTCTCCCCCTCTAGCCATAACCAGCTAGAGCCCACCAATATCTCGCTCACTCACTACCGTGATAACATGAAGACAACTTATCTCATCAAACTCGACCATGACATTGACCTAGAGTTTGATACCGTACCATGGCCTTGAAATGCAAAAGGATGGACAAATACACTTTTCTGGTAACATTCTGTACCCGCTGACCAGTAGCACTCGACCCCTCCCAGTAGTAGCACTTCCCGACACACGCCAGCCCCGTCAGAAGAACACGGACCCAAAGAGACGATAGTCGTCAAAGAATTGACCGTTTCTTTTCTCACATCGCCAACATGGTGAATATCAACCAACGCCGCTCCATCTCGTTCGAGATACCTGGAGATCGATATCCACCACCCCAGCCGAGGCTGGTATGACCCCGGCGCAAAGAAGAGAGACGAGATGAAGAAAGCATAGAACGATGTCTGGGCTGCAAAAAGTTTTGAATATGGACTAATCAGACAACGGATTTTGATGCTATAATTTCGGTGGTTGCGATATCCTTTATCAGAAGAAGTTGGATGAGGTCGACATTGCTTGTGAAATTAGGCTTGTGAAATTGGGTCGACGTGTTAATTTCCCCAAAACCCGCTGCAGTTCCAGTTAGGATCCCATCCATCCCTGGGTGATTCTAGAATATCAATATTTGGTGTTCTAGCCAGGTGAGCGATAAGGGCGGATGGGTTGATAGTCTCTCGTTCTCCTTCGTCGATGTTTCGTAGGTGCACATCTATATCGGCTTCAACCTGTGTCTTCTCGGCCTCACATTTTTTCACATAATTGGGAGAGACAAGAACAGCTTTTTTCAGTGCATCTGCTTCCCAACGCATACGACTTCGTTCATTCCAATTGATTGCAAACTCGTCATCGGCATCGGGGCTTCCTTCTTGGTGGTCTCTGTAGAGACGGCGCCAACGACGAACGTCATTGTCGGGGGCAGCTGGCACAATTGAATTCATAGTATTCCAGGTAATCATCAAGTTTGCACTTCTTTCGTTGGTAGTCAACGCAAAGACCACTATATTTTTCCCTCGAATGGCAGTCTTTATGTTTTTGAGAAGAGCTCTGTCCAGAGGATCGTTGGGACGCTCATTCATGAAATCATCCAGCATAAGGATTGCGGGGGGTTCACCCCAAGGAGTCTTCAGTTCATCCAAGAACTTCTCTAACCAACCATTCGGCGGAAATTTTGGATCGAGATTTAGGCGGCGAAGCATTATTTCCTTGTACTCGCCAGACAACTCCCCCGGGGAGAACGCCACCCCTTTGCCAGTGTACCGGCCCATGACTGCAAAAAGTGCCGTTGTTTTCCCCATACCTCCCCCACCGTGAACAACAAAGACAGTACCATGCCTATTCCTGCATTGTAAAATGATCTGCAATATTGGAGACATGGCGTAGTCCTTCCGCTTCAGATCGGAATTTGCTCCAAGGACTCTACGATTGCTGACGGCATATCTTATTTTCCATGTGCCGACAATGGTTCCGGTCCATCGTCCCAACGCCCTCGCCACAAATTCGGCCACTGTACGAGCTTCTTGTTGAACTTGATGCGAGATACCACTCATGCGGAACGGGGGCGGCCATGGTCCTCTTCTGGCTGCATTTTCAAATTGCAACAATTTGTGTACGGTACATGGTATGTCCATAGTACGTTACGGTACTAGTAAATCATCTGTTGACTGATGGTGTCGCGCGAAACGGGAACCGCGTGCACGTGAGATCGCCCGCGCCCAACGGTGGGTGCTACCGCACTGAGTGCTACAAAATCGATGCATTTGCTACAAAATGGAGGGTACAGACGAAGCCGCCCAGGCGCGGCATCCGATTGAACCAACGAGCCAGCCGAAAGAGGACTTCCCACATTTCCAGTAGCGCCAGTAGCATTTCGATTGCTACTGAGAGGAAGGTTCTATTCCTACTAGCTACTAGTAGTAGCTAGTATGACTTGGATGAGTTCGAGATCGATTTTGGGACGCAGGAGAATGGACGCAAAGCTAGCTAGCGAGAGATGTTCCTAACCTTAGTGAAAGAAGTCTTAAGCCAGCATTACTGTTTATAAAATCCGTTAATGAATCAACGCTAAATTAAGTCAGCGGGAGCTGCGATACCTCGGCAGAAAGACAGATAGAAGAAGGATGACATGTTTGAGATTGCACTCTTCTTTCAAGGTAGCCCTGGCGACAACACCAGACAACACCAGGTATCATTCCCTCATTATAACCTTCTTTTAAGGTAGCCCTGTCGACAATGTTAGTTGCTCTAAGCTCTCTTCTAGTTTACTGTTGCTATTGAGATACTACTGAAAAAGTGGGTGGGTTACCAGTTTTGCTACTGGCATCAAATTCTAGTACAGAGGTACAGGTTGAATCCCTAATCGCGAATCCCCAACACACTCCTGTGGTCGTCGAGCTTGTCCTAGTCGTCGACCATGCTTACTTACTTACTGCGCTTAGCGCTCCTTCTTTGAACGGACCTTCTTGTCCGACCGTGACCCTCCTTCTGAGTGCCCTGGCTCTGAGTGTTCCACAACACCCATCAACTTGTCCACGTTCTGTTTGAACAGTCGACCTTGGTTCGGCTTCGTCCAGAAGTCCGCAACCATATCATCAGTTGGACACCAGTCCACACTGATCTCCTTCTTTGCGACTCTGTCGCTCACAAAGAAGTACCTAATGTTGATGTGCTTCGTTCGTTTACTACTAGAAGCTTTGCCGTTCTTCTCTAGAAGAATGGCACTCTTGTTGTCCTGATAGACTATAGTTTCTTTAACTACATAGCCTTGCTCCCGAAGGAACTGCCTCGTCCAAAGGATCGATGGCATCAGGTCATCAACTGCTACGAGTTCACTCTCAGTTGAGCTTCTCGTGTTCAACTTCTGTTTCGTCGAAGTCGATAATGGGTAACCGGTGCCCATGGTCAAACCACCTCCGGTATGACCCCTCATGTTTGGATGGACTCCGAAAGAACCATCAACATACCATTTCAATATGCCACTTCCGTCGGCTTTGAGAACTAATGGTAGTTTTCTAGTACGTCTAATGTACTGCATGAGGTGGACTAGTTTATCCCAATCGTGCCTATCTGGTTCCTTGACTCTAGTCGTAAGGAACGATATCGCCGTACCTGTGTCTGGTCGGGCTCTCTTCGTAGCGAATAACACCTTAGCCACCAGGCTGTGAAAGGTGTCTGCCTTGCTCGTTGGGAGCTTCTTGCAGGATTCGTCTACTATGAATAGGTCTTTCGGGGCTGCACTACTTCTAGTTTTCGTGCCCCCTTCCTCTGGCGATGCCTTCTCGAAGGCTTCCAGGATTTCATCAACGTACTTGTACATTGATACGTTGCATTGACCCTTCGTCGTGAAGTCTATGGTCATGCCAAGATACGTGTGGACCTTTCCTCGGCTCACCGTCATCTCTCCAGTGCCGTCCTCGAATACCGACTCATTGAAAGAGTCTGGTATTGTAATTGGGGAGCGAAATAGATGGACGAAAAGATGAAAAAACACAAAAACAAATGCTACAGCCCCATGCCCCTTGTTGTGCTGCATGGGGCTGTATCATTTGTTTGTTGATTTTATCACTTTGCCGTGGAGAAAAAGCACTCCCCAAGTGGTGATGCAGTGTTTTCGAGCGATTTTCAATTTCGAAACATGCATCATTTTCAATCGTGTATACCCAGTCTTTCCACTTTCCCTCTAAGTCATTCAGTCATTTCGTTAAATAATTCCATTAAGCTCCTCAAAACGATCACTTGTGGGTATATGGACCGTGTTTGGTGTTAATGCTCTACTTTCAAATGGCAACTATAGGTTTAACACTCATCTCAAACAGATAACAGAAAGAAATAATGGCTAGGTCAACTTTGAATTTCTCATTACCCATACCTTTCAATGAGTCGGTATGCTTTCGTATTCATCACGAAGCACTTGGATCAGCTGGTCGTTAACCTTCGAGTCCTTGTGGCTAAGCTTACAGTCGTCTACATGCCAGCAGACTGTTTGTTGCTTGCCGTGCACCATTCTGTTGGCTACACAGGGGTCGTAAGGATTAGTACCTTCCTTCCTACCTACATTCGGCTCCGATTCATCTCCATCGCTAACTTTCTTCCTATCTGCATTCGGCTCCGATTCCTCTCCAACGCTATCTTCCTCCCTATCTGCATTGGCATCACTATCATCCGAGTCTCCGTCGCTACCTTTGTCATTCGCTGCATCACCACCTTGCTGATTCTCTGCATTTGCATCATTATTATCCGGGTCCTCGTCCTCGTCCTCGCCACCATCATCATCGACACCGGATCGTAATCTCCATAGTACTCCCACAATCGAAGACCATCCAGCTCAGCCATTGCCCACTGAATGACCATAAATTCAAGCAACCGGGTAGCTGTCTGCAATTCGAAGGTTGACCAGCAAGAAAACGTCGATTCGAGGTCCAAAACGGGTGCTTAGACCAGGTCGAAGAGCGTTTCTTGGGCCTACTAAGCGTGCCCGACAATGTGGTATCTCACTTTCGGGGACTTTCAAAAAAACGGCCTTTCTCCACCATTTTCATGGGCTATAAGCAAGGCAAAATGGTCAGATTTTGCCCAAAACAACCGGCCCCTCAACATTGGGAACATGAAGAGGAAGTCGATACAATCATCAGGGTTCGACAGCCGTGACCAAAAACTACAATTCACGGAGTCCATATATAGGAAAACCAGCCTATGCCGTTGGATACCTCCCGCCGCAGAACCGAGCCGAAACACCACGTTCCAGTGGCACCAGAGGTGTAGCCAGTGTGACAGGTCTGATAACACCTTCCATCTCACCGGATGCTGCATAAGGTTGATGCAGCCAGCTGGTGTGAACTTATCGGTCCCGATTCAACCTCGTGGCATTCCGCGGTCGAACCAGCAAGAAAACCGATTCGAGGTCCAAAACAGGTGCTTAGACCAGGTCGAAGAGCGTTTTTGGCCTACTAAGCTGCCCGACAATGTGGTATCACTTTCGGGGATTTTCAAAAAACGGCCTTTCTCCACCATTTTCATGGGCTATAGCAAGGCAAAATGGTCAGATTTTGCCAAAAACGAACCGGCCCCTCAAACATTGGGAACATGAAGAGGAAGTCGATACAATCATCAGGGTTCGACAGCCGTGACCAAAAACTCAATTCACGAGTCTATATATAGGAAAAACCAGCCTATGCGCGTTGGATCCCTCTCTGCCGCAGAACCGAGCCGAAACACCACGTTCCAGTGGCACCCAGCAGGGTCCGGAAACGGTACTAAATGATTTAAGATACGCTGAGTTTTGCAGTCGTGCTTACGTTTGAAACGAAGATTGAATTTCGAACCAGTTCCAAATTTCACACGACTCAGATAGGACTAGTGAGTCGTGTTTGCTTGCGTGAAACTAGTAGAGCTAGTTTCACGCAAGACTATGGCTAGTTTCACGCAGACCTGCTTGAAACTAGCTCTAGTTTCACGCAAGAATGCTTGCGTGAAACTAAGTCGATTCTTGCGTGAAACTATGGCTAGTAGGCTAGTTTCACGCAAGCCTGCGTGAAACTAGCTGTCTGCGTGAAACTAGCTGGCTAGTTTCACGCAGCTGCGTGAAACTAGCTGGTTGCGTGAAACTAGCTCTGCTAGTTTCACGCAAGCTGCAAGCACGGCGACGTGGCTCCTGCAACTACAACAGGCAAGTGCAACCGGACATGGATGCAACTACTAGACCATAGGTCCCTTTATAGTGGTAGGCACCAGCAAGAAGCATGTGCTTGGGTAGCGTCAACGTTATTCTCACGCCGGAAGAAGTCCTCTTCAGGGGGCTTGTGTTGGTTGGCTTCGAACCGAAACGGCAGAAGTCTGTTCAGCATAAGAAGAACTTGTCAAGGTTTCGGATGCACTTTTCGAGCGACCCGTCCGTCTATTCCGTCCTTCTCATCAAGCTGCAGGAGACCAAGAACGAGAAGGCCAATCTCAGCTTCGACAGTGAAGTTGACCCCAGAATCCACAAGATCGGTGTTGATGGCATGCTGAAATACTTCTTTATGTCAATCTACTTCCTCGCGTGCTACCCAACCGAAGAGCAAGCTGAAGGGCTATTTGGCTGTAGCGATCGAACGTGGCGAAACTGGGTCTGGGAGATTGTCGAGAAGATTGCGTTGCTGAAGCCTGAAATCATTGTCTGGCCGAAGAAATGGAACAACCCAGACAACCCAGAAGACCCTGAATCTGCGACAATTTTCATTATCACCGTTGATGGCACCCACTGCCGCATTGAGGAGCCAACCCATGAAGCATTCTCTGAAAACACCAAGTACTACTCTCACAAGTTCAAGTCTGCAGCTTACGATTATGAAGTTGCCTTGTCCATCTTTGAAGACAGGTGCGTTTGGGTGGCAGGCCCTTACCCTGCTGGGACGCCTGATATCACAATCTTCCGCCACAAGCTGAAGGCTAAGATTCTTGAGTCTCGAGAGGCAAGTGGCGTCATGCATCGGGCCATTGGTGACAAAGGATACCGGGGAGAGAGGGGGGTGCTTTCTATTGTTAGCTCCGCGGATACGGATGCAGTGAGAAAGTTTAAAGCTCGTGTTTTGTCCCGGTAAGTCATTCAGTTTCAGCCATTCCTTTTGCAGCTATTTGCTCTTATTATGATTTTTGTGCTTTGCGTTATCAGGCAGGAAGTCTTCAACAGCCGATTGAAGTGCTTTGATGTCTTGGAGGACTGTTTCCGGCACACGGGGCTCCCTGGTCACAAGGGGCCGGCTCGTAACCGTGAGGTCACCGGGTCGGAGGTGAAGCACCAGTTTTGCTTTGACTCCTGCGCCGTCATTTGCCAAGTAAGTCAAAGCATTGTTCGTCTCTTCTATCCTCCGACATAGCACGCCACTTACATTTGTCGTCTCAGCTACAGTTGGAGTGCGGGTTCCCGCTTTTTAGAGCATAGGATAATTATTAGTTTCTTATTTGAAGCTAGCTAGACCGATAACATAGCAGCGTAGGCAACAATCAACCACACAAGATTCGATACGTGTAGCCGTTGTAGCCATCCTGTGCTTCCACATTAGAGTAGTGGCCTCGCACAAACGGGCTCCCGTGGGAGCATCAAGCAGAGATTGCCAATCGAGAAAACAAAATGGCTGGTTGGTTTCCATGACAACAACACCTTGCAGCAAACGCGTATTTGCCTTATTCATCAGCATCAGAATCGTCTCCTTTCTTTTGATTCTTTGCCTTACTCTTCAATGTGCGTTTACGAATCTTGTTCCTCTGTGCCTCCGTGATACTTTCGTGGCCAAAAACCGCTTGCTTCAACCCTTCGTACGTTGCATGATACTCTCGTTTCAACCCTCTCTTTTTCAATTCTTTCGACAAGATGTCGTTCGTTGCATCCGACCCAGTCCAAAAGTGAATTGTTGGAGCCTTCAGGAAGTCTCCACCTCCTTTTCCATTGGCAATTGGGGCCTGCTCGTGTAAAAAAAAACAAGTCCAGGGACAAGCTTGTAGCCACCTCTTTCGTTCATCGGCACACTCCTTCCGGTGTCCGAACCATCAGGTCCTTATACACTGATGCCAACCAACATGCTAGCGGAGACGTTAGTCTGGCTAAGGTTAAAGAGAGAGCCTCACACCCATCCAGAGCTTTTTCGCAGCCGAAACACGGTATCCATGTGTGTGGAGGACCGTTGTTCTGCAGGTATGTTGTCAGCTCGCTTCCAAATGGCCTGCCCGCACGAATTCCATTGCGGCTGCATCCACCATCAGCTTCTTTTAGTTTTCCCTCCACCGATAGCTCCACGCTTTCTTGGGTTGGTAAGACTGGCTTCGACCGACTATGATCTCGTACACAGAATCTTCACTTCCCAAGATCATTGTCCTCTTTCCTTCCCTGCGGTTCTCTCTTCTAAGTGTCAGTCGTCCTGGTCCGTCGGTCGTCGTCTGTCACCCACCATGTCGCTCGTCATCGGTACGAATCAGGGACTGCCTGTTCTTGGGGCAAGGGCCCCCTGGCAGCCATGGACGTTCAACGCCGCCATTTCATTCTGCACATCGTTAGCCAGCAGCTGCTTCTTTGTTCACCACTTCTTCGAGGGAGCCCGCTTGCGACCGGAAGGAACGGTAGCCACCTGTGTTTCTGCTTGCTGGTCGTCAGAGTCATCACCTCCTTCCACGTTACTCTTTTGTCGTAGAAGAGCGGTAAAATGGAAACACACTTGCTCGTCGTCCTCAGAGTCGGCCTCAGAGTCGTCCTCAGAGTCGTCCTCAGAGTCGTCCTCAGAGTCGTCCTCAGAGTCGTCCTCAGAGTCGTCCTCAGAGTCGTCCTCAGAGTCGTCCTCAGAGTCGTCCTCAGAGCCACCCTCATTACATCGCATCTCAACCTTGTCTTCAAGAAGACCTTTGAATGAATCAGTGCGATGCAAAACCACGGGATGTTCATTTGATACAGCAAAGAAAACAAGTCAATGTGACATAGAAGACCAACACAGGATGGGGATGGTTCATCTCAGCTTCTTCATGGCTACCGTTCCTTCCGGTCGCAAGCGGGCTCCCTCCAAGAAGGGAACAAAGAAAGAGCTGACTGCTCAACGACATCTGCAAAAGAAGATAAAAACACCTTGCAGGTCGGGTCTGAAACGATCGAACATGGCTTTGCCAGGATGCCTGGGTCCATCCTTGGAAGAACAAGCAGTCTCTAACTGATTATCGTACGCCGATGACAGCGATCAATGATGCATGCACAGACTGACACGGACGACGACGACGACAACTATGAAGAAGAAAGCAAAGGAGAGGAAAAGAAGGACAATAATGATCATTTTTTGGAATGAAGATTCTGACGAATCAATCGTCGAAGCCAAGTCTTACCAGACCAAGAAGAAGCGTGGAGCTACTGGTGGAGGAAACAAAAAGAAAGCTGATGGTGGACGCAGCCGCAATGAATCTCGTGCGGGCAGGGGCAATAGGAAGCGAGCTGCAAACACTCCTGCAACATCACGGTCTCAGCAAATGGATAACCGTGTCCGTGAAAAGCTTGATGGGTGTGAAGGTCCTCTCTTTACCGCTCAGATATGTCTCGGCCTGAGCATTTGTTGGCATCATACAAGGAACCTGATGGTTCGGACACGGAGAGTGTTGCCAACGAAAAGAGGTGGCCTAAGGTTGTCCCTGGATTGTTTTTTTACACTGAGCAGGCCCCCAATGCCAATGGAAAAGGAGGTGGAGACTTCCTGACTGATAGGCTCCAACAATTCACTTTTGGACTGTGGTCGGACACGAACAAGACATTCTTTGTCGAAAGAATTGAAAAAGAGAGGGTTGAAACGAAAGTATCATAATGCACAACAGTACGAAGGGTTCTTGAAGCAAGCGGTTTTTGGCCACGAAAGTATCACGGAGGCACAGAGGAACAAGATTCGAAACCACATTGAAGAGTAAGGCAAAGAATCAAAAGAAAGGAGACGATTCTGATGCTGATGAATAAGGCAAATACGCGTCTGCTGCAAGGTGTTGTTTCATGGGAACCAACCATCCATTTTGTTTTCTCGATTGGCAATCTCTGCTTGATGCTCCCACGGGAGCCCGTTTGTGCGAGGCCACTACTCTAATGTGGAAGCACAGGATGGCTACAACGTCACACGTATGCGCAATTGTGGTGATATGTTCCTACGCTGCTATGTTATCGGTCTAGCTAGCTTCAAATAAGAAACTAATAATTATCTATGCTCTAAAAAGCGGGAACCCGCACTCCAACTGTAGCTGAGACGACAAATGTAAGTGGCGTGCTATGTCGGAGATAGAAGAGACGAACAATGCTTTGACTTACTTGGCAAATGACGGCGCAGGAGTCAAAGCAAAACTGGTGCTTCACCTCCGACCCGGTGACCTCACGGTTACGAGCCGGCCCCTTGTGACCAGGGAGACCCGTGTGCCGGAAACAGTCCTCCAAGACATCAAAGCACTTCAATCGGCTGTTGAAGACTTCCTGCCTGATAACGCAAAGCACAAAAATCATAATAAGAGCAAATAGCTGCAAAAGGAATGGCTGAAACTGAATGACTTACCGGGACAAAACACGAGCTTTAAACTTTCTCACTGCATCGTATCCGCGGAGCTAACAATAGAAAGCACCCCCCTCTCTCCCCGGTATCCTTTGTCACCAATGGCCCGATGCATGACGCCACTTGCCTCTCGAGACTCAAGAATCTTAGCCTTCAGCTTGTGGCGGAAGATTGTGATATCAGGCGTCCCAGCAGGGTAAGGGCCTGCCACCCAAACGCACCTGTCTTCAAAGATGGACAAGGCAACTTCATAATCGTAAGCTGCAGACTTGAACTTGTGAGAGTAGTACTTGGTGTTTTCAGAGAATGCTTCATGGGTTGGCTCCTCAATGCGGCAGTGGGTGCATCAACGGTGATAATGAAAATTGTCGCAGATTCAGGGTCTTCTGGGTTGTCTGGGTTGTTCCATTTCTTCGGCCAGACAATGATTTCAGGCTTCAGCAACGCAATCTTCTCGACAATCTCCCAGACCCAGTTTCGCCACGTTCGATCGCTACAGCCAAATAGCCCTTCAGCTTGCTCTTCGGTTGGGTAGCACGCGAGGAAGTAGATTGACATAAAGAAGTATTTCAGCATGCCATCAACACCGATCCTGTGGATTCTGGGGTCAACTTCACTGTCGAAGCTGAGATTGGCCTTCTCGTTCTTGGTCTCCTGCAGCTTGATGAGAAGGACGGAATAGACGGACGGGTCGCTCGAAAAGTGCGTCCGAAACCTTGACAAGTTCTTCTTATGCTGAACAGACTTCTGCCGTTTCGGTTCGAAGCCAACCAACACAAGCCCCCTGAAGAGGACTTCTTCCGGCGTGAGAATAACGTTGACGCTACCCAAGCACATGCTTCTTGCTGGTGCCTACCACTATAAAGGGACCTATGGTCTAGTAGTTGCATCCATGTCCGGTTGCACTTGCCTGTTGTAGTTGCAGGAGCCACGTCGCCGTGGCTTGCAGCTTGCGTGAAACTAGCAGAGCTAGTTTCACGCAACCAGCTAGTTTCACGAGCTGCGTGAAACTAAACTTAGCCAAGCTAGTTTACGCAGGTGCGAAACTAGCCATAGTTTCACGCAAGAATCGACTTAGTTTCACGCAAGCTTCTTGCGTGAAACTAGAGCTATTGTTTCACGCAGACTCTGCGTAAACTAGCCATAGTACTGCGTGAAATAGTACTAGTTTCACGCAAGCAAACACGACTCACTAGTCCTATCTGAGTCGTGTGAAATTTGGAACTGGTTCGAAATTCAATCTTCGTTTCAAACGTAAGCACGACTGCAAAACTCAGCGTATCTTAAATCATTTAGTACCGTTTCCGGACCCTGAGGACCGTCCGACGTTTTGCTCAGGTTTAAAAAACTGCTCAAATCGTGGTTCCCTGTTAAGGGAATGTTGAAGCTTTAAGGGAATGTTAAGGGAATGTTGAGGATTTAAAGGAATGTTTTAAGGGAATGTTTATTTAAGGGAATGTTCATTTTTTTTAAGGGAATGTTCTATGGGGTTTACATGAAGGCTTAGAGGAATGTTTCGAAGCGTTAAGGGAATGTTGTTAAGGGAATGTTGATTTAAGGGAATGTTAAGGGAATGTTAAGGATTTAAGGGAATGTTTTAAGGGAATGTTTAAGGGAATGTTTCAACTGCAAAATTTTGAGTTTTTTTAAAACCTGAGCGAAAACCGTCGGACGGTCCAGGCCGCGAAAGACGACAATGCCAACTGGGCCCACCAATAGAAACCGTTGCTTAGCGAAGAGAAACCACTGTGAGAGCTGGTACCAGTCGATGGACTACATCAGTAACCTAGTCAAATTTCTCTATCCATCAAAGCAGCTACAAGTACACTAGCTAGCTAGCTAGTGAATTTTGAAGAAACAGTATTCCCTTAGCCCTTAGAAGCTATGTACAGTATGGTCTGGAGGTCTGTCCTTGAGGAGGCAGGAGAAGGGGCCCTGGCTTCTAAACGTGGCCTGATATGATGAATAAAACTGCTTCATTGTTGAGTGCTGGATTTGTTCTCGAGCTACTTGATGAATCACGTGCATCACAGGAAGGTAGCCGCAAAATCTTCGCTGCCAGTAGATCTGCTTCTGCGCTGTTCCTTGTTTGCCAAATATCGGGCGAGGTGGTGTTCAGCACGGCGCCAATGAGCTTCCCCAACCAGTTCCTTGATTCTCAACCGCATGCTGGCAGTGACCGATTCAAATCCCTTTTCTTTTCGCACGTTCCTTGCTTTGCAATCTCTGATGATCACTTTGACTTCCAAAGCCATTTCTGGGTCCTTGCTCTTGAGATAGGTCAACAGAACACGGGTGAATAATCGAAATCGTTCCTTTTGCTGCTGAACCTTCCTATCCGATAACGAAACGGATGTTGGACCTCTTTTGCTGAAGGAAGGAGCTCTTTTGCTGAAGGATGATGCGGTTGCTGTTGCCGCCATGGTGGTGCTGATGTTCGGTTGGAGGTGAAGCGATGAAGGAGTTTCCTGACTAGCTTGGTGGTAGTAGCTTGGCAGATGATCGATTTTGTGAACAGATCGATGGATGGTTCTGTTTGGTGGGTTGCTTGTTTCTGAGCAACAACATGGGGGATGGGGCAGGCGGTACAAAATGCTTTTGAGTGTCTCTTCTCTCCTATGTACTCAAATCCCATAGTGGAAGCATTTTGATACCTTTCATTGTGCCAGGTTGTGACAAGAGCCCCTGCGTCCTTTAAATAATTTGAGACGCTGCAGACTCGTGATTAAGGTGGTACATGTACGATGCATCCCGAATCCCGAAAGCATTTCTGGTGCGTTTTGTTATGCCCTCGTCAGCCTGACAAATGTTCGATCCCGAATTGGAGTAGAGTAGATTTAGATGCGCTTCACCATGACTGGATCATTCACAGCTACTCAATGTAAGGCCGTAACAATTGGTCTCACGACACCTACGGTACTGGATGCACATGAACCTGGCGGAGAAGCGGTACAAAACTTCCTTTGCCACCAGTACCTACTAAGCCTACTATTAGTACCGTACCTACCGTAGCTAGCTAGCTACTGAGTAGTAGGTAACTAGTAGGTTCTGTATTTTAATGATCTCAAACCTCTCGCATTGGTGTAAACGTGACTCATCTTTTCTCTGCCCCCTTGCATTAAATAATTTTACTCGCTGGTAGCATTATTTGGGTCACGATCGCGATCGGTGGGCTTACGTTACCACTGGTACCGCCTACTCAGTACTACCAGTAGTATCTTCGCGCGGAACCTGGGGGTGTTGTGGTGTTGTGGTACTGAGACCGGTATGCATTAAACTTTGATGATCCTAATGTGATTCAAAATCTCTTCCCGAATTGACTTATTTTAGGGGCAGATGTTTCAACTCTACTACTAGTATACGAGACTCGAGTGTTGACTTGCTCTTTATCCGCGGAACCTGAGCCGATTTTGAAGTACCGGTGGGGCTTGGGGCTGTGCAGTACGGTAGCTGGCTGCGAAGCCGATGGCTGATGCCGAAGCAAAGCTGGGCAAGATGAGAAATCGTTTGCGGTTTGAGCGACGATACCTCAGAAGCCGCCTGTTTGCAGAGGTCCTGCCACACGCACTGCCATGGGGGGCAAGTTCCAACTCTACGATCCGACAGAATAACCTTGGCATTGTGAGGGAATCTCGTAGTCTCTCATCATGGAAATCCGTACCAGTTCGATTCCCCGCAGATGCCACTTTGCCTACACTCCACGGATTGATTTTGGATGATGTCATGGTCACTTACTTACTTTCACCCTCATCTTATGTCTCTATGGCTGTCCTCTCATCCCCAACTGATTGCATCAATGCAGCGCGATCTTGCCTTCCTCGAAACGACGAAAGCAAATAGATAGTAGCATTTTCAACAGCTAAGGCGCAGAGCACTTTGAACACATAGCCTATCAAGGTGACACAGGCCAGAAACATCAAAAGCTTCTTGGCAAGTTCGTATACAGCGGATTGTCCTGCGTTGCAAAAGCGTAACTATGGCATGCATGTACCTGCTAAGAGAAACTGGACAATCCAGAAACAAGTTGACACCCGTCCTAGCTAGCTAACTAGTTTAGAAGGAATGTTAGACATGCCGGTAAGGGAAGAGTCCAGAATTTTTAAATAGACTTGGGCAATGGAAGGGTAACGGAGAATTCGAAAAAGTGTTGGAAGCCAATTGAACCCCTGCTCGTCGCTGCAAATTGGTGGCCAGCGAACATCTTGATCGATGAGACTTTGGTTCCTTGAGTATTAGGTGGTTGCGACCAGCACCACGACTGCCACACTCAGGCTCAGAAGAACTGGAGCTACAAGATACTGACAAGCAATCAACTTGGCCATGTCTTGTTTAACTTGTGCACCAGCCGAAAGCTCCACCAGTATCATCAGATTGTTTGCGGTTGGTGTGATAAAGACGAGCATCAGGACCAACTGCAGGGATCCCGCGATTTCGGGAGGAACGACCATGAATTGTTTCAAGCCTATGACAGAAGCTACGCCCACTGCAGGCATGAACACTAATTTCCCCATGATGACCGCCAAGATGGTCCAAATGGTCATCCCAGGTGCCTCGTCGGCAGGTTTCTTGTCGTCGTTATGAGTCTTGATTTCCGCAGGCAGCGATGTCGTGCCTTCTGCGCAAGAAGCTCTTTTGGAAGCTTGGGGCCCAATTCGTCGCATGAAGTACAAACATCGGAACGGATTTGTATCCCCAAGTGCGATGGATAAGTTGATCCCTAGAATGACCTGAGAGGTGCAGGAAAAGGCAATATGTAAGCGGCGGGCTGTAATTATGATGAGCTTGACACACAATTTGCACCCACCATGTTCATTGGGATTGCAGCCTGGCCCACGGTATGTAATCCATTGTAGAGCCACTCCAATGGGACAGGAGTAGAGTCGGATGTATTCAAGTTCACAAACAGTCCTCTCAACGCGGGTATTGCAGAAATGAAGAGGCCAATCAGGGCGCCAATGACGGGAGGTTGCAAAAAGTTGGAGACCACCTGAAGGAACTTTCGAGCGAGTTCTTCGGCATGTATCCGTGTTCTCATTGGAATGATGCAGGGTTCCAAGGATCTTTCCGCAAGATTGGCCTCATCCTCAATCTTTGGGGACGAAGGAACCTCGACGTCAACTCCGAGATTGTTTGATCGCCCTTGTTCTTCTACGTCAATTGATCTGCTACGCTTTCTGGCGGCATCTGCGTCTTGCTCTTGGTCTTCTTTGGGGAAAATGAAACCACCAATTCCCCATTGAATGATGGGTTGCATGATCATGTAGCAGGAGATCAGAACCGTTGGATCGGTCTGTACAACCGGAGAGTCGGGTGGCGAGCTGGCCTGTATAGCAAGCAGCAAGGTAAGAGGTAGACCGGTAGAATTTCCAAAAGCAGTGGCAGCGATGACAGCTCGACGCCTCTTCTGCGCCTTAGGCGTTCTTGTCAAAGTCGCCAGTAGGCATCCAATGGTAGCCCCCCAAGAGATTACGTAGAGGGGCCAAACCAAGAAAACCCAAAGCCCTTGATCGAAATTATCTGTAACTGTAAAGCATTGGTCGGGGTTTATTGGATCCTCGACGCATGATATGAGGTTTGTCAACAAGAGCGCAGGGATTGCCACCTGCTGAGAGAGGAATGCCATGGTTTTCTTGGAGAGACTGCCTAATACAAAGCCACGACGATGCAAGTAGAATCCAGCACTCGCCAGGGTGGCGGTTGTCCCGATGGACTGCACTGACACAATCATTGTAGCACCGAAATTGCTCATCTTGCCTGTCAAAAGTAGTATCGTGTTGGCTAAGTCAATGTTTTCCTTGTTCGTTGTTTTATGGCTGTCCGGGGCCACCACTCCTTCGCATCTCTGTCTCGCTGCTGGCTAATGCTAGCTGCAACAGGTACATAGCCGAGTTTTACTTTTGCATACAGTCGTACCGGCTCCTCGAAATGGGACCAGTGGGGGTGTGGGAGTCGAGTCGAGCTGGCTCGTGGCTGGTTTCTCTTGCTCGAGTGCTGCCGTTCTCCGCTGGTATGGTGCGGTTCTTGACCGCGACCACTAAGATCAGGAATCAAATAGTTGGCATGTAGGTACCGACGGCGCTGTTACATGTACATGTACATGTAGGATGGATCCATGAGAGACCACCTCCTTTCAAGCACCAAAGTCTATTCCAACCCAGTCGTTGCCAGGTGAATGTAGGAATATCTTTGTATAGATGGATCGATCGTGCCGAACAGGCCGATCAACTTTTCCTAATGATGTTGGTTTACGGGCCAGGGGAGAATGTTGGAATGAAGGTTGTACAGTAGTCTTCTGCTTATCCCAGAGGATCTTTTGTGCTGTATGCAAGACTGCCTACGGTGTGCCTTGCCTCCCAAGAGAACATTCAATTTCAGAATCAGCGCAGAGCTCACAATTCCAAAAGCAAGAACAAAAGCTATAAACGAACAACGAACAAGATTGATCTGTCTTTGAACCATGCTGTCCTTCGACGCAACCCTTGATATCAACCAGGCTATGGTGACCTGCGAATCTATCGCTGCCCTTTCGGCGGACGACTTTGTCCTGGACGAAGCAATGGAGAAATTTCAAGAGTACGGATTTATCATCATTCGGTGTGCGCCGGGCAAAGATGTCACGAACGCAGAGATCAAACAGAATGTGTTGGATCTAAAACCACTCTTCGGTAATCCAGCTTATCACATCCGTGCGGATAAGGATGGTGTTTGTCCCGTCGGCACATTTCAAGCAGTAGACAGCGCCAAGATGGCGGAATACAAGTCCAAAATGGGCGAAGCGAAATCGCAGACCAACGATGAGTTCGAGCCACACACCGACAGTTCTTTTCAGCAACGATCAGACGAATTCCTGTCATTGACGTGCTACAACCCTTCAACGGACGGTGGCGAGAGCTACGTAGTTAGTGGGGCAGCAATCTATGAACATGTCAAAGCAGTCTTGACCCCACACTAGTAGAAAGTGGTGATGCAATCCCAGAGGCAGATGCCCAAGGGGTCCCACTTCCAGCCCCAATGATGGGGACAAGGTCCAAGACACTCTGAGAATATCCCTGAACATCCCTGAAGGAGAAGTAAGGAGAGGTGGGACTGTCAAACCTGCACCCCCAA